ACTATTAGAAATTCTACCATTCTCAGAATGTCTTTCCTGATTTTTTACATAGTAAAATATTTAAGAATATAAATTATGAGCTGCATACATACAAAGGGAGGAAAACAGGACCAAAAACATACTTTGATGGAAATAAATTATATATTCATTTTGAAGTCAAGGAGGATGTGACCTTGTCTTCTACAGTTTGTATTCAACAGCTAAATTCTGTTACAGCTAAAAAGTTCATCCATAATGATTTTATAGGTGAACAAGAAGAATTATCATAATTCACTTCGTCTTAAGACCATGAGCTTGGCATAGTTTTTATCATTATTACATATATTAAAGACATGCACAACCTAAACATACAAGACATGAATGGAAATTTGCTTTAATTCCCTTGCAACACAACAGGATATGAAACACTCTATGTGTATGTGTAGCTCATGTACATACTTCCTCATTTAGTATGATTTATATGTAGTTAATGATGTTCCTGGCCAAACCAGATCATTGATAAATACTTAGGAATGTCTTTTGTGTTTAATTAACATGGAGTTATACTTTAAGGCAATTTACATAAAGGTAATTTGAAATGGAAGCCAGTGACAATTATGTACTTTTCCCCCTATAATTATCTTTCTTTTCATGACAATTCTTCTGTGTAGCTATGTTACTTCACTTGACCTCAGTTTAAGTTAGAATGTAAAATACATTCTTTAATATCTTTATATTTCTATTTATTTATTAAGATTATTAAGATTTTATTTTCAGGTAATCTCTACATCCATCATGGGGCTTGAACTCATGACCCTGAGAACAAGAGTGGCATGCTCTTCCAATTGAGCCAGCTAGGCACTCTTCCCCTTGGTCTATTGTGACAGAAGGGAGACAGAGCAACTTTTCTAGCTTTCTACTTAAAAATAAAGATATTGGATCACCTGGCTGGTGGGCTTGCTCACTTCCTCAAATAAATAAATCTTTAAAAATAAAGAGAGAAGTCTAACTTGGTTTGCAAACACAGAATCAGCTATCCTCCACAAGCTTCTTTTTTTAAGATTTTATGTATTTATTCATGAGAGACACACACAGAGAGAGGCAGAGACAGAGGCAAAGGGAGAAGCAGGCTTCATGCAGGGAGCCTGATATGGGACTCGATCCCAGGTCTCTCTCTCCAGGATCACGCACTGGGCTGAAGGCAGGCGCTAAACCGCTGAGCCACCCAGGGATCCCATATCCTCCACATATTAAAAGCTGCCTTCCTGACTCCTTGCCTTCTTCAGACTTCATTTTTTTTCTTTTTTTTTTTTTTTTTACCGTGAGACTGAGATGATTTTAAAAATGAAGCCATCTTTAGATTATTGGCCTAAAGATTTTACATTTGTGGAGGTCTTCTCATGGGCTAAGCACTTTCTGTGGACTACCTCATTGAATCACAATCTATTAGGTGGGTACCAGTATTATCCCCATTTTATAGATAGGGAAACTGAGGTCAGGGTGGGGGAGAGTGAAGAGAAGTCTAGACTGCCTTCCTTTCCCACCCTACTCAGAACTCTGACTGGGACGCAGAGATCCTAAGTAACTTGCTCATTATGTAATACTGTCTGTTCCTAGCTGGACAAGAAGTTCAAAGTTTTTACGTCCTAATCTCTGACAAAGAGCCCTGGGGGTCGGAATCCTGAATTCTAAGAGTTGTGTGTATTTGAGTCAGTTTTCCTACCCATTCCATGTTAAAATAACGTCTCAAAGATATGTGAGGGTCAGATGTATTTCCACAGATGCAAAAGTACATGTAAAGCTGAAAATCCCTCATACGACACCAACTATCATTATTATGAAGTCAGGAAAGACTGCCAGGAGCTTGGAAGGAGCAAGAGTCTTAGGACAGCCTTGTGAAAAAGAGAAGCAGAAATTGTTCGGGAGTCTAGCTGCCAGGGTTGTTTGGTATGAACTGTGTGTTTGGAGAAAAAGGTGGTAATAGGATGACTCGAATAATTAGGAGGACAAGCCAAGCCAGCTCCTGTGAATGCGATGCGTTTAGAATAGAATCAACCACCACAGCGACCGTACCTTAACCTGGGCCACATCTCCTGCTCCATTTGCCAGTCTTTGTTCTGTTCCTTGAAGTCAGTCTGCATAGTGTCTGTTACCTGAACATTCCAACAGTATTCCCAACTCTGGACTTTTGCACCTGCTATTCCCTTTTCCCGGAGACACCTTTCTTCCAAATCCAAGGCTCATAATCTTTCAGTCCAGGTCACGTCTTGCGAGGGGACTTCTCTATCTACAATGGTCTAGAATAGACTATCTAGAATAGTCTTAGTCCTCCTCCTCCTCCTCCCAGTCATTCCTTATCCCGTTACCCCTTCTCTTCATTACACTTTTTCGCTCTCTTAAAAGTTATCTCATTCATGCGTTTACTTGTTGAAGGCCGATTTCCCAGATTCCAATCAACGCACGCTTTCGCAGGGACCCTTCTTCCCGTCTGTACCCTCCGCGCCTGGCATAGGGCAAATATGTAGCTATTTGCGGCGATCTAGAAATAAGTTGGGAGATTTCGGACTTCGGAGGGACCGAGGGCCAGCCACTTGGATGTATTCCTTGGGGACGAGTGGGACCTGGGAAGGCTAACATGAGGATACGGGGGAACCTTCGGAGGTCCCAGCAAGGACCCTCGGAAGGTCCCACCTCCCTCCAGGGGGTGCGGAGGGGCGCGAGGCGTGGGGGCTCACCTGCCGAATGGCCGCCAGCGTGTTCTCGGGCGCGTCGTGGCTGCCGCCGCGGTGGGCGATGGCGGACACCCGGTCCCGCGGCTTGAGCACCTGCAGGGCCCTGCGGGAGGGCACGGGCTCAAAGCTGAAGAGGCGCAGCAAGAGGTAGAGGCTGCCGGTGAAGAGGCAGGCATTGAAGGGACTACGCGTCACCAGCAGCAGCAGCAGCAGCAGGAAGGAGAAGGGGCCCAGGAGGCCTCCCTGTTCCTCCCACAGCCACATGCCGGCGCCCGCACCGGCACGGATGGGAGTCCCGGACCCGCCGGGCTCCCCGGACAAGAGAGCGAGGAGCTGGGGCGAAAGCCCACGACACCCGCCACAGAGGGAGCCCTCTTAGGGGACCAGCGCCGCACAATGGCGGCGGCGGCCGCATCCGCAGAGGGAGCCCGCCGTCCAGCCAATCAGGGCCGGGGGATCTGCAGAGCTCGAGGGGGGAGGGGCGGGGCCGCTGCCATGGCAACGGAGGTGGGCCCAGGCGCTAGGCTCACGTTCCAAAATAGCTTGGGATTATTCTGGGGTCGGGACTTCAACCAAGATTTTTCAGACTCCAGAAAGGAGGGTGGAACGCAAGAGCGGTCGCAGGGTTGTAGGGCTGGAAGGGGATCTTGGTGACTCTTCACTCTGCCCTTGAGGAAACTGCCCAGCGAGCCTTGCAGGGGCAGGACGTTTAGATTGCTTATTTATTCAAGATGTGCAAACACAGGCGCTCAGGACGCACGCGTGCTTGGGACCGCCTGGATCGCTGCTCTCCTGGGGTTTACATTCTCGTGGGAGGAAATAATAGCGCTTAGGGAGTATAGCTCACATTTGTGGAGCGCTTACCATGTTCCAGGGTCTGTGCTAGCAAATGCTTTATGCATTATCTCATTTATGCTCACAAGAGTCTCAGTGGGTAAGTATTAGTTCAGGAGGCTGAATTCAGTCGATTTTGGAAGGATTTTTTTCAGATTCTGAGGGAATGAAAGAGCATGGCGAAAGAGGCACAATGAAATTATAAAGCTGGAAGGAACTGTACGGAGTCCTTCATTTTATAGATGAGGAAACTGAAGCTAGGAGTGGTGAAGTGAATTGAGCAATCAATGACAGGCAGGACTGACATCAAGCCATCCTAGTTTTAAGCCAGTGGCCCTTGCACTCTTCCTCCTAACCTTACATTTCCTCCTACTAAGGGCTAATAGTGGGGCCTTTGTACTAGGGACTGTGCAAGAAATTCATCTGAATTGTTCTTCACAACTACCCTTGTGATAGGCTCTTTTCTTTTCTTTTCTTTCTTTCTCTTTCTTTCTTTCTTTCTTTCTTTCTTTCTTTCTTTCTTTCTTTCTTTCTTTCTTTCTTTCTTTCTTTCTTTCTTTCTTTCTTTCTTTCTTTCTTTCTTTCTTTCTTTCTTTCTTCTTTTTCTTTCTTTGTGATAGGCACTTTCAAAACTCGTTCTCCATGTGCAAAAATCGGCACAGGCAGGACTTTCAGCAAGAAAGGCAGGAGGTTAAATCGAGGTAGGATATGGTAAGGGGCCAGTACATATTTTGGAAAAGTAGTAACATGTTTAGATAGAAAACTTTGGTAAAACATTCAGGGCTTTTTGAGCCATCTTGAACCTGTTACCTTTCTTTCCCACTGATTTGCCAAAGGGTAGGATTGTCTTGAGGCTTAGAGTTGATATCTAGGATTCAGCAATTTTTTATTTACGGAGAAAAAATTTGGTGAACGTTGTTATGTTTTCCAACGACCACAAGGAAAGAGGTTATCTTTCTTTTTTCTTTTTTTGGAAAGAGGTTATCTCTTGACCGATAAATAAAAAGTAGCAATTTCAAGAAACACTTAAGGGGGCTGGGCTTCAGAGCTGAGGAGCGCTCACATTGTAAGATGCTATAATTTTAAAGGCGCTAGTTTTCACCAATAAAAAATAAATTAAAAAAAATAAAGGCAGATGCTCACCAATAAAAAATAAATTTATATAAAAAAACAAAGGCAGATGCTCACCAATAAAAAATAAATTTATAAAAAATAAAAAGGCGCTAGTTTGCAGTCAAGACTACGTTTCCCAGCGTGCATTGCGCTTTCAGCAAGTATCACGCCAGGACGCAAGTGCCCGGGCCAGGGAGCTTACCCGGGCGTGCAATGCACTTCGGGAATTGTAGTTTTTTGGAGGCTCAACGTTTCCGACGGCTCCGGAAGCAGCCACCGGAAGTGCCGCCCGAAGAGGTGGAGCCCGGGGGGCTGGCTGCGGCGGTGGCGGTTGCCAGGATCCCGCGTTGCCGCCGGAGACCCGTAATATGGCGGGGAGGAGGAGGAGAAGGAGGCGGCGGATCGAGCTGTGTTCTGTCAGTACCAACTGAGCTGTTTGCTTCCTAACAAGGCCCGTGGCGAGGGGAAAATAAAACCTGACCGGGCCGTGGGAGATCAGGTGTGTGCGTAAGAAGGGGGCTAGGTAGGTCCTTGTGGGTCCCCGCTGCGAGGCCACCGGGGGTGGCGGAGTTGGCGCCCTGAGAGCCGAGGGTTCCCGCCCCCCACCCTCGCACCCGAACGCAGCGGCTGGGCTTGGCCTTCGAGCCCAGAGAAAGGCGCCGGCGGGTGTGAGGAGACAGGTGCGCTGGCACCAGCGACACTCGGCGCCGAGGTGATGCTCGGATGCTGGGATGGAGGAGCTGGGGGAGGTGGGCGTGGGGCGCTGGGGTCAGGGCCGAGGGGCCCTGGCAAATAACCTCGGGACAGAGCCGGGGAATCACCTCCTGTGATAAAACTAGACCATTTTTCTCCTCCCAAGTTGCTGGCGAGGGAGACGTCGTCAGGGTGTGCACTGGCCGTTCGGAGAGCCGGTTACCAGAGCCAGAGGCCTTAGGATAAGGTGGTGTTTATTCTGCCCTCGCGACTCTGGGGGAGTAAGTTTGAGGCCTAATAAGGCAAATTCTCTTGGTTGCTCCTGATGCTGCTAGGTGATGCCCACCCCGCTTCATCTGGTTGTGACCCCAATTACCAACGCCTCCCCCCCACCCCCCGTTCAGGCGAGTGGAAGGCGCCCAGAGATTGATTCGCCGAGGAGGGGGTCTGAAACAACGAAACGAGGAAGGTGTCCCTCTTTCCATGTTTTAAAGTTACATTTAAATCCTACCAGGAACGAAGCACTGTCGTTGCCCTCCAGGAATTCATAAAAAAATCGTGATCCTCGTCGTCCTTTTAATAATAGCCGTCTCCGTTTATTGATGTTTTCTCTGCTTGTCCTGCGTTATGCTAATTGCTATGCAGGCAATTCATTGAATTCTTGAGACAGATAATTCTGATTATCCCGGCATTACAGATGCAGAAATTGAGGCATAGGGATGGCAAGTAAATTGCCAAGAATGTACAGCTAGTAGATGGCCGAGTAAGGAATCTTCCCCTTTATTGTGCATGGAAAAAGGTTATGTCTTTGGGAACACTGAAGGGGGTAAGCGGCCAGCTAGGATTTGAAATGAAGGCAAGGTCTGTTATGTGTTAGTTTTACCATTCCCTTTTGTGACATTTCTAGTAACACACTGGTGAGGAGCGGGTAGCAGAAGCATGAATCGATGGGGTTTGCAGAGGCTCGTTTGGAGAAGGGTCATGGTATAAATGGAGACGACAAAGCATGTCTGAACTTGATGCAGCTGACAAATGATTAATTCAGGTGGACCAGTAATGCCTGATGTTAAAGTATGGGTGGTTGATTTGTGGTTGATTTGTGGTTGGAGTGGCATTGTAGTCAAGGCTCCGTTCAAAAATAACTCTGCTGACAAGTAATTGTGCTGTGAGAAACGAGTGCCCTCTTGCTTAATCATATAGGATATGATGCTCTTTTTTTTTTTTCTTTTTTTAAGAGAGGAAGGTTGAGAGAGACACAGACAAAGGAGGGGGAAAAGGCAGAGGCAGAGGGAGAGAGAGAATCCCAAGCAGACTCCATGCCCAGTGCAGAGCCCAGAGAGGTGCTGGATCTCAGGACCCTGAAATCATGACCTCAGCCAAAACAAGAGTCCCAATGCTTAACCGACCGAGCCACTTAGGGGCCCAATGATGCTCATTTTTTTAAATGATTGTCTTTGCAATTTTAGAGGTACCAGGTTCTTCAGAGAATAGGGTCATCCATGAAACTACCATTCTTTAAATTCCATTCTTCCTTGCTAGCTTCTTTCCTATATAGTCCACGCTCTTTTTTTCACCCTGGTTTACATTATTGTTTGAGCTAATTTCCCTAATTCATTTATTCAGTACTTTTATCAAGTGCCTACTGTGTGCTGATCCTGTTCTGTGTAATGGGGATTCAGTGGTGAGCAAGACTGGAAAGGTACCTGTGCTTATGGAGCTTACATTTTGGTGGAGGAAGACAGAACCCACAGAAATAAACAAGATAATTTCAGATAGTGGTAAGTGTCGTGAAAATTGGGAAGCAGGGTAATGTGATGTGATAGTGACTGTAGGGTTAATGTAGAAGGGATTATCAGGGATGGCCTGAGGAGGGGGACATCCAAGTTGAGACTGAAGGATAGAAAAATTCAGTCATGCCCTAGAATCATTTGGTAATTCCCATAATCAACCATACTAGCACTTGTATTTGGGTGTTTAATGTACCATCATTTGCCGTAGTTATGCTGTGAATTATTTTATTGTACATCGGCAATATTCATGACATACGGGTGCTTTTGAAGAGATGCGAATTTAACTTCCCAATGCAATGAGGCATATGTATATGATGTTGAAAGAAAAATAAACTTGCCCTAAGAATATTTTATTTATTCCTTATGTTTGAAATAGACCTTTAAAATTGAATCATTCTTTGTTCGTGTTTCCATAGAAAGTATATTTCTATTTAGGTTCCTATAATGCTGGGTGCAGGAATTGTGTTAAAAAATATTCTTGAGTATTTTAGTAGAAATGGGATCATTTGAATTTCTCATATATTGTAGCTTCTGCATGTTTTGGTTGTTAAGCTAGCATAATGGGTTGAAATCCAGACTGAAAAATGAGGCCTTGCTGTGGTTGTCATGCAGGAAGGTGTGTGTTGTTTTACTTTTGCTTGTTTTATGAATATGTTTGGAAAACAGTCTCATTTACACTCTAGAGATCCATTTCTTTGAAATTAAACTCACACTTTGCATAAATCAAATATAGAAATAATTAGAATCAATGGGATGTAGGAAGAAGTTTTGTTGATACGAGGATTACCTTTTGGTCAATATTAGCAATATATCTTATTTTTTTATAATCAAATCACAATAAGCTTTTTCTTCATTTCTAATTGTGCTATAATTTGTCCCTAACCCTTTAGTGTATTGAATTTCTAAGTGCCATGAGGCTTAAGACAGTATCATACTCCCATCTTATTTCATCTCTGCATATCCCACATCGTCGGTTGAATTGTCCTGCCCCCTTCTTTGTTAATTGTTTTAAACTGAACACTTAAGGGAACATTATTGTATTAGTTTTTCTGTTTTCACAATTCATAACCTTGGCTGTTGAAGAGTCTAATGAGGTCTCTCTTTTTATTTTCCCTTGCTTGTTTAAAGGAAACAATGCCAGACATAGTGCTATGGAAACAGGCAATCAGATATTTAACACTAGCTAAATGAACGAACATCCTGCCTAATCTTTCCTGATTATCTTGAATTTTCACAGCCACCATCACAATTTTCCAGAAATTGTAGAATTACTGGGCTGGTTATTTTAAGTGGTTTGGTGGTGGCTCCAGTTTTCGACAATGAAATAGAATTTATACAAGAGCCAGTAGATATTCTATTTTACACTTCTGACTGATTTGGCTGGTGTCCATGGAGTCAAAATATACTTTTAAGATGTGAAAGTAATAGATTTTGAACTACACGATAACAAAAGAATTTTTAAAAGTAAATACCCTCTTTTATGTAAATAGCCTTTTTGTCTTTTTTTTTTTTTTGGCTATAAATATATTTCTACCTTTGTATGATTTAGTTTTCCTTGTGTAGATTAGTCCTACTAAGGAAAATACAGTATTCTATTTTATAAGTTAGCAAGTGATATAGGACTTTTTTTCCTATAAGAATTTTTCACTGATGAGTTCTTAGTACTTTTCTAACAAATTATATTTATGTATTTATTTTATTTAAAACAAATCATATTTAAAACTTGATTTATATACATATGTTCACTTGATCTTAGCCAAAAGGCTGAGAAGCGATGTATATATGTATGTTCGGAAACATTTAATATATGAAGCAAGTCTTAACTGGGTAGGATCTTGAGGTACTTACCTATACTTAAGAATTAGCTGCACATCAGTTAAAAAAAAAATTCTGGGAAGGCCAATTATAAGAATTGTGAATTCTAGAAATATATTCGTGCTTGATAAAATTTGCCAAACAATTAAGGTCTGTTTTTTTCAGCACATTAAAAATGACATTTTTCTCTCTTACAGTGTAATTGTGGGAAGATGGAGGAGTATGAGAAGTTCTGTGAGAACAGTCTTGCCAGAATCCAAGATGCATCACTATCCACAGAGAGCTTTCTACCTGTCCAGTCTGAAAGCATCTCACTTATTCGCTTCCATGGAGTGGCTGTGCTTTCTCCCCTGGTAAACATTCTTTGATTTTTAAATATTTTTTTTTTCTGCAGTGAATCCCTAATGTAGTTACAGAAAAACAAAAGAAAGGCTTATAAACATTGAAAAAAAGTCTCATTCATTATTAAAAAATAGAAATGAGTTAGCATTTTTAAAATCTGCTTGATTGGCAAAGATCCAATAAGGCCTAGGGTCCTTTATATTGTGAGGGAAAGGTGCTTATACTGCATTTTTGCTGAAAGAAGCACTTGACTTTATTTTTTGGAGACCATTTTGGTAATGTTTATCAAAATTTAAAAGTATGTATAACTTTTGAATTAGCAGTTCCAGTTTTGGGAATATCTTAGACTTCTACTCCTCTGTGTGCCAGAAGTATGTACAAGTTATAGAGTGGCATTGTTTAAAATAGCAAAAGATTAACAAACAGCTTAGATGTCCATCAGTAGTGGACTAGTTTAACAAACTGTGGTCCATTTTATAGAATCTCATTCATGACATTAAAACAATACAATACAATACAATACAATAGACTTAAATGTGCAGGCATGGAAAGATCTCCACAGTCTATTGTAAATCACTGCACACATCGTGCTCTTAGGAGCAGGGTAGAATAGTGGTTAAAAGCCTGATTCTAGAGCCTTCTGGTCTTGGCTTAAATCATTATTCTGCTGCTTACCTGCTGTGTGAACTTGCAGGCACATTTTTTTAATTTGTTAAATGAGGATAAAAATTGTTTCTACTGAGGCACCTGGGTGGCTCAGTGGTTGAGCGTTTGCCTTCAGTTCAGGTCATGATCCTTGGGGTCCTGGGATCAAGTCCTGCATCCAGCTCCCTGTGGGGTGTCTGCTTCTCTCTCTGCCTCTCTCTCTGTGTCTCTCATGAATAAATAAATAAGATCTTAGAAAAAAATGTATCTACTTCACAGTGTTGTTTTGGGTATAAGTGATCTGATACATGTAAAATGCTTAGAACATAGGAAGTGCTCATATATATGTGTTAACTATTTGAGTTTTTATAAAGGAATATTCTTTCTCTGAGGAAGGATAAAGGAATACAGTTTAAGAAGGAAAACACACTTTTCATTATAAACTCTTTCATACTGATTGTATGTTTTTAAAATGTGTATGACCATTTCAAATCAGAAAATTCATATAATTGAAAGAAATGGAGTTAACATTTTTTTGTATAACAGCAATTAAAAGATCAATATTTCCTGCTACCTTTTTTTTCTTTTCCAAAGATTTTATTTATTTATTCATGAGAGACAGAGAGAGAGAGAGGGCCAGAGACACAGGCAGAGGGAGAAGCAGGCTCCATACAGGGAGCCCGATGTGGGAATCAATTCCAGGTGTCCAGGATCACGCCCTTGGCCAAAGGCGGCGCTAAACTACTGAGCTACCAAGGCGTCCCCCTGCTACCTTTTTGAGATGAAATCTTCAAACATACAGAAAAATAGAAAGAGTAATACAATGGCCACCCATATATGTATCATCTAGGTTCAACAGTTTTTAACATTTTTGTCATCTTTATCATGTTTGTGATTTTATATATATGTATATGTGTGTATATACATACATTTTTTGTTTTATTGCTGAGCCATTTGAAAATTGCAGATACCTAATACTTTTTCCTTAAACATTTTGGTATATATTCTAAAAATAAAGATATTCTCCTACATAAAATCTCAATACCATGATCACACCTTAAGAAAATTAATAATAATTTTAATAGCATCTAATATTCTGTTCATATTTAGATTTCTCCATTTATGCTCAAAATATCATAACCTTTTTTTTTCTAATCTAGGTCCAGTCAGAGTTCACAAATAGCATTAGCTTGTTATGTTTATTAAAATCTATTTTGATTTAGAACAGTTCCTCTACCTCTTAGAAAAAAAATTTTTTTTAAATTTTATTTTTAAGTAATCTCTACACTCAACGTGGGGCTTGAACTTACAACCACGAGATCAAGGATCTCATACTCTACTGACTCAGCCAGCCAGGTTTCCCCCAAATAGTGAATTTGTAAAGATACCAGTCCAGTTATCTTATAGGATGCCTTACTTTGGATTTGTCTGATTGTTTCTTCATGAAATTTTATGTGTCCTCTAGTTCCTGTAGTTCCTATAAATTGGAAATGAAGTCTAAAATTTTTATTAGAAAAAAAATTAAAAAAATAAAAGTTTTATTAGAAAAAAAATAAAAGTTTGATTAGAGTCAGGTTAAACATTTTTGGCAAGAACTCTTTGGAGCTGATGCCCTATGCTCCGTGTTAAGTTAAATCAGAAGTTACATAATTCTAGTTGTTTCCCTATTAGTGATGTTTAGTTTTACTTGCTTTTATAAGTGCTGACTGCCAGATAACTTTTGAAAATATACATTTTCCCTCTTTGTGATTAGCAAGTAAACTGTGGAATGATTCTTTGATACCATGCAGATAAAAATTTAAAAAATTTTTACCAGCTACTTGGTAACATTGCTTGATTAGTTTAAAGTGAACCAAAATATCTGAGCTTTGTTGTTTAGGGTCTGTGACTCCATCAGTTACTTATTTATAAGCAAAATCTGATGCTTATAGACCTTTGTCCGTGCTTTTATGTTGTATGTGACAGATGAATAGTATAATTCTGGAATAATTTTTTATGACATTTTTTTTTTTTTAAGATTTTATTTATTTATTCATGAGAGACACAGAGAGAGAGGCAGAGACATAGGCAGAGGGAGACGCAGGCTCCTTGCAGGGAGCCCGATGTGGGACTCGATCCCAGAACGCTGGGATCACAACCTGAGCCGAAGGCAGGCGCCCAACTGCTGAGCCACCCAGGCGTCCCTATGACATGTTTTCCATTTATATTGGTCTAAGATAAGACTTGACTTCTTAATGCAGTGACTAAACCTCTTAGAACTTAATAATTAAGATTTAAATTCACAGGTGCCTGGTGGCTCAGTGGTTGAGTGTCTGCCTTTGACTCAGGTCATATTCTGGGGTCCTGGGATCGAGTTCTGCATCAGGCTCCCCGCAGGGAGCCTGCTTCTCCCTCTGTCTATCTCCCTGCCTCTCTCTCTGCGTCTCTCATGAATAGATAAATAAAATCTTAAAAAAAAATTAAATTCACTAAAAAGATGTAATGCTTAGAAATTCCAGTTGTTGAAGTAAATTATATTTTTACTGGAAGGTACAGTGAATTGGGATCTAACATATTCTCATTTTGTAGGCAAAGAAAACATTATCTGTTTCTTTCATCATTAAGCCTTTAGACATTTTCTTGAAGTAGCAAAGAGATAAAATGTATGCTGATTGGAACATTAGAAATTGAAGAATCTGACCCTGTGGAGTAAGATATTGCCAATGATAAGGTCAGCAGTGGCTAAAACAGTTTATCTCTCATTTTAGAGCATTTGATGAGTGAACAGGTTTTTTTTTTTTCTTTAACTTTTTATTCATTTGGGAATAATTTACATACAGTAGAATGCACAGATCTTAAGTTCTAAAGTTCCCTGATTTTTGATATATGGCATACACTTGTGAAACTCACACCCAAATGGAACATTTTCATACCCACAAAAATATCTCCCCTGCCCCATCCCACTCATTACCCCTAACCACTATTCAGATTTCTTTTCCTATAGCTTTACCTGTTGCATGTTTTAATCATTCTGATTCAAAGATTCCTGATTTTAAGGCATTTTTTAATTTATGAGAAATAATTACATATTTCTGATGTTTTGCAGCTTAACATTGAGAAAAGAAAGGAAATGCAACAAGAGAAGCAGAAAGCACTTGATGTAGAAACAAGAAAGCATGTTAATAGGAAGAAAGCCTTATTGACTCGGGTCCAGGAGATTCTTGAAAATGTTCAGGTGTGTAATGTCGATGTTTTAAAATTATAGTTAAATCATGAGGTAAGCAGTAGTGATACTTTTTCAGAAATATGTTTGTGCTTACTAGTTAGTTACCAATATATTTTACTGTTATGTTTGAGAATCTTAGTGGTTTGTGATATTCCATTTCAGTTACTCCAAAGAACATTCACTTGCTTATTAGTGATGCCCAGTACTTGAATCAGAGGGTACTTAGACAATGGAGCCCTTCCCTGAATATAATTGTTTATTGTCTGTGTCTTATGACTCTAAAAACACGGAATTCTCAGTGACAAAATAATAGAATTGGCCATTGTAGTTTACCTCTGAACTAATCAGACTATTGAGTCAATGACCTTATTCTCATTCTCTGCTAAAGTAAATAATTGTCCCCCATTTTGTGTGTGTGTGTGTGTGTGAAAATTCTCTTCTTAAGTACACAAATGCAATTTAGATTATGTAAGTAGAATTGTCCAGATGCATCTTAGATCTAAATTGAAACCATTTAAACAATACATTCACGCCTTTTGCAATTATTTTTATTTAGCTGAATTTAAATTTGCATAAAGGGGCACCAGGATTGAGCATCTGCCTTTGGTTCAGGTCATAATCACAGGGCTCTGGGATTGGGTCCTCGCTTCGGGTTCCTGACTTAGTGGGGAGCCTGCCTCTCCCTCTCCCTCTGCCTGCCAATCTGCCTGCTTGTGTTTTCTCTCTCTCCCCCTTATTCTCTGTCAAATAAATAAATAAAATCTTTAAAAAAAAAGAATAAATTTCTATAAACAGTTTGTTTTAGGGTGTGGATCATTTCATACTAAAAAAAACGAATTAACGTTGAACAAATAATTTCTGCTGTATGTAGCTCTGTTTTGCTGGCTACATCTTAACTTTTTTTTTTTGTTCCTTAGGGGTTTGTAGTTTATATAATTCATACTGGATGATACATGTACAACAAACCTTAGGCTGTTTCCCACTAACTGCTACCTTCATTTTTCTGTGAATAGTAGATTTTAATTTGCAGATTGTAATGACTATATTAAGTTTAAAAAATATAGTGTGGCACAATAAGGGTAGATTTTGGATTTACTCGATGTTTCCTACTATTGAAACAAAATGGCATATAATTATTGGTCCAGTGAGGGAATATATCAAATGTACTAGTAATGAGATTGTTGAGTCTTAAAACTTCAAACATTTAATGGAGCATGTACAGTGTTAAACTAGAGAGTAATGAATTAATTACGCAGATAGAGAAATTTTAAATCATACAGATATCTTCAGTCTCTGTAAAACCTATCATTCTGTGATATATTTTTATTCTTAGATTCTCTAAACAAAAACTCCTTTTAGTACTGTACCAAAAACATAGCTGCTGTATATACAAATGTGAACTTTGAGATATTTTAAGGAAACAATTTATTTTATGTAAGCCTGTAAACATATTCATGGACTTGGTGAATATGTTTCCCTTTTGTTTTATTTTGGTCTTGAGGTTGTGACTAAGTATACTTTGTTGTGCTGTTTATTGCATAGTACCTAGAAACCATTATATGTCTTGGGATTTGTAAGGTAAAACAGGAGTGCCATATGGTCTAGGGAAAAATAACACATACACAACAACCTAAAAATCTTTTTTAATATTCAGGATTCTGGGGTCTGTATTGATATGATAATATGATAATTTCCATCAGTGTTATTTTTATTTATTTATTTATTTATTTATTTATTTATTTATTTATTTATATATTTTTTTCCGTCAGTTTAATATATCCTGTGTAATGTTTAAAAACCATCCTAGTTCACTTTATTCTTTTGCAAGGTCAAATTATTTAGATAGAAGATGTAATTTTATTTTTTCTGTTGGATTTCAGTTCTCATCTTAATTTATAAATTTTTACTTATTTTCTTGTTCTAAAACTCTAACAGGTTGCTGTTTAAAATGATCATCAGTTAATCAAATTGAAATTTGCCTTGATGAATTGGATTTTAAGTTGAAAATTTTCTTATTTCTGAGTAACTTAAGCTACATGGCTGAGCTATCATTTACTATAAATTTGCCTTATCATATAGAAGGATTTTAGTTAAAATCTGGAGTAAGCATATGGGAGGCAAGAGTCTGATTACTGAATTATTTTTATATCCTGGGTAAGTTAGTCTTTGTTAAAGAAAGAGTCATTTGAGAAATTTAATTACTTGCTATTTATATCATATATCAGTATCCTTAGTTGATAGCTTTCATAGGAGAACAGTGGTGACATTAATAACATATAATACAGAAGAAAGTTAAAGAAATTTAATTCCAAGATTAAATTGTGCATGGATATGTGAATATATATGTGTGTGTATACCCATGCACATATGGACAGATTTTTTTAAAGGTTTTATTTATTCATGAGAGATACACAGAGAGAAGCAGAGACCTAGGCAGAGAGAGAAGCAGGCTCCATGTAAGAAGCCCGATGTGGGACTCGATCCCGGGTCTCCAGGATCACGCCCTGAGCTGAAGGCAGGTGCCAAACTGCTGAGCCACTCAGGCGTCCCCATATGTACAAATTTGCATCAGATTAGATCATTTCCTTTCTTGCTTATACTCTTTTAATAAATAGGCTGGGATGTTTCTATTTTTTTAAATTATTTTATTTAAAAATTTTATCAGCCATTTTTAATAGTAATTTGAGCTCTGTGATATAGGATACAATAGAGAAGGATTATCTTAGTTTTTGTGTTCTCAAATGTTAGAATATTTGAATTTTCTATTTCAATTTTATTTTAGAAAACAATGAAATCAGAGGCTTTTCTCTGCAGTAAGAAAATACTAATTTTTAAATTTCCTTTTCCAGGTTAGAAAAGCACCTAACGCCAGTGATTTTGATCCGTGGGAGACTGAAACAGTTTACTCTGATTCAGAAGTCAGAAACTTGAATGTCCCTGCTACGTTTCCAAATATCTTGCCAAGCCCTACTGAGCACTCTACTTTAGGAAAGTTTGAAAAGATAACTGGAATTTTGCCATTGAATAATGAGGACCAATTTAAATCTAATGGGGTAGACTTAACTAGGGACTCAGAATTTAATTCTTTGAAGCACTGTGATAGTTCAGATATTATTAGCTCTGTGGAAAATGAAGCTTCTGTAAAGACCCCCTCCACAACCCCTCAGGAGACTCTCACACCCAATGGTCTCTTCCCAACCAATGAAGAACAAGACCCATCACTTTCGGAAGAAGTTACTCCGGATCCCTACATAATGAGTCTTCAGAACTTGATGAAAAAGTCAAAGGAATATATAGAAAGAGAACAATCGAGACGTAGTCTGAGAAGTAGTGTGAAAAGAAGTGTTTATGAGAGTCATTCAGATAAAGAAAACGAGGCTGTTAAAGGGACTGACTCTGGGAGGGAGAAGGTGCAGCTGGCTGGCAGACACTGTGCTTCTCTGGTTCCTGACAAACCAAGCCTTAATAAATCAAATGTTCTCCTCCAAGGTGCTTCTACTCAAGCAAGCGGCATGAATATGTCCGTTTTAGGTAGCTTTTCTAAAGTGGACATACCTGTACGAACTGGCCATTGCACTGTTTTAGACCTCGATTCTGATTTTAAAGTCATTCCCACTTTTGTTCCCGAAAATAATGGTATCAAAAGTCTTACTGGTTCGTATGCCAAATTACCTAGTCCAGAGCCAAGCCTGAGTCCTAAAATGCATCGAAGGCATTCTAGGCCATCATCAGCATGTCATATACTTATAAATAACCCAGTAAATGCCTGTGAATTAAGTCCTAAAGGAAAAGAACAGACGGTAGACTTAGTTGTTCAAGCTACTGATGAAGAAACAAATATACCTGAAAGTGTGCCAAAGTTACCAGCTGATTTAGCTGGAGTTTGTTCAAGCAAGGTCTGTGTCACCAAAAATACATCTGAAGCCATACAGGAAGTGGTTTTAGGTAAATCAAATCAGGTATGCCAGTCTTCAGGAAATCAGTTAGAAAACAGGGTTATCCATGGACTTGCTATTGTGGAAGGTCAGTTAACATCTGATGGGAGAGGACCACTCAAAATGGACAGTACATGTACTGCAATGCCAAGGTTGCCTGAGCCATATGCCACCAGTCAGTGTATAGTGACTCAAAACTTTGGAACTATGAGCGGACTCAAGTCAGCCAATGTGTTAGAGAAAAACACCTGCAATTTACAAATGGAACTGAATAAGTCTTATGATGTAAAAAACCCATCTCCTTTACTCATGCAAAACCAGAATACCAGACAGCAGATGGACACCCCTACAGTGTCCTGTGGAAATGAACCATTTTTGGATAACAGTTTTGAGAAAGTTAAACGGAGACTTGATTTAGATATTGATAGTTTGCAAAAAGAAAACTGCCCTTATGTCTTAACAACTGGAGTAGCTGAACAGGAAAGGCAACATTTGCCAGAAAAAAGATACCCTAAGGGATCTGTCTACATCAACAAGAATAAAATGTTAGAAAGTAGTTCCAAAGGTAAGGAAACTTTGAAGTGTTTGATACCTGCCAAGCAGATGGCACATTTATTGAATACTTTTTTTTTTTTTTTAATTTGAGAGAGCTGGAGCATGAGTGAGGAGAGGAGCAGAGGGAGAAACAGACTCCAGGCTGAGCAGTGAGCTAGATGTGGGGTTCGATCCCAGGACCCTGTGATGATGACCTGAGTTGCTTAACTGACTAAGCCACCCATGGGCCTCTAGGCATCATTTTTTCACCTACCTTTATTGAATACTTTTAATTCACATTTTGAAAAACAATAATTGTCTCATCTGATCATCAGGGTTTTTCATTTCATTTCTCTTATCAGAGGACCTATAATTAGCTATAGTTTATTGCCATTTGAAAGCCTTTCTTAAAGCTTTCTCATTTAAAATATGAATCACAGTTCACTTTGTATCAGAGAATATTGTTAATGACTGGAGGAAAAAGTTCTCATGTGAAATATCATAGTTTTAATGTAGTGTATTGCTATGATGTCTTCCTTTTGGAATGTGGTTTCTAATATTCTCATCAGTCTGTTTTATTTATTTTTAAAGATTTTATTTATTTATTCATGAGAGACATAGAGAAAGAGAGAGAGGCAGAGACACAGGCAGAGGGAGAAGCAGGCTCCATGCAGGGAGCCTGATGTGGGACTCGATCGTGGTACTCCAGGATCACGCCCTGAGCTGAAGGCAGGTGTTTAACTACTAAGCCACCCAGGCAGGCATCCCTGTTGTTTCATATATAATGAGATCTTCACGTAGTTTGGTCCTTCAGTGAACACTTGAACAGCAAATTATTAGAAAAAGAATCACAAATAATTTGGCTCTGTGAGTAATGTTTAAGGAATGACATGTTTATTGGTAAAAATTATTTCAAATTTCTTTCACATCTAGTGTTATATTAGCAGCAGCTTGCGAAAACATATCTTCATTGCTCCTTTTTTTGTTGTCATGGTTCATAATTCTTCATTACTGATGTGGAAGAATGAGTCCAGTAAATGAAGTTCTTGGACATAAACATTTCAGCTCTAATGTGATATAAATCTTCCTGAAAAAAAAAACTTCATATTCTGTAAAATTGCACACTAAAAATAACAGAGTTTATAGGAAAGATAGGGTTGGGACAGACTATTTAAAACCTGTGTATCTTTATAAGCGCTCTAATGAAAACATCAGTGGATGGCTACCCCAGGAGCCAGTGTGGATAATGCAGACAGCTGATGCACCCCGGTGGGAGGTGCTCTCTGTGAACACCAGAGCTCCACAGAGCTAACTACCCAGGGGGCAGTTAGTGGGAGCTTGCCTACTAAAGCTGACAGAGCTTTAGTAGTAGGAGCAAGGCCAGTGCATGTGAGGTGAGGCCAGCTTGCTGTCAAAGGAGACCCTGGACGGTGCTCACTTAAGAAATTTTTTTTTTTTTAGATTTTATTTATTTATTCATGAGAGAGACACAAAGAGAGAGAGGCAGAGACATAGGCAGAGGGAGAAGCAGGCTCCATGCAGGGAGCCCGATGTGGGACTTGATCCTGGAACACCAGGATCACACCCTGGGCTGAAGGCAGGCTTTCAACCGCTGAGCTACCAGGTGTCCCTCACTTAAGAAATTCTTAAGATAGAGCTAAATGGCCTCTCGCTGTTGGTTGAGCTGAAGAGATTTGTCTTTTTTTTTTTTGCTGAAAGTTGCAGTTCTATTCCTGTTTTCCCTTTTGCCTCTGAAAAATTGCACATGAACAAATGCAAACTGTAGCTGAATAAAATACATTTAGGAATAAATTGTGGGAATAGCATAGCATATAGATAATATAATATGCTTTAATGGAAGTCATTGACTGTATATTTGGAACGAATGATTCTTTGAATTCAGTTGAATTGTCATGGATCCATGAATATGATGGATCCAAGTCCTACATCTGTGTAATACTTGGTATTTCAACATCTCAGAGTGTCTTACCACTTTCTTTAATAAGTTGCATAATCATAATGATTTAATTTTTTAGTTAGTAATTTAAATATCTGAAGTTTTAATATCCAACGCTTTTTGGAACCAGAAGCTAAGGAGCTTTACACTATCATAGGAACATTTATTTAAAAAAGTCAAAACTAAATAAAACTACAAGCTAAAATACCAGAAATCCTGGAGAAGGACCAGAGTCAGAAGAATAAATAGAGGTGAGATGCAGACGAGAATCCCATCTTGAAGTTTATTTGAGTAAGGAGAATCTTGACTAAACAGATAGGCGTGGCTCCATTGGTTCAGATTGTGGTGGGATCTGTTGAGTGAATGGATATGGTGGTGAGGTACAGGCTTTTATTTGATAGCATGAAATGAGGTTTGTGCCAGAAGAGAATGTGGTTCAGAGTGGGGGACCTCGTGTACCTTGATTGTGTTATGTCGGATCCAGGAATGTTCTTTGATTGGAAGCATAATTTATATTGACTGTGTATAGATATTAGTAAATATTCTAAATTTGAGGGGACATGTTTCTTTTCAGAAGGCGAGGAGATATTAAAAAGCAAGATGTTAGCTTTTGAAGAAATGCGGAAGAGGCTAGAAGAACAGCATGCCCAGCAGTTATCACTACTCATAGCTGAGCAGGAAAGGGAACAGGAGAGATTGCAGAAGGTGAGTTAAAACATAGGGATATGGGACTGGTAAGTGGAATTTTGCCGGGGATAGTGTGAATTTTTTTTTTTTTTTAACCCAGCAGTTTGATAGTGTGAATTTTGATCACGTATAGGATACTATAACTTCTTCGTCTGTATCTTAATCTAAGGGGGTGATTGATTTTGATACATGGATATTGCCAAAATGTAAGGTTTAATATATAGCTCCTTATCTAAAAATAAATGCATAATTTATCAAAAGGATACTTTATTGAATCCTTGACTCAAAATATTTACTCTTTTTCAAAGATATTTTATGTATTGATGCTGAAATATGCATTCTGCAAGAGTGTATTGTAAGAGGAAGAATACTTGTTTTAAGATTTCATTGGAGGTAGGAAAACTTGAAATTAATCATTTGCTGATAATCATTACTTTTAGCTAAGCCTAGAATAATGGTATTTTGGGATATAATTAAAAGATGTAGCACGTTATATAATACACTGTTAATTTATAGGAAATAGAAGAACAGGAGAAAATGTTAAAAGAGAAGAAGGTGATTGCTGCTGAAGCCTCAGAATCAGGCATTAACAATGCAGTGGACTTAGAATGGAGAAAAATAAGCGACTCTGGTTTGCTGGAAACAATGTTGTCTCAAGTGGACTCACTCCATACTTCAAATTCAAATAGTTCTGGTAAATACTTTAAAAACTCTCTTCTGTTTGAAAAAAATTATCCTATAGTAAGATATTTCACTTGGCACACTTTAAAGCTGTTGCTCTATTCTTCAAGTAATTCTATTTGCCAGCTCCCTAGTAACTAGTGAAAAATTAAATGATAGCAGATCAAAGACTGGTGAGCAGGTGTTCATGAGACAAACCACTTTAGCAAAGAAAATATCAGGAAACTTGACTCAGAGCCCAGTCTTTGTTTATTCATGCAGCAGGGGATATGCTTCAGCTGAAAACAGTTTGCTGCCTCCCCGGTGATCTTGAATTACATCTAATTCTTCAGACCCGGCAAGAGCTTATCTTCACATCTTCAATTATCCTGAGAAGCTGTTTGTATTGAAAAGATCCATCTGGTGCATAAGCTTAAAGTCCATAAATATTTTAAGTTTGCACATGGACTAGTTTCAGAGGCAGTTGTTATTCTTAGAGAGGCTTAAGTGTTTATTTGGATGTCCTGCATATTCTCATGTGATGTCGAGTATAATACTGTGCATATATTTCTTTAGGTTTCACAAATTCTGCTCTGCAGCATAGCTTTGCTTCTGCAAATGAAGCACCCTTCTACCTCTGGGGATCATCAACTAGTGGCTTGACCAAACTCTCAGTAACAAGGCCTTTTGGACGGGCCAAACCTAAATGGTCTCAGGTGGGCAAACTTAATGATATTTGCGTGTCTATCTAGCTACAGTTTTTAAAGAGGTACATTATCTGAGGTTGTACACATGAGGACAGATGTTTGTGCCCTACATCAAATAGCTTAGCTCTTAGCGGAAATGAACCGACACAGGGCATACACACATAGAGGAAATTTAGTTCACTGTAATAGATTAAGGAGTATAAAGCTCAGATTCTTGAATCATTGTGTCTGTCTGCTTTCTTCAAGGTTTTCAGTCCAGAAGTACAAACAAAATTTAACAAGATAACCGCAGTGGCAAAAGGATTTCTTACTCGTAGGCTTATGCAGACAGATAAGCTGAAACAACTTCGCCAAACTGTAAAAGTAAGGAGCTGGTTCATTATTCCTATTTCACTTTTGGCTCAGTTTCTCAGTTTAATGACGGCTTGTCATAAACTAGAGTTGACATATAGTTCAGAACTTTGGTGGATCAAACTTTTCTTAGTCATTGCAATGTAGGCAATTATAGAAATCTGATGAATCGGGGATCCCTGGGTGGCTCAGCGGTTTAGCGCCTGCCTTCGGTCCAGGGCATGATCCTGGAGTCCCGGGATCGAGTCCCACGTCAGGCTCCCTGCATGGAGCCTGCTTCTCCCTCTGCCTGTGTCTCTGCCTCTCTCCCTCTCTCTCTCTCTCTCTCTCACACACACACTCCGTGTCTTTCATGAATAAATAAATAAAATCTTAAAAAAAAAAAAGAAATCTGATGAATCTCATTCAGATGATTTTTTAAAGTATGTAAATGAAGCAATTTGTGTATTTGTCTCTCTTCAAAGTGAGTGCTGCTTGACTTCTGATAAGTAATAGTTTTATATGTTCTTAGTAATTTTAATTGGCTGAGAAAAATCAAAAGGAAATTCCAGTGATCATGAATCTTCTAGAAAAGTGGTTTTTAAAGGAAGTTTTCTTCTTCCAGGACACTATGGAATTCATAAGGAGTTTTCAGTCAGAAGCGCCATTAAAGAGAGGAGTTGTTTCAGCACAAGATGCTTCTCTTCAGGAAAGAGTGTTAGCTCAGGTAAATGCACATATCCTAAAGGCTTTTAAGAAATGGAAATTTATATTTTTCCCTCCATTTAACCACTGAAAATAGGTTTTAATTAAAACTTTTAAAAACTTTAAGTGAGAGTGCATGTGATATTACTGAACTCTAACCTCATCTTTTTAAGTGGATACAATATTTTCTTCTTTTGAACCTAGTTGCGAGCTGCCCTATATGGTATTCATGACATATTCTTTGTAATGGATGCAGCTGAAAGAATGTCTATTCTCCATCATGACCGAGAAGTTCGCAAAGAAAAAATGCTCAGGCAAATGGTATGTTATCTTATTTTTTTAATGAGTGAATGAAAAACTATTTTTTCTATACTCCTAAAACTTCGGGTACTTCTGATATCAGATGTATGAGTTTTTCCCCCACACAGCCCACTGTCTCCCACACCAGTGGGGTGTTCTACAATTCAATTCAGTTCTGAGTTGAGAGTTAAGATTCCGATACTACAAGCTAAGAAGGCAGTTATGACTTCCCCTATCAAAAGTCTTAGGTTGTCACTTGTATTTCCGATTGACCGGCTATAAAACAGGATTCTCACAACCCTGTCTTTGGGTTTGATAGTTTTCTAGAATGGCTCACAGTAGTTAGGGCATTTACTGGTTTATTATATAATAACATAATTAAGGATATAGATGAACCCTTAGATGAAGAGACACATAGGGTAAGGACTGGAAGGGTCCTGAGGTCAGGAGCTTCTGTCCCAGTGGGGTTGGAGTATGCCATCTTCGTGGCACATGGATGTGTTCACTAATCTGGAAGCTCTCTGAATCCTATACTTTAGGTATTTTTATGGAGGATTTATTATGTAGGCATGATCATTGATTAATCTCTAACCCCTCTCTTGTCTCTGGAAGATAAGGGGGTGAGTCTGAAAGTTCCAAGCTTCTACTTATGCTTGGTCTTTCTGATGAATAGTCTGCACCTGGAAGCCCCCCAAAAGTTGTCTCATTAGAATAAAAGATGCTTCTATCACCCAGAAAATTCCAAGGGGACTTGGGAGCTCTGTGTCGGGAACTGAGGTCAAAGACCAAATATTAGAGCAAAAGATGCTTCTAGCATCACTATCTCAGATTACAAGAGTTTTAGGAGCTCTGTGTTAGGAAGTGGGGACAAAGATCAAATATTAGCAGGAATCAGAGGCAGAGACCAATATATTTATTCTTATTTCACAATCAGGTTCTTTTGGGTTTGGGGTAATTGATACCAAATCTTATTCTCTATTTTTGACCTTGGAACCCTTCCTACAATTCTTAAGCACAGGCAGTTCCTAGGATTACCAGCAATAGTTAACTCTGAAGACAGATTTAAAAGAATTGGGTATTGTTTGTGATTGGATTTTGGAGTTGAAGCTTTGAATGTTGTTTGGATGATTTACAAAAAAACTATCATTGGCTCCTGATTTAATTTCCTTGAAACTATGATGGAGATTTTGCCTTTTCTGGAAACCAGAGTCATTTGAAATATACTAGGGTGTTGGAAGGTTGGAAGTGTGTGGTTTGAATCAGTGGTCTTAATGTTGACAAAAGAAAAACAAGCTAAATTTATATTATTTCATTGGGAAAAAATTTTTTTAATGATTTAAGAAATTGGACTGCTGTAGTTCTATAGAAAGACTAAGTTAAAGTTCCAACTGTTAGTAAGAGAAGCTTTTCCGTGCAGTTTAAGATCATCCTATATTATTTTAGTGGTATTACTGGTGCCACTGAAACTTTTTGTTTGGTATTTTCAAGGACAAAATGAAAAGTCCACGAGTGGCCCTGTCAGCTGCAACACAGAAGTCTCTTGATAGGAAGAAGTACATGAAGTAAGTTTTCTTTGTTTCATGTCACATTTTTTTATTTTTTATTTTTAATTTTTTATTTTTTTTAAACATTTTTTTATTTATTTATGATAGTCACAGAGAGAGAGAGAGAGAGAGAGAGGCAGAGACATAGGCAGAGGGAGAAGCAGGCTCCATGCACCGGGAGCCTGATGTGGGATTCGATCCTGGGTCTCCAGGATCGTGCCCTGGGCCAAAGGCAGGCGCCAAACCGCTGCGCCACCCAGGGATCCCTTTCATGTCACATTAATTCAGTTATTATCAAACCAATTGCTTTTAGTCATCTGTTGGTCTATTTGTGTATTCAAATTAGAAAAAAGTTCACTTTTCTACAGCTAAGTTTAGAAATCCCCTTTTTTATATAAAGTTTTATTATTCAGGTGATAAAATCTGATTTCATCCTTAGGTAAATGTATCAACTACTAAATTGATTTAGTACAGTGTTCAACTTGTGTAATCGATAGCCACTCAACCTTAAAAATAATCTTTATATTCAGTATTAATTTTATATCTTTTGAATATATTCTTTTTCTAATATTTGAAAGACTACATGGGAGGGAAACCTAATACAAAGAACATTATAGTAACTATCTTTATAAGCTGCTTCTTTCTGGAAAGTTATCTTTAGTGCACTTAGTACAGTTGAGTAGTACAGCAACTGAGAAATGATTTATTTCTGTCATCCTGAACACATCTGTAAGCATTTTCTTTCCCTTTCTTTTTTTTTTTTCTTTCCCTTTCTAAATACATTGTTTGTGTGTTCTTATTTTTGTGTTGTGTTAGAGCTGCTGAAATGGGAATGCCAAATAAGAAATTTCTGGTTAAACAAAATCCTTCTGAAACAAGGTGAGAAAAATCACTTTGTCTCTGTGAAGTTACTTATTTATTAAGAAAATAGAAAGAAAACTTTATAAATCCCAACCTTACTTTCTGTTTAGTTCTAACTTTATATCAATAGAACACTCCCTGCTGACTACAGGATTGAAGAGGGGCCAAGATCCATATTAACACTGGTTAAGGTATACATGGTTATATGTCAGACCAGATGTTTCAGGAGCTTTCTTAGGATATGCCATCTCAGATAGAAATTTCAGCCCCGTTTGTTCCGAGTTCAGATCACAGTCCAGGACTTACTTTGGATGCTTATTTAAAAACCTCAGGGACCCCTGGGTGGCTCAGCGGGTTAAGTGTCTGCCTTTGGCTCAGGTCATGATTCCAGGGTCCTGAGATTGAGCCCTGAGTCGGTTTCCCTGCCCTGAGAGCAGTCTGCTTCTCCATCTGCATACCACCCCCATTCATGCTCTCTAATAAAGTCTTAAAAAAACCCCACAAAACCCAAAAACCTTAGAAAGCTAGCTTAATATTTCTGACCTGTTCTTTACAAGAATTATGTTACTTAGATGTTTGAAAGGAAAAGTTGGTTTTTGTAAAATATATAAATTACCTAAAAACACAAGAATTAAACATTTATGTTGGACATCCTGGTAAAAACCTAAGATTTGGGCTCTCCGTGAGTAAAATATAAGTACCATATTAATAGGCGTCAGTTTGATTTTCCGTGTGGTATTATATTGGCCTATTTGCATAGATGACCCCCCCCCACTGTTAAGCATCTTTCGTCTATTAAAAGAAAATGGAGAGAAAACTGAAATTATGTCATTCTCTTCTTAATTAATTTTTTACGTACTTTGTCAACAGAGTCCTTCAGCCAAACCAAGGACAGAATGCACCAGTTCATAGGCTACTTAGTAGACAAGGGTAAGAATGCCACTCCTGGGTAAAAACATCCAAATCAAGATTAGCTTTGAGCAGGGAAAATAATTTAGTGCTCTTTACATAAAGGGGAACTCTTTTACAAATGTGATTTGTTCATAGCATTTTGAAGATCTTTTAAAGTTTTGTGTTCAAAGATAACCCTTTGGTGTACTGTTGTGTATTTTATCTTAATTATCATCTTATGTTGGCATGTTTTTACTTTTCATTTCATACCATTTTGCTCATTAAGTATTGTAAGCATCCATATAGTAAGTTCATCACCAAAGTGATTTTCCAACAAAGTATAAACCTTGGTTCTAGTCTCCTGCTGAAGCAAAGTGTAGCTTCTTTGCTGTGTGCATGTGTGAGAGTTATGTCCTTTTCAAGCTTATTTATACTTTGAGCTGTTGATGCAGTATGGTTGCTTTCTTTGAATGTTGAACATTTAGACCTTAATGCAAGTGACTTATTAATTTTTTTATATTCAATTAGAACCCCTAAGACATCAGTGAAGGGGGTTGTGCAAAATAGACAGAAGTCTTCACAGAGCAGAGTGCCTAACAGAGCGCCTGTTTCAGGTGTGTAGCAAATGAGTTCCTGAAACCCATTTAATAGAAGGACATGCACGAGCTGCCCCATGATGCAGGCCACACAGATGTAATATCTTGTCTTTCCTTGCCACCATAATTTGGGCATATTCACAGTCATTCCTGCTAGTGATCATTTGTATTAGTATTTTGTGGCAGTCAGGAGATCATAGTAAAACTGTGGTTCTGATCTTGATGTCTGTAATGATCCTGTGGAAACACTATAAATTTTTTTAATCTCAAAAATCTGTAGAATTATACATGCTTAATTCAGAAAGCCTTTTTATGAATGAGTAAAGTATAATAATCTGATGCCTACATCTGTGCGTGTCTGTTCAGCTTTGGGGAAGTGTATCACCCAGAAATATTTGTATCTGCACATAAAGTGATGAAAAATTTCTCCCTCTGGCCACAAGATCACATGTGAATATGCCAGGTGGGAGGGGGTAAGTTTTGTTTTTGTTATTTTATGGATTTTAAATTGTTTATGGTGGCAAGAAGACAAATTCAATATTAAGCTAATGCAAAGCCGTTAAGCTAATGTTTTACTATTTTGTAGGTATTTTTGTTAAAGACACTTTGATAAGCTCACCAAAAATTGTGATCCATTAAAAATACTTTCAAAATGCTTCGCTTTAACTATACTCCTTTCTAAACATTTTAAAGAAAATCTAAATCACTAGGCAATGATGATTAAATCTTTAATCAATTCTAATCTTCCCATTAACATACAATTAGGCATATTTTAGAGCTTTTATTACTGTTTTCCTCTAAATTAGGAGGGAATGAACAAAATTTTTTTGTGTTACTGCTATTTGTTCCCATATGTTCGAAGAGGGAATGAGATATACTGATAACTTTGAAATGATTGCTGACTTTTTGCATATATATATAGTGAATTTAATTCATAATGTTGCATATGTAGAATATAATATAAAAGGTCATCTTTTGGAAGTTACTGTGAGTGACAGTCAGTGGAGTTGTTTTAAAGGAGATTATGTTGAGGATTTATTCCAGAGGTGATCAGAGTCAGCTGGTTTGAAAGGTAACTAGAAGAACTCAGACCAAACACTAGATCTGTTGCTTGTGAAGTTATGTGTAGTGTTATGATCTTTTCAATTTTTTCCCATATTAGAGTTATATATTGTGATAAATCCTGGCCAGTTGGTGATTCATTGAGGAATTAGTATTGTTTTGTGTGATATTCTCCATTTGCCACAGTGATGACTATCCATGTTCTTGTCTCATGCATTTCATCTCCACTGTTTGTCCCTTGTGAATCTGTAAAAAAAAGAGCAAGTAAAACTCAACAGTATGAAGGATGAATAACAGGAGGCCTTTGCAGTTCAGTATCTAGAACGAGGTTTAATTGCACTGCAACATAATTCTAATACAAACGAACTTAACGTATAATTATTATATATCTAAACAAGTACAAATTTCCTATTTTTCTAAACATTTCTACATGAGTGCTGTATTTAGACAATTAAAAAAGACTAAAGATTCTATCATTTTACATAAATTGAAAATTTGGGATATGTGACTGATTAAAATTCTAACTCTGAATCTCAACATAGGGCCTCAGTAGTTGCAGTTGAAAAGACTATTCTTTCCTGCTCAGATTTTTAATGGCCTGGATTATGTTTCAAACAAACTTGAAATTTATGATTTATTTTGATCTGCAGGGAGAACGAAGCCTTTATTAATAAGTAACTTATAGAAAGCTCATTTTTTGTGTGATGATAGACTTTCATACTCAGACTGAAGTAGGATGCTAAGGGGTGGTTACATTTTGCTGCAAAGCACTTAAAGTTGTTTATAGTTCTTACAAACTAAATTGCAATCTCTGATGTCATGTTTTAAAACATATTTGCTCATTTGATGTCTTGTGTTTGACTCAGGAGTTTATAGTGAAATTCAGAAACCACTAATTAAAGCAAAGTAGGAGTAATGCAAAATGATTGTTAAGTAAAGCAACAAATCAGGTGTAGCTGGGTTCTCAGAGTCTACTTCTGGCTGTTAGGCATGTGACTTACTCTCCCATGTCTCAATTTATTATCTTTAAAACAGTAGTAACAGTTTCTACCTCAGGATTATTTTATGTAAGGATTAGATATGATAATGTATGTCACTTAAGCTTAGTGCCTGGTATATAGTAAGCACTTGTTAAATGGTATTCTAGAAAAACTGACATAGAGAAATAATATTAGTTTTGCTCTATTTTTAGGAGTATATGCAGGAAAAATCCAAAGAAAGCGGCCAAATGTTGCGACAATTTAAGAAGACAACATTCGTTAGGATAAACAAGGGCCAGGGTGGGAGGCTTTGTGTACTGTTTCCCTTGCCCAGGACTCTTTAGTTAATCCTGGACCGTTTACACAGGCAAAGTGATATCAAAGGGCTGAGCAATTATCTGCAAACTTGATCACTCTGGCTAATTCCTTCCCTACCCCTCATTATCCTCGTAACATTAGGTTTGGGTGAAGACACTTTAGTAATCTTAGACCATCTCTTTGCTTAACCTGTACAAATATAAGTTTGTTTTCTGTACCCAGATGTCTGCTGAGAATGTTTTTGGACATTTGGGTTTATTTCTATAAAATATCGAAAAGGTGTGATAAATTACAAATAAGTTTGGAAATATAAATTTCATTCACCTCTGCACACTGACCACTAAATTGAATCAACAAATTAGAGACTGTTCTATTCGGGGGAAAATTACTGCCAAAGGATGTTTTCCCCTGGTTTTGTAAAATTTAAACACTGATTAATCTCTCTATCTTCATATTCTTGGACTCACTTGCCTGCTGGCTGTGGTCTACTCAGAATTTACCACAGAAGTAGCTGGGGGCCACCCTTTTGGTTAACGGTATACATTCCTCTTAACCGCTGGTTGTCTTGTGCAGAAATATTATGTTTAATGTAGGTTACCCCAGTGCTCTTGGAAACACTTCTCCTAAATCAAAATCTTTCTTTGGAGGTTAACAAATTAGGGAGAGAGCACAATCTTCTTGAATGTAGTAGCACCTAGGAGTGAATCAGTGCATCCAATTTCTGTAAAATAGAGTCACACTGCATGCACTTCTATTTTCTTGGTCTGCGCATTTTGTTCCTTCATAGTCTGTTTTTTCTAGCTTACTTGATTTAGGAGAGACTAAAGGGCTATATGACAATAAGTCTAGATTTTCCAGTGGGATAGTAATATTGTTGAGTTGAAATTCTGCATTAAAAGGCACTGATATTTAAGGTTTTCATTACTAACATATTCATTTAAAATATAAATCAAAAAAGGTTACCAATGGAACATGATTTTATGAAAGAGAATGTCACTGTTAATTTATCATGCCATTTCCAAAAAGGGCTTTGTGCTTTTCACATAAAATTGGGACTATGTACATTTACTCTTTCTAACTTGAATTTTAAAATGATACTGGTATTTTGAAAATGAAGACTATATATTCTTAATATCCTAGTAAGAAGGTGGAGATAAAGATGGTTTTCTCCAATTTTGTCCTATTTAAAATTTAGCTTTTACATCCAGCCGTAGACAAGACAGTAATAATCTACTCCGGGTGTAAACTGGACTTTCTTTATTGAGATGTATCATTTATTGAATGAGTGAGCCAGGAAATCAGAAGATGGTATAAAAGGTCTGAATTACCGATTTTTTATTTGTAGGCAAAGTATATCAAAATATCTTAATAGGATAAATTGTGCTTTATCATTCTGAAAACTCAGGATACAGCTTACTCATCATTGTGGGTCTTTCCAGTGAGAAAGATAGATGCTACAAATTTTGTGTGCACTAATGCAAATTAGCTGAAACAAATAGTACGTTTTGGAGAAAGCTAAAACTAGCTTTAGATTAAGGTTGAGAAACAGGAGTGTTTTTTTTTTCAAGATAAAAGCGTGTGTGTTTTACACATATTTTAATGTTCACAGCTTTTTCTTATGAAAGTGCCATTGTTTTGTGCTTTTAATGGATTTTTTATTTATATACATTATTTTTGTTATTTTTGAGTGGAATGTCCATTAACGTAAATTGTATTTATTTTTATACTTTAATTTTCATTAGTTTTGCTTCTAGGCAAAAGGCAAAATAAACTTTTCATCTTAAAAGAAATCTAGTTTGATCTTTATTTATCAACGAAAGGACCATTTGGGATAGATACTGAAAAGTCTCTGGCCAAAACAATACTATAATGATATTTTTTATAATTAAAAGCCCCATCGAAGGTATATCCCACTACTTAATGTGTAACCTGTACCAGTGCTTTGTCCAGCTTTTGACTTTGCATGCATGGGACTTTGCGCACGGAGTGCGGAGTTTGAAGCTCACATCAAAGCTCCTAATTTTAATGAGCACAGCTTCAGGGTCTGGTTACTGCTTCATCGTCCTCGGTGAGCCCTAGTGAATGCTCCTCGTTACCTCTTACTGAGGAGAGACTGCACTGAATAATCTGCAAGGCAGGTCTGAAAGAGCCCTTCACTTTTCCCTGGCTGCCCTTCAACGGTTTCTCCTTGGACGTGCCTGGGAGGCCTCATTACTCATCTGAGCTGGAAACAAGGGCCCGTTCTGGAGATGGAGAGGTTTGTTGTCAGGTGTCACCGGCCCGGGAACCACCAGAGACCCTCCCCACCTACGGGGAGTGAGAAGTCACAGTCCTACAAAAATAAGCGAATGGAGGTGGAATGCTTGATCACCGAGGGCCCACGGCGAGCACACGTATAGGTCACAAAAATAAACAAGAATCACTATTGTACACCTGAAACTAATATTACTGTATATTAATAGAATTCAAGTGAGAATTCAAAAGAAACCCCAATCTTAAAAACTAAGGGAGTCTTGCTGAGTACAGCAAATGGAACTGGAATATGGTGCAGCGACCGAGTCACGTCCTGGATGAGGTTCTAAGGACAGCTCTGAGGGCAGACCACCGTGTCTAGCCAAAATTATCCTTGGCCACAAAATACTACCTTTTCACTTTTTTTGGCCAGTTTCTCTGCGGCCCTCAAGTCCCTGTCTTCCGGTGGTTTGCTCCCCAGCCGGTGGTGGAGCCCGTGGGGTCCGCGCGGGGCGGCGGGGCTGGAGAGGAGAAGCTCCGCACACCTGAGCCGGGAGGCGTCTCGTTCCCAGGTGCCGCCGCCCGGAGGCCCGCGCGTGGATCACCGGGCCGCGGCCCAGCGCGTCTCCCGGGGCTGCGCTCGCGGGAGCGCTCAGGAGAAGGGTCCGTGGGCCACACGGTCTCCGCCCTTAGGCCAGCAGCCTGGCCAAGCGCGGCGCAAAGCCAGCCCCGACCTCCGCGAGTGGGTCAGCGCCAGCGGAGGGCGAGCATCGCGGACCACGGCCTCGGAGGCCGTAAAGCGGCGCCGATGGGCGAGGCAGCCGGCCGCCCTGCGACTGCCCCTCACAAGCATGGCGCTGGGCTGCCGCAGTGTTGATGTGTCCTCCCCTTGCCGTCACGGCGCTGCGATGGGCCGCTGGAAGGGCACGTGCCCCTCATAATCATGGCGCCAGAGGGGCCCTCAGGAAGAGTACGCCCACTTCTCGCAATGAGGGCGTCAGGGACGGCAATCCGGAAGTGTGTAGGCCCCTCACAATCACGATATCGCAACGCAACGGAAGTGCGTCTGTGCCCTGCAATCGTAACGCCTGAACACGGCACGGCCTCGGCTTTTACACACTACCGTCCGCTTCCATGACCGCAGTGCTGGCGGACGGCGTAACCTGGGTTTTGAAGGCGGGCATCCGTCCTCACGCTCATGGTGGCGCAAGTCCGCGGACATCTGCCCTCCCTCCACAATCATGCCGTCCGGGGGACAATGCCCCGGAAGTATATTTGCCCCTCACAATCATGGCGTCTAGACCGGCGTCCTGCAAGTGCACCTAGCTCCTCACAGTCGTGGCACGGCGGACCTTTCGGGCGAATATGTGTGCCCCTCACGATCATGGCGTCTGGGACGCGCTTCGGAAGTGTATTTGACTTTTAGAATCACGGCATCGCTGACCAGCGGAGATGTGCCTGCCCCTTACAATCACAGACATTTTAAGTGCTCGTGCCCGTCCCAATAACTGGTGCCGGTGGTCGGTGCAATCTGGGTTGTGAGGGAAGGCATCCCTGCGGTGAGCACCTGCCCTTCAGTCATGTCCCTGGAAGATAACACAGCCTGGACTGTGCAGCACAGACGCCGGCCTCCGTAACCATAATGCTAGGAGGCCGTACAACGTCTAGGTTTTGAGGGAAGGGATCTACATCCCCCAAGCAGGGCGTTGACCAATGGCTTAGCGGAAGTGCGTGTGCCCCTCGTAATTACGGCGCTAAGGGAAAGCTCAGCGGAAGTCTCTCCGTCCCTCACAATCATGGCGCTTCCAAGGGTTAGCGGGAAGGCACCTGCCCCTCACAAGCATGGCGCCCTCAGGGCTCAGCGGGAGGGCACCTGCCCCTCACAATCATGGCGTCCCCAGGACTCAGCTGGGAAAGCATCTGCCCCTCACAATCATGGCGCCCCCAGGGCTCAGCGGGAGGGGACCTGCCCCTTACAATCATGGCGCCGTTAGGGCTCAGCGGGAGGGCCCCTTCCCCTCACAATCATGGCGCCTCCAGGCTCAGCGGGGGAAGCATATGCCCCATACAATCATGGCGCCCTCAGGGCTCAGCGGGACGGCACCTGCCCCTTACAATCATGGCGCCGTCAGGGCTCAGCGGGAGGGCACCTGCCCCTCACAATCATGGCGCCCCCGGCGCTCAGCGGGGGGAAAAGCATCTGCCCCTTACAATCAGGGCGGCCAGAGCGGGGCGGGGCCTGCGAGGTAAAGGGCGGGCTTCCCCAGTAGAAGCGCTCACGTGACCGGGAAGATGGCCGTCTTTCCCTGGTAAGGAAGAAGCGGCGGGTGGGCTGTGGAGGAGGACCGTCTGCTGTGTCTGGGTCTGTGTCCGCGAGTGTGAGCGAGTGTGAGCGGCCGGCGACTGCCGTCTGCGTGCGGTGCTGGCGGAGTCTCCCGTTCCGTCCCCGCGGTGGTTTTGGCCACAGGATTCCCGGCCGCTGCCCGGGTCCGGAGGAGGCGCCTGAGGCCGGTCGGCGCCCGGGGGCACCCCCCCGTCTCCCCGCGCCCCGTCTCCCCCTCCCCGGTCTGGGTGACCCGGACACCCGCCTGGCCTCTGGGCCAGCTCCCCGGAGGACGCTGGGCTCCCCTCCCCGGAGAGCGGCTTCCGTGGGGCGCGCCCACATGCCCCTTGGGCTCGGGGGTGACCGCTTGGTGGAAGGGCCCCCGAGGCGCAGCTTCCCCCTGGGGCCCGGGGTGGGCTTTAGCGGGGCGGAGGCTTCCGTTGGGTTTTGGAGGGTGCATAGGAGCTCGCTGCAGGCGGGCCGGGCGTGTGTCCCGGCCGGTGGCTGCGGTGGCTGGGCTGCGTCTGCGGGAAGCCTGCGAGCTGTGAGGGCCCCGCGGGACTCTCCCCCGCATCTGGGACGACCGTCGTCCGATCTTTCTTTCCAAATGGTGAGAAGTGGTTTGCCTTGAGCGAGTGAGTGAGCAAACGAGAGCGCGTAGACATGGTCAGATGCAACGGGGTTTTATGCTGGATCCGCAGGCAGCTGCCTTCCTCCTTCCCTGCAGCTGGCTCGCACTGCAGCGACTTCCTCCCGAGGCCTTGAGGCGCCAAATCGGGATTGGACGCCCCTGAGTTTCCTTGGATCCGGTCGTGCGAAGCACCTTTTAGGGTACGATTAAAACGTAAACATCCCAAACGAGAGACATCTGGCTTCAATGAACTTGTGTGGAGTTTTCGAGTGAGAAAATGCAGGAAGATGCTATTTTAATCTGTGCATCCCAGTAGGTTTTTACCTGTGGTCTTTTTAACATCTGGGGTCTGCAGAGCTGCTCGTTTGGCTGCGCTCCCCACATTTTTGTGGCATCATTCATTCTAACGCTTCCCGAGACTTGCTGCTCTTTAAAGGGACCGAGGGGGATCCCTGGGTGGCGCAGCGGTTTGGCGCCTGCCTTTGGCCCAGGGCGCGATCCTAGAGACCCGGGATCGAATCCCACGTCGGGCTCCCGGTGCATGGAGCCTGCTTCTCCCTCTGCCTGTGTCTCTGCCCCTCTCTCTCTCTCTCTGTATGACTATCATAAATAAATAAAAATTAAAAAAAAATAAAGGGACCGAGGGGCGCCTGGGTGGCTCAGTCGGTGAAGCGTCCCATTCTTTTTTTTTTTTTTTTTTTGAAGAGTCCCATTCATGATTTCCGCTTGGGTCATGATCTCAGGGTCGTGACCTCCAGCCCTGCATCAGGCTCCACACTCAGCGGGGAGTCTGCTTGGGATTCTCTCTCCCCCTCTGCCCCTCCTCTTGCTGGCTTGCATGCACTCTGTTTCTATCTCTAAATAAATAAAAATTTTAAAAAAGGGATCGAGTTTCAATCCTTGTTGTACCTGACATGGAGCTTGGCAGAGAGTAGGTGCTCAGTAATATTCCATGGGATGAACGGGGAAGCAGAAAGGGCCTCCAGAGGAGAAATGTGTATTGTTGAACTTGACATTCACGGAGCCTTTTGTGGGTGTGCCAGGCACTGTATTAAGTGCTTAGTGCCTAACATCTCTATTAATCCTTACAACAATCCTATTTTTCAGAAAGTGGAGGCAGAGAGGGAAGCAGTTAAGTTTACCTAAAGCACAGTCTGCATCTTTGCAGAGGTTTGGAGCTCAAATACTGTGCTCCTAACCATCAGCGGCAGCTGGACCTCCAATCCAGGCCCTGGGCTGTGGACTCGGGTGCAGGGCTCCCCAAACCCCACTGCGTTGTCACGAGCCTCCCCAGAATGGCTCTTTGCACCCACACTTCATTATCCCTGATTATGTTATATCCTGGGCTAACCTCTGTGGTTTACAGTACGCTGTGGGTCACCTTTCGTATTTAATCCTGTGGTAAGAATGCCCATAAAAACGCCCGCTTTTGAGTCAATAATTTTTTTTTTGAGATTTTATTTATTTATTCATGAGAGAGAGGGGCAGGCTCCATGCAGGGAGCCCAACGTGGGACTCGATCCCGGGGCCCCAGAATCACGCCCTGGGCCGAAGGCGGCGCTAAACTGCTGAGCCACCCAGGAATCCCCCAAGTCAAGAATTTTTATATCACTTGAAGACTTTTTGAGGAGTTGGGGGGGAGGGGAGGGAGGGTATATCATGATCGTGGGAGAAGAAACTGGCCAGATGATGTCATTAGTCACTTAAAAATCACTTACAAATGAAAATAACCAGCAAAAGGCATTTGGTGGATTTCGGGATTTCCAGCATAAGGAGATTTATTTGCTAATGGAATTTCTATGCATCCATGATACCAGATGTAAGTAATTGGAAAATAGGGAGTGGTCAACCTTTAATGTGGGTATAAATCACTCTGGGGTCTGTGCTAACCTGCAGATCCCTATCTGTGGGGTTGCCACACTCCCCAGGTGATGCCCTTGCTAAGTGATTTGTGGGCCGCACTTTAGTAGCCAGCAGCTGGGCCCAGCCAGGAGCCCAGGTGGGAAATGATGGGTGGCTGCCAAGGATCCACGCCAGCCTTCAGCGTTGCTGGGAGGGATTTTGACCAGCTGCATGGGCTCTGTTCTGGGGCAAAAAAGCAAAATATAGGGATTTTGAGTAAATGCCCACTGGGGGGCACTGTTGGCTTTATCAAAGACCCAGGCCTTGAAGACCATTGCTGTAGCATCGCAAACTGTGGGAAACTGGTTAGGACCCAAGAATCAATTTGAGGAAAAGTAATGGAAGAAATGGCACAATGATCAGCATATAGCTGTTTGACATGGAATTTCAAAATGGGTAAATGTTTCCTTTTTTTTTTTTAAGGTGTTTTTCAGAAGTATTTTTCTTCACCTCCCCTCAGCTTAAAAACAAAAATTATTTCAAAGCTTGGTCCTTTAAAAAGAAAATAGACAAAAGTAGACAATGGCTTAAGGCTCTCAAGATGACCCACATTTGGGCTGCAGAGGTCCTGCATCTGAGACTCAGGCCAGCTCAGTTTGCTTGAGTCCCTAGGTACCTGCTGTTGTCACCTCAACTGTAAGCCTCAGCTTCTCTACCTGAAAAATGGGCGTAATGATAGCACCTGTGTCTGGGGGTTGGTTAAATGAGGAAGTGCTGGGGAAAGGGCTTGACCCGCATCCCTGTATACAGCAAGCACATAATAAATGAGAACTATTATTTTTATTCTGCGAATCCAGTCACCCTGTTCTTTTTAATTGGAGTTCAGTTTGCCAACATATAACACCCAGTGCTCATCCTGCCAAGTGCCCCCCTCATTGCCGTCACCCAGTCACCCCAACCCCCACCCACCTCCTTTCCACTACCCCTTGTTCGTTTCCCAGAGTTAGGTGTCTCTAATGTTGTGTCACCCTCACTGCACCTTGTTCTTTTTGATACCATGCATTTGTCAGCTGTTGGTTGATTTGTTAACAATCATGACAGGGATGAGGAGCCTTTGCAACTGAATTTCGGGTTGGATTCCATTTCCACTCATTCTAATAACCTTTCAAAATTCTGTTGATAAAGTTAAGAATGACCTGAAAGGAGGACAAGCATCGTTTGATTTTTAACCTCTGTTATGGCCGTCGATGGTTGCTATTCCAATTTATTTATTCTTCAGGTCTTGGTTTATTTTATTTTTTTCTTGGTTTATTTTTAAGTCAAGGATTGTCTGGCAGCCTATCAAAGGGAGCCTGGAAAAGCATTTCATATTTTTGAGAGATGAGGACTCAGTGTATGGTGAGTGTGACCGCAGAGACTAGGCAATATATCATGAATAGGGGTTTTTTCTTTCAGAATATAAAAAATAAAAATTAGAGATCCACCTGTATTGTTGAGCGGCCTTCCTCCTCTCCTGCTCTCAAAGCCATAGTTATTTAGAAAGAGATGGGAATGAAATGCCCTGGGGTCTCTGTTCTCTTGTCCTGAGTTGGGTTTCTGGGTTATTGGAGCTCAAGTCAGGCCTACAGGTTGCACAGCACAGTTGGATTTGGGGTTCCGGCTAGTACTAATAAGTCGTGGGGCTGGGTGAGGGCGTGTTTAGGGGACTGGGAGGCTGAGGAGCAAGGTGACCGTCTCCCTGTGCCCCTTGAGACTGTGTGCTTTCCAAGTTTTTTAAAATGTTTCCCTTTGGATGAGCCATTCTGGCTTTTAATCACTTCTCCTTTTTTTTACGGGTGCATATTCAAGAGCTCCCACAACGCTTGGTGTAGGGAATGTCCTGACCCCCTGCCCCGCTTCATTGCTCATGGGTTCGGCGTCCCACAGGGCACCCACAGGTGAGCACGCTCCTGCCGAGCTGCCTGCCTGAGTGTGACCGGGATCACCTGGCCGTGTCCTGGCCCATGGTCCTCAGTCCCCGTAGCCATCTGAGGCCTCGCCAGCTTCTGATGCAGCCGCTGGTGCCTCCTGGAGGAGGGTTGGGGCTTCCTCCGCAACTCTCCTGCCCTCACAGCAGTCACCCGTGACTGTCCCCCCCAAGGCAATGGCTTTTCTCATCTGTCTCGAAAAACCCTTCCTCGTTTCGAGGTATTTGTTACAGCAGCACCCCTACTTCTCAGTCCCAGTTACCTGCCTTAGTCCATTGGGGCTACTGTAAAAAAAAAAAAATCACAGATGGGGCAACTTCTAAACAAGAGGATTTGTTTCTCCTGGAGGCTGGAAGTCCAGGATCCCGACATCAGCACAGGGTATCTTCATGGGGTGGGGAGGCTCTCGGGGGTCCCTATTCCCAGCACTGGTCCCACTCATGAGGCTCCTCCCTTATGACCCCTTCACTTCCTGAAGGCCCACCTCTAACACCATCATTTTTGGGAGCAAGGATTTCAATGTGTGGATTTGGTGGGGGGGGTGGGAGCACAGACCTTCAGACCACAGCGCCTCTTCTGTGCTAGCTGTCATACGGTTTCAATTCTACCTGTATTTTAAATACCATAAATTATTCTTTACAGTCAATAATATAGTTTTATCCACACCTTTACATTTTATTACTGTTCAGTACATATGGGTACGTACGTATATATGTGCCATATTACATATATCTATGTTTTTCAGTTGGGATCATTTTGTTTCTACATGTAGCTTTTTTTTAAAAAATACAATTCTGCTATACGTGCTGTTCTCTTTTTCTTTTTAAAGATTTTATTTATTCACAAGAGACACAGAGATGCAGAGACCTAGGCAGAGGGAGAGGCTGGCTCCCTGCAGGGAGCCCAATGCGGGACTCGATCCCAGGACCCCAGGATCACGTCCTGAGCCAAAGGCAGATGCTCAACCACTGAGCCACCTAGGCACCCTTTTTTTTTTTTTTTTTAAGACTTTATTTATTTGAAAGAGAACATGAGCTGGCAGGGGCGGGGGTGGGGGGTGGGTGTTGAGTGGCAGGGAGAAGGAGAAGCAGACTCCCGCTGAGCTGGGAGACCAATGATGGGGTTCAATCCCAGGACTCTGAGATCATGAACTGATCACCAACTGAGCCACCCAGGCGCCCACCACCGCCCACAAATCCTCTTGTTTTTTTTTTTTGACAGAGAAACTACCCCTTAGGACTGCAGCGTAGTTTTAGTAGGTGTGGAATTTTTGGTTGGCATTTGATTTCTTTGCTACTTGAGCACATCATCCATTTGTCTGCCGGCTCTCATCTCTGTGCTGAGACAATAATCGTTCTTTGAAAATACTGTGTCTTTTTCTTTTTTTCTAAGAAATCCTCTCTCTTTTAGCCATATTACTCAAAGCCCTAAGTATTGTTTCTGATTTGCTTTTGTACAGGGCCTGCGTGGGGCATAGGTGTTTCCTGAATCTGTAGCTGGTTGTCTTTTGGTTTCCACTGTCATCCTTCAGATACTGTTTCTGCCCATCTTTTTTCTCCTCCCTCTGGGGTTCTAGTTGTACATGTGTTAGGCCTTCCCGCCCTGCCCCCTACTGCCTCTCACCCTCTTTGCCGGGCTTCCCGTCTGTTCCCCTTGTGCATCAGCATGGATTCTGTTTTACTTCCATCCTCTGATCCTGTCACAAGACTGATGAAAACCCTGTGCTCTTTGTCTACTTCCTGCTCGGCTTCTTTCTCTGGCTTTCTACAGCTCTTGTGAACACTTTGCGGGGAGCCCCAGGGCCGGATTTCTCACTTCTCTGCGCCCTGTTCTCCTAAGAAGCTCTTCCTTCGGGCCCTGCTTGTCTACGGGGAGGAGCCCGGGAGGAAAGTTGGCCTTACCTCACTGAACGCCCCTGGTTGTGGCATCTGGCCTTGCGGGTCCTGGATGCCTTTGAACTGAGTGTTAAAATTCTGTTGAGCATTTCTCAGACTGGGTAGAGATACCTTCTGCTACAGACGGCCATATCCTTGAGGGAGTCTGAGCGAACAGTTCTGGTGTGTTAGATGTGTCCTTCAGCTGATCGTTTTCTGGGTTTTGCTGTCTGCCAGGCATTCCAGAAACAGGAACTACAAGGCTGAGTTTGCGTCATGCCGCCTGGAGGCTGTGCCCTTGGAGTTTGGAGACTATCACCCGCTGAAGCCTATAACTGTGAGTTTGTCACGGGCCTCTCAAACTGCCATTCTTACTCCACGAAATCAGAGGTTGGGTTCCTGGGGCTTTGCCGTTTGCTGACAGTAGCGCTTTTGCCTGTTTATCTCCCACCATCGTGTTCATTCTGCCCTTTCTCCCATTTGCGAGGTTGTCGCGAGCCATGGGCTGCCTTTATTCCTAATGGGGAGCTGTAAACCAAATACCTTCTAAACTTGCCCATGTGGAATATAAGAATCTCTCCGATGACTAGTTGAGGATGCTGTCCTTGGGTACTGTCTTTGTCGGCTTGTGAGTTAGTTAAAAAACGAACCAGAAAGTGGGCAAGTGACATAGATGGTCCTTCGCTTCTGGGTTAGTGTCATTTGATTAGTAAGTAGTAGAAGCTACGTGCTTGTCATCGTGTGTGGGGTAAGGGCAATAGGCATAGACCACGGGTAGCAGGGACGTGACGTTCTGTAATGGCAGAGAGCCTGAGGATACACAGAGGCCGTTCCATAAGGCAGGGGAGCCTAGATGGAGCTTCTGCCTTCCAAGGCCATGCCAGGCCCCGTGGGCTTGTGCCACCATGGCTGACCCACCAGTGGGTCGGTCTGTTCTCAGGAACTCACTCGCCTGGAGATAGACCTGGGCAGCAGCTCCAGGCTTGGATCCAGTGGCTGAGCAATGGCAGCAGCAGGGAGACTCTCTTCTCTGTCAGTTTCCGTTGCCCAGTTGGGTTCTGTGTCCCTTCCTGGCTCACTCTGTTGACCAGGGAGTAGAACGTGCTGGATGATTGGGGTGGGGTAGTGCCCACCCCACTAGGCCTGTGGGAGCTGAGAGTTGGGGAGGGTTGCCTTTCCAAAGAAAACACGACTGGGAGCCTGGGAGGTGGAGGCACAGATGCCAGGCAGACAGAATGACAGGTGTGCACTCGTAGGAGGCACTTGACCAAAATCATCCGAGGTGGGTGTCAGACCCTCTGGGTTTAGGCCAAGGTCTTCAGGAAGATGCCCCTTGCTTTAAACACCCACTGCAAATTTGGGGGACCCCCAGGCCAACTGCACGCCTGACCAACTGGCTGCAAATCCAGGGGTTTCCCAAGATCTCCCTCAGGCTTGATAACTTGATAGAACAACTCAGAGAACTCAGCAAAGCACTGTACTTAGGTTTTTATATAAAGGATACCAATGAGGGGCAGCCAGCTGAGGGAGACTTAGGGTGAGGTCCAGGAAGGTCTGGGATCACAGCAAGCTCTGTGTCCTCTACCTGGGGACACATCATGTGTCCACCAACCAGGAAGCTCCACCGTCCACACTTCATCTTGGGGATTTAGTACGTAGGCATGATGGCGTGATTCCCTGGCCACGTGATTGCACCCAGTCTCTAGCCTCCCTCCCCTGAGGTCAGGCGGAGATCACCTGGTTGTGCCCATAGGCTTCGTCTTTCTCATGAGCAGCCACCATGCTGCAGCCCCTCAGCATAAACCCAGGTGTGACTGAGGGGCTCGTGAATGACGGCCACTCCAAGGTCTAGAGCCTCCTTTCCCAGAACCAGGGACGAAGGCCACTCAGGTCTCGAATCCCATCTTCTCCATCATTTGGAGTAGAACATCCAGTTCTCTCTCTTTCTCTCTTTCTTTCTCTCAAGACGGGTTTTCCCCATCTCCCGATGGATACCTTCTCAGACTGGCCATTACTGTCCGTCAGCCCTGGCCCCTGTGCTTTCATAGCTTCCACATTTCAAAAGGAGAGTGGAGCCCAACTAGCTTTTCTGGATTTGGTCCTAAATTTTCAGCAGAGAAACTCTGGTTGGATCCTCTTGGTTCAGAGGGTCGGCCCTGGTCTGGTCTTCTGAAGTTGGGGAGAGATAGAGGCCAGTGGGACAAGGACATGGCTTCACACCCCAACACCCTGCTGCGCCCCGAGTACTGACCAGCGTGTGGCATTAGGAAGGTCTTCAAAAAAGGAAGGCAGGGCATCCAGTACTCTGCAGTACTAGATGATGCAGCTCGGCAGCCCCATGGTGACCGTCCCAGGCGTGAAAGCCCTGGGATCTCACGTCCCCTGGTTCATGATCCTCCCAGGACCTTGCCACCTCATGAACGACAGGACCGTCTTGTGAAGATGCAGGTTCTGATGCAGTGGAGCTTAGGAGTCTGCGTATTTGAACAGCCTCCAGGTGATGTAGATGCTGCTTCCCTGGGGAAGGCTCTGAGTAAGAGGGTCCTATGGGGATGCGGTTATGTCCCACCTCCTGAGTCTTCGAGGCCCCATCTCCTCCTCCCGCCAGCGCCCCCCACTGCCTTCCCTTCCTCCACAGCTGGGATTCTGAGTCATGTCAGATTGTCACAAAAACATAAGCATCCCTGCTCAGAGCAATGGTCACTTCAGCCAAGGGAATGAGGGAAAAACGCAGGTGAGTGTTTCTCTGGGAAAAGTCTTGGGGAACTTCTACTTTACCTGCTCGCGGTTTTCCCCTCAGGTCACAGAGTCAAAGACCAAGAAAGTGAGCCGGAAAGGCAGCACGTCTTCCACGTCCTCCTCGTCCTCCAGCTCTGTGGTGGACCCGCTGAGCAGCGTGCTGGATGGGACTGACCCCCTCTCCATGTTCGCAGCCACTGCTGAGCCCGCAGCCACGGTAACACCGCCCACGGGGGTCCGTCCGGGGGCAGGGTGACTTTTCATCTTTTTGCTTTTTAATTGGCACAAGAGTGTTATGTCTGTAACAGTTCAGATGATCCACAGGCCCACAGGGTCCTGCTTATGGAGGCCGTGTCCCCCACTTAGAGGCTGGCGCGGTTGCTGGAAGCTTCTTCCTTTCTTTATTAAGCCACTTCAAAATTCATTCTTGGTTTTCATTTCACCCATAGTAATTCTTCTTCTTTTTTCTAATTAGGTAATCATGTAAGTAAATCACTGGTTTTGCATGTAAGGGAGTCAAACCGTGCCAGTGAAGCCCTCATCCTGTTGGCCTGCCTTCGAGGTCATCAGTGATCAGTGTTTTCGGCGTCCACTTCTATCGCTTTTTTTGGTGTATTTTCATAGATATAGACATAGGGTAGTTTTTGAATATCTACACACATATTCCCATCTGAGTAACAACCACAGCAGTAATAGGATTTCCTTGCTGCAAGGTGGGCGTTGCTCAATGTGTTCCTAGCGCTCACGCTGTGTGTGGCAGGTGTTCTGAGGAGGCCCATGTGGAGGAAGATCAAGTATACGCTGGACTTCAGACCCAGCCAGGCTGACTTCACAGCTCACACTCTGAACCATCATTCTGTGCTGGCATTGTCTACATCCGTTTACTTTTTTTTTTAATGTAAATTGAACTATAGTTATACTCCCCCCCCCCCCCCCCCAACTTGACAAAGTATCTGGGAGAACTTTCTGTGTTTGTACTTAGGGAGCAGGCTTTTTTTTAAGATTTTATTTATTTACTCATGAGAGACAGGCAGAGACATAGGCAGAGGGAGAAGCAGGCTCCCTCCAGGGAGCCTGATGTGGGACTTGATTCCAGGACCCCGGGATCACGACCTGAGCCAAAAGTAGACGCTCAACCACTGAGCCACCCAGGTGCCCCTGGGAACAGTCTTTTTATTTTGAATTGCATCCTAAAGAATGAGTACCTCCTTGATGCTAGACACATGGACTGTTTCCGGTGTTCCCTCATCTCGGCCATGGGCCTTTAACAGACCCATGTCTGGGTACACACGTGCTGGATTTCAGTGGATAATTTCTTTTTTATTTTATTTTTTTTAAAGATTTTATGTTTAGGTAATCTCTACACCCAACATGGTGCTTGAACTCCCAACCCCAAGATCACAAGTCACACATTCAACCAACTCAGCCAGCTATGCACCCCCTGCAGGATAACTTCTTAGAAGCATAGTACTGGGCTACAGCAATGTGTATTTCAGGTTTTGAGGCTACTGGTGTATCATTTCCAGAAAGGCTTCACCATGTGCTAGGACCACCAGCAGGGCCTGTCTAACAGCATCCTTGCCAACTGGGATAGTACCGTGCATTGTAACTCTGCCATTTTGATGGTCAAAAAATGATCACTTGCCATGTGCCTTTCCTTGATTCTTAAATGAGTTTGAGTGTCTTTTGATCAGTTTATTAGCCATTTGTGGTGAACTGGCCTGAAAAATATTTTATCCACCAAACCTTTAGACAGATCTGTTTTATTTGGCAGTGAGGGACTGTCTGCCTTCTGCTTAAACTTTTTTTCTTTAGCTTTGAGATATAATTGACGAAATTGTTAGACATCTAAGGTGTCAACATGATTTGCTATTTTTTTAAAAGATTAATTTAAAGCATGAGTGGAGGTGGGCAGAGGGAGAGAGACTCCCGTTGAGCTTGGAGCCTGTGGTGGGGCTCCATCCCACGACCACCACAAGATTACGACCTGAGCCGAAAGCAAGAGTCAGCCATTTGTGACTGATATTTCTATACACTGTGAAAACACTTCCACCATCAAGTTAGTTATTACATCTGTCACCTCACATCATTACCTTTTTTTTTTTTTAATTTGGTAAGACCATTTAAGTTTTACTCTCCTAGCAAATTTCAGTTTTACTATACTGTGTTATCAACTACAGTCACCTTGTTTGCTTTTATTTTGCTTTTAAAGACTGAAATGATACTGTGGCTGAGAACTTGTCTTGCCTTTTTTTAGGACAGCTCTAGAAAGAGACGAGACAGAGATGAGAACTCCATCGTAGGATCAGACTTTGAGCCCTGGGCTAGCAAACGAGGAGAAATCCTTGCCCGGTACACCACCACAGAAAAGCTCTCCATCGTGAGTACCAGTACACTTCTCCCAGGGCCTGCTTCAGACTTAGTAGTAATTTCTTTTTGTTACTGTGATTCTGCCTTTATTGTGTGTGTAGGATTTTCCCCCATGTCAAGCATGGGGAAAATTCCGATGCCAGTTGGGTGTCCTGCAGCTCAACTCCTTTCTGACACACAGAGATGCCTGGAGATTACATCAGTTCCCACAGGTTAAGGGCCTGGTCCCTCAATGGTCTCTCCCACTTCACAAGCCTGGCCATCTGGCTGTGCATCAGATTCCCACCACCTCCTCCGGGTTCGGTTAATTTGCTGGGTGGTTCCCAGAATTCAGGAAGCCAGTTTACTTACTAGATTACAAAGATACTGAAGGCCTTGAATCAGCATCCACTTGAAGAGGCCTCATTGCATAGACATGATTGTTTAAATCATTGGCCATTGGTGACTAGTTCAACTTCCAGGCCCTCTCTCCTCCCTGGAGAAATGGAAAGTTCCAGCCCTTTAATCACGTTTGCTTCCCTGGGAAACCAGTCCCCAACTTTAGGTGGATCCAAAAGTCAATTACATAACAGAAAACACTTTGCCACTCAACATTTAGGAAATTCCAAGGGTAGTAGGAGCTTCTGTGCCAGGAACAGGATCCAGACCAAATACAGATTTCTTATAAATTGCAACATTGAAGTTAATGTTGCCCCAACTCCTGGGCTCTGTGTGTCTCCCTCATTGTGCCAGCGTTAGTTGGGAGAAAAATGTATTGATTGGTTTCTCAAAAAATGGGCTAAGAATCAGGGCCCTGGCACAGTTCAGAGGAAGAATTGGAACAGCAGAGCCTCATCTCTGGGGAGGTCTGAGTTAGGATGTGAGGATTCCCACCACGCCAAAGAAGGTTTACTTCTTGCTGTAGCTCAGGTGTTCCAGAACTGGAAGTTTGCTGTTTCTTTGGATGGCCTTGAGGCAACGTCATTGGCTTGTGCTGGGTGCACATGTGGGGGAGAGAGAGAGAGGAGCTGACCCTGGATCCAGCAAGTGGCTCCTGTGGTGAAAGGCTTCGAGCCGAGCCCAAACAAGGAAAGAGTAATGCCTGGGTTATTGAGGTCAAGGTTCATAACTTATAACTGAGCTTATAACTGAAGCCTTTGCTAGTGACAGATGCAAGAGTGATGCTTCTCTCTTGACACTGAAAAGCAGCCCAGAGGTGGGTAGTACAGGGCTGGTTGGGCAGCTCTTTCTGCCCTGCTGTGATCAGCATCCCCTCGTGGCCACGTTGTTAGAAGGAGGAGGGAAAGTGGGATGCACCCTCGGTCATTTGAGGACCTCTCCCAGAGTCCCCTTCCACACACACCCCATCACACTTGTCTTGAAGGTTGTCACAGGACAGACACAGGTGGAAGGGAAGCTGGGAAATGGTGACCAGTGTGCCCATCAGAAATCGGGGCTGTGCATAGGGAGGAAGGAGTGAGCCTGTTGGGCATCTGGGAGGCTCTGCTATGATGTCTCTCCACTCACTTCCTCTCAGGGTTTGTACTAGGGGAGCAAGGTGCAGGCAGAGTGGCTGGACTGGTGGTTTAGTTCTAATTTTCTGAATGCATTGAGTCATTTTAATGCAGTGATTTTTTTTTTTTTCCAACCAGTAATTTTATGCCTCCCAGGGGACACGTGGCATTGTCTGGAGGCATTCCTGGTTGTCACAACTGTGGGGGTATTACTGGCATCTAGCAGGTAGAGACCGGGGACACTGCTAAACATCCTCCAGTGCCTGGGGGCTGCCTCCACACAACAGGATTTTCCGGCCTGTAATGTCAATAGTGCCAATGTTGTGAAACCCTGATTTAGAGAACCTGAATACTACCCCGTGATGTCCCTTGGCCTGAAAATTTTGCCATTTCTTGGCATCCTGGATTGTGTATTAATTTGAAACTCCAGTGGTTTCCAGTGAGCTGTGTTTTCCTCCTTTGATTAAACATTTTCTATTTCTCATTTGGATCAGTAAGTAGTTCTGTTGGAAACCAAGGGGTCATGTTATCATGGTGCTACCTGAGTAATTAAGTACCTTATGAGGTTTTCTTGTTGTCATTGCAGAAACTAGTAAGTTTTGATAAATAGTAACAAGTTATTTTTGCCTTTGCAGAATCTGTTTATGGGATCTGAAAAAGGTGAGTTTTTGCTGTTGTTTCTATCTTGAAGGGGAATCCTCCCATAACCATTCGTATAATTTTACAAAGAAAAAAAATGATTGTGGAATCCAGTCTGGTGTTTAATTCCATGAAAGCTGTTATTGCCTAGATTATACATATTTATGTGATGAGTGGGGGGTGGGGGAGAGAACAAAGTGACTCTCAAAGTGACTAAGAGTAAAATATCAGCTCACTGGTTTTAGCTATAGAGCAATAGACTCCACTCCAAGTACCTCCTCAGCAGCTGGGAAACAGTTAAAACTCTCCTTTTCAGAGCTCTTTTACTTTGGTCTTTATCCCTTGTGAGAAGGCAGATGCGCTGGGGACAGGAGCAGTCTCAGCAGCCACTGGTCCCTGAACATTGCAGTCCTCAGTTTCTTCTGCCAGGACACAGGGTCAGAAGCTCTGCTCCATTTTGCCTCAAGCTAGCTGTGCAACAGGATCACCGGAGCAACTTTTATCCAAATAGACCCCTGGGCCCCACTCCACTTACTGAATTTATCTTGAGGAGTAAGATCCAGCTATTGCATTTTTTAAAGATTTATTTCTTTGAGAAAGAGCACATGTGCATGCAGTGTTGAGGGCAGGGCAGAGGGAGAGAGTCCTAAGCGGACTCCTTGCTGAGTGCAGAGCTCAACGTGGGGCTCAGTCTCACGATCCTGAGATCACAGCCTGGGCTGAAACCAGGAATTAGAAGCTTAATTGACTGTGCTACCAGGGCACCCCTGGGAAGTGCTTTTTTGAAGCTCCCAGGTGATTGGGAGGCAGCTGACACAGCTCATGTACCACTGGGATGCATATGACTAGTATGGCAGATGCAGCTCTCCCCGTTCTCTGCACGTGGGGGCAACACTTTAGTAATCGAGAGAGTGGGAGCACCTTTGGTAGGGCTGTAATGTGGACAACAAACCATGAAAAAGTAAATCGTACTGTTCCATGTCTGCCAGTTTGGAAAGACCAGAAAGACTGATGAGATTACTTGCTGTTGAGGAGTTAATAGTAACAGGAGCTCTAATGCTGTCAGTGAGAGGGTAAAAACCACTGTATAAACCGCTTCTGTGATATCTATCAAAATTGAAGTTGGGCCAGCCCTTTGAACCAGCAATTCTACTATTAGGATACACTCTAGATCAGAAATCAGCAAACTGTGTCCTGCAGGCCAGGTCTGGCCCCTGTTTAAGTTTGTAAATAAAGTTTTATTAGAATACAGCCATACCAGTTTGGTAACCTATTGTCTGGCTGCTTTTTTGCTATGATGGCAGAATTGAGTAGTTAAAACAGAGACTCTTTGACTCACAAAACCTAAAGTATTTTGGTCCTTTTCAGAAAGGAAGCATTTTTCCAACTCTGCCCAAACCTATGTTTTTCTTAAAGTGTGGTCCAAGGGCTAGTAGCATTGACATCACCTGGGAGTCATTAGACGTGCAGAGTCTCAGGCTCTGCCATTCTTTTTTTTTTTTAAGATTTTATTTATTCATGAGAGACACAGAGAGAGGCAGAGGCAGAGGGAGAAGCAGGCTCCGTGCAGGGAGCCCGATGTAGGACTTGATCCCAGGACTCCGAGATCACGCCCTGAGCCAAAGGCAGATGCTCAACCGCTGAGGCACCCAGGTGTCCCAGGCTCTGCCAGTCTTACTGAAAATCAGAATCCACACGCTAACTCATCTGAGTGATTCCTGTAAAAGTCTGAGAAGGCACTGCCCTGAAGAAACGTGCGTATATGAACCAGGAGACACAGAAACGTTCATAGCAGCATTGTTCACGGTAGCCCCAAACAGGAGATAACTCAAACATCCATCAGCAGTAGAATAAGAAATGCACTGTGGTGTAGTCACACGGTGGAAAATAAACAGTAGGGCACCAACTCTGTGCAACAACAAAGGTCAATTTTATCGACTAAAGATAATGGTGAATAGGAAGCAAGGCCGTATCAGCCTGGGTGGTGGTCCCAAGGTGTTTTGGTTATCTGTTAAAATATACACGTGTGCATTTTCTCTATGTATTATATTTCAAATTGAAGGAAAAGTAGAAACGAGGTAAAAGAAAAACATTATTTGGAAACTTATAGTCATTCATTAGTAATTAAATAACTGTACCGTGCTCTCAGCCTGATCCCAGGCAGATCTTTGAGTTTACACCAGATCTAAAAAGCCGGTGCCTTCAAAGAATGAACTTCCATTCCTGAGAGTGAGTTTGGGTGGCAGGAGGAGGACCTCAGATCTAGAACAGAACAGAATCTCTCAGGCAGCCCCGGTGGCGCAGCGGTTTAGCGCTGCCTGCAGCCCAGGGCGTGATCCTGGAAACCCTGGATCGAGTCCCACGTCAGGCTCTCTGCGTGGAGCCTGCTTCTCCCTCTGCCTTTGTCTCTGCCTCTCTCTCTCTCTCTCTACATCTCTATGAATAAATAAATAAAATCTTAAAAAAAAAAAGAATCTCTGTGTGTGACTATCATAAATAAATAAAAAAAATTAAAAAAAAAAAAGACAAAAGAAGGGATCCCTGGGTGGCGCAGCAATTTAGCGCCTGCCTTTGGCCCAGGGCGCGATCCTGGAGACCCAGGATCGAATCCCACATCGGGCTCCCGGTGCATGGAGCCTGCTTCTCCCTCTGCCTATGTCTCTGCCTCTCTCTCTCTCTCTCTCTCTCTCTCTGTGACTATCATAAATAAATAAAAAAACATTAAAAAAATAGAACAGAACAGAAGCCCCTTTCAGACGGGGAAGGTTTCTGAGTTGAGGGGTGCCGGAGGGCCAGCTGGCAGCTGGATGGGATGGCAGACATCTGTGCTGACAGGTGATGGGAGGAGGCCTGGCCAGCCCGTTTGCATGGAGAGAGAGCTTTGAAGCCCTGGTGCTGGGCAGACAGTGAGGTGGTGGTTTTAGGAGCAGAGTACAGTCCTGCGCTGAGGCTGAGAGGGCCTTTTGTTGGTGGAAGACAATTGCGTGATGGATTTTTGGCATCCTTCTCTGTTCTGGCTTTCTTTAGGAAACAAATGATTCAGTGAAAAGTTTGTAAATATCCAGTGGAGGGGAACCACTTCGAGGCTGGCCCGAATAGTTAGTCCGAGGCTCAGCAAAAACGTTGCCAGTGGGACTTTTGTGAAACGACATCCTTATATAACCATCTCAGAGTTGTCTGTAATGAAATTGTTCTGTGCCCTCCTTATTCACGATGAATAAAGTGTAGAGTGAAAGATGCCGTTCCCTGGGGTTGTGGGTGACAGAGAAAGCCACCTGTGTGACATGAATCCGTTCCGTTTAGGCAAAGCCGGGACTGCCACATCCGCAATGTCAGAGAAGGTTCGCACCAGGCTGGAGGAGCTGGATGACTTTGAGGAGGTGAGTGAGCAAGTCATTTGCTGAGCGCGGGGAGGGTCGGCGCTTTAGTTTCCTCTGCCAAGTGAGCTGCGTCCCGGTGGCTGCTCTTTGATTAATTCCCAAGCCTCGCATTGTGCTCATTCCTCCCGAGGCACCAACTGATCCAGGGAAAGCTGCCAGTGGTGCAGTTGGCTGAGCACACAGGAGCTGCCCTGGGCTGGTTTTCTGAAGGCGTCTTGTCACTGCGATGCCTAGCACACCCGGGTTGTGTGGGGACAGGGTCTGATTGGAAAAGCCAGCTGGAGCCACCTCCCTGGGAAGCGCCTCGCATAGTATAAAGATCATACCTTGTACAGAGGCTGTGTGTGGCTGCTCTGCTGGCTTGCAGGAAGGAATCTTTCAGAAAATCTGCTTTTTTAGAGAATGTGACTCCTTTGCCAACTCTTAAAAATTGGTAAATTTTACATATAAATCCAAATGTGTGTGTATGTGTACGTGTATACGTATATATCTATATATTTTGAATTCCGCCTGAAAACTATGGGTACATGTTCCTGCATTTAACCAGGGCCTGTGCTATCCAGGTTCTATAGTCCTTCCTGTCCCGATTCACTCATGAACACCCTAGCCTGGCCCCTGGCGTCAGGTGAGTTTGCATCCTCTGGAATGTCACTTAGAGAAGCGGCCCTAGCATCCTAGTAAGGATGTAAGTAAGTAAGACAGACTCTGGAGCCAGGCAGTCTGAGTTTGAATCTTGGCTCTACCGTTTGGCAGTTCCAGGATTTGGGGCAACGGGCTTAACAACTCTGTGCCTCAGTTTGATTATCTGTAAAATGGGGGATGCTGTCTAATACCTGCCTCTTAGGGTTGTTATAGGAATTAAATAAGTTAACGTATATGAAGTGCCTATACTCAGCACCCAGCATGTGCTGTGAGTGTTCGTTGCTGTCACCACTGGCTTACCCTGATTCTGGAGGCCCTAGCTGATTAGCAGGGTGCCCTTGGGCATTCCCCTTTCCTATCTCCACTTCCCTAAATAGAACATGGGGGTAACCAATATGGTTGTATGGACCGAATGGTGATGCTTTGAAATCCACAAAGGGCCGTGTGATGGCAGGAGCCATCGCTCTGTCCTGCATCTTGTCCCTTGGTTCAAGGTCCTTCCAGCTCTGAGACCACAGCTGCTGGGTGCTCAGCAAAGTCTCTTAGTCCGCTACCTTATTTCCCAATTCAGAAGGAACACATTTTGAATTAAGGTGCCCGGGGAGCCTTGGTCTGTGTATCCTCAGCCAACCTTGGCTGGCAGGAGGGGAACTGCTGAGCATTTGAATCAAAGCTCTTCAATCTGAATGTCACTTGAGCTGGTGTCAGTTGCAAATGGGGGCTCTGTTGAAGAACACAGTGACATTACCCTGAACTCAAGGGCACAGTGGTCTGGAACCAGGAGCTAGAGAATCACTCAGACACCTAGGCAGCTGTCCTCTGCCACTCAGTTCTCAGTAGCCTCCTGTCACTGCCTCTATACCTGTCCTTCCTCGCCCTGCCCCCTCTTTCGCCACTGCAGATTGATTTTTCTGGCTTCTCCTTGTTCACAGCAGCAGATGGCTGCCCCGTGGCTTCCAGGCGGGCACTGCTTAGGAGTCAGGGCAAGGCTGGGTTATACTGAGCTAACAAATGAACCTCCACTATCTCCATGGCTTCACAGAACAAAAGTTTATTTCTTCCTCCTCTTACTCGTCCACTGAAGGTGACAGACACGCCACCGTCTTGAGAGCTGCCATCTCAGGAGATGGTTTCTAGGGGGAAAAGGGTCACTTCTCACCACCTCTGCTCAGAAGGGACACATGCCATTGTGCTCATAGTCCATTCGCCCAAATTAGTCACGTGGCCCTTCCTACTGCAGAGGAACAAAGAGGAACCCTATCTTGCAGTTCCAGGGGCCAGATGGGATTGATCCAAATTTCCTGAACCTTCTGCATGTATTTCTTTAATAGAGTTCTTCACTTTGGATTCCAGGGAACATTGATATAAAAAAAACTGGGAGCGGGCACCTGGGTGGCTCAGTTGGTTGGACATCTGCCTTCGGCTCAGGTCATCATCTCCAGTCTTGTGATCGAGCCCTGTGTCAGGGTCCCTGCTCAGCAGGCAGTCTGCTTCTCCCTCTCCTTCTGCCCCTCCTCCTCCATTCATGCTTTCTCTCTTTCTCAACGCCCCCCTCCAAAATAACTGTATGTGTATGTATATGTATGTGTGTGTATATATATGTGTGTGTGTATACACAGACATATATAATTTTAAAAAGATTTGGTTCCTGATCTCGTATGGATTAGTATGATCCTCACTCCTGTGAGCTTTGTAAATAGCGCATTAACAACAGCCAAGTATTAACGGGCAGGTACCACGTGCCAAAGGCTGTGCTAAGTCTTTACATTCATTGTTGATTTCATCCCTGTGATGGTCCTGCTTTCCTGCTGCCACAGCTTTTTGTTGTGGTCTGCTCTCTGTTCTGAAGGCCCTCCCCCCGGTCTTATTAAGAGCCCCTGCACCCCACTTTCCCTATTGTCCGGTAACACCTACACACCTGTGAGTGTTTGCCTCAGGCATCCCTTCCTCCAGGAAACCATTCTTGACCTCCCAGTCTGGAGTCCATTTATTTGTTACTGTATTTCTTCCATTCTGAGATAAACGTTTCCCACCATGTTTGCATATCCTTGAAATTGGGCTGTGTGTCTCGGTGCACGCCTGTGATTGGCATTTTTTTTCCATCCTTAGTGGTACACAAAAAATTGTGCTTCTTCCAGGGGGCATCTCAGGGGCTCCTGGATGGCTCAGTCTGCTGAATGTCTGCCTTTGCTTCGAGTCATGATCCCAGGGTCCTGGAATCAAGCCACGTGTTGGGCCCCCTGCTTGGCGGTGGGGGTAGTGAGGAGGGCCTGCTTCTCTCTCTCCTTCTCTCCTTGCCCTTCCCCTCTGCTTGTTGCACTCGCTCTGTCTCTGTCTGGTGTTCTCTTTCAAATAAATAAATCTTAACAGCAACAACAAAAAACCCTCCAAAACAAGGGGCACCTCAGATTCAGTGAACCATAATAGAGGTTTTCATAGAATTGTTTCTTCTGGAGCTTTTATCTCCGTTTATATTAATATCCATCTCATCCTTTGTACATTAAACTCCATTAAGTGCAGAAATACTGTCTTTTTGCTCATCCTTGTGTCTTGGGTATCTGCTGTCCCAAGCCTGGCTCAAGGTAGATCTCACTGATTATTTGTTGAATAAGGTGAGTCCTGTTCTTTGTTAAAGACAAAGCTTTGGGAGGAAGTAGCTCACTTGGAATCAGACAGCCAGTAAGTTGCCGAGCTGGGGGTTGACTTAGGTCTGACTTGCTCAAAGGCCAGGCTGAGTGCCTGCACTTTGCCTGTCTGCAGAAAACTCAAAGAACCTCTTTAGTCGCAAGATGATGCTATCAGTCCTGATGGGGGTATGAAAAAGACTTAGAGACCAAAGCTCAGCTAATACTCAGGATTGTTCATGGGGTAGTGGCCAAATAATGTTTTTTCCTTGTATACCTACACCTTCCTACTTTCTGCCCACAGGGATCCCAAAAGGAGCTGTTGAATTTGACTCAACAGGATTATGTGAACCGCATAGAGGAGCTCAACCAGTCGCTGAAGGATGCCTGGGCCTCGGACCAGAAAGTGAAAGCTCTAAAAATAGTCATCCAGGTCAGGTCTACTTTTGTTTTGTTTTGTTTTGTTCCCCCCAGAATTTCCTATGTAAAACTCTTTTATAGATAATTAGGGTTTTTCAGAGGCCTGCCTTCAGGGCCTTACCCTAGTTTTTTTTCATTTGTTCCATTTTCACATACTTCCTGTGAAAGGCCATGATGGTGAAATCTATGTTTTTATGAGATGGCTAATCCCAGGGCCACCATGTACAGCTGCACAGGTTGTATACTGCACAGTTCTAGGACATTCAGCTTGGATTATGGAATTAATGATCCCCCCGCCCCAACATACACCCTGGATTGCTAGGTTCACTGGCCCTGATACAGCTGCTGACACGTTTGTGATTTGTATGACTAAAGATTGGCCAACTGTCTTGGTTTTCCTTGATCAGATTTCCTTTGTATTTTTGGGACTAATTGTTCCGTGCCGCTGGTATATGCATTTTTGGCTCAGATTCTGCATAATTACGTGACAAAACATGTTTATGGTGTTAGGAGAGGTACATTTGTTGAACCCTTTTTTGCCAAATTTGCTGATCTGTGACAACTCTTGGATCAACAAGATCAAGTTTTGTAAGGAAAACAGCTTATTCTGTTTCTTGACCCTTCAGATCATCTTCTCTTGGCAAAACATGCTCAGAAGTACACTCTAAAAGGACTCATGTGTTCATTATGATTTTCAGAGCAGAGTTCACAAAATTTCTGAGCAGCCGTTTTAGTTCAAAAGGACACTCCTGCTCTTGACGTCATGGCAGTGTGACATTTGTTTTCTCACCTTTTTATTTGGAGAGAAGGTTGGAGTCTGTCAGTCTTTACACTGGGTACTTGAAGTCTTTTAAGATGACACTTTGTATTGCTTTTTTTTTTTTTTTTTTTTTTTTTTGTGGTGTTTCATGACAGAGGCAAACCCAAGCTCATTTCCCCTGGATCACAGTCATTAGTTTACAAAGTAAATACTCCTGAAGAAGAGTTCTCTCATCCTGGATGCACGTGATGGGAGTTGCTTGCTGAGTGGCTCAAGTAAGAAAATATCTAAACTGACACGTGCTTCTTCAAAGTATTTTCATTGGCAACATCTCCCCATAAAGAATTGTAGTGTAGAGAACTTGATGTCCAAGAGTTTACATCTGGAGAAGATTTGATTCCTGTCTTCTCAAAGGAAAGAACCATGGAAGTGTTTCATTAACTCCACATCTGGTGAATAGTAACTGACTTTCCATACTTTTTAAGGACTGCTTCTTTAACCAAAAAAGAGAGTCTTAAGGGGCATAGTCTGGAGAAATATGCACAGTTCACCTTATTTGTTCTGTGATAAGGGATCCTCTGGTATAGTAATTTTACTGAAATGTATTTCAGTAATTTTTAGTAAGTTACTCAACTATTACACAACTCAGTTTTAGAGCATTTTCTTACCCCCCTCCCTCAAATTCCCTCAGGCCTACTTGCAGTCAGACCCTGCCACTTCTAGCCCCAGAAAACCACCAGTCTGCTTTCTGACTATAAATTCGCCTTGCCTGGATATTTTATGCATAGGGATTCAATATGTAGTCTTTTGCCTCTGGATTCTTTCACTTAGCATTACGTGTTTGAGGTTTATCCACGCTGTAGTATATCAATACTTTGTAACTTTTTACTGCTGACTAGTACTCCGTTGTATGGAGAACCACATTTTACTTACCTGTTAACAACTTGATGGGCGCTGAGGTCATTTCCACTCTGGCTGTTATGAATGATGTCACTTGTGAACATTTGTGTATGAGTCTTTGTGTGGACATATGCTTGCATTTCTCTTGGGTGGATTCCTAGGAGTAGTATTGCTGAGTCTTATGATAAGGGAATGTGTTACTTTTTGAGACATGGCCAAAATGTTTTGTGTTTGAAACCCCATCAGCAGGGCATGAGGGTTCCATTTCCTCTACATCTTTTCTAATGCTTGCCTTACTCTCACTTTGGTTATAGCCACCCTAGTGGGTTTGAAGTGGTATCTCCTTTGTGGTTTTAATTTGCAATCCCTGGAGACCAATGATGTTAAGCTTCTTTTCATATGCTCTTTGGCCATTTTCGTATTTATGTTAGCCAAACGTGTGTTGAAAAAGACTTGCTCATTTTTAAAATTACATTATGTTCTTGTTGAGTTGTAACAATTCTTTATCCTTGATACAAGTTCCTTATCAATTGGGACACCTGGGTGGCTGAGCACCTCCCTTCCGGCCAGGGCGTGATCCTGGAATCCCGAGATCGAGTCCCGCATTGGGCTCCCTGCACAGAGCCTGCTTCTCCCTTTGCCTAGGTCTCTGCCTCTCCCTCTGTGTCTCTCATGAATAAATAAATAAAATCTTTAAAAAAAAAAAAAGTTCCTCATCAAGTAGCTGATCTGCAGGAATCCTCTCCTAGTCTGTGGCTTGTCTTCATTTCCAGAATAATGTCTTTTGAAGTGGAAGAGTTTTTAATGTTAGTGAAATCCAGTTTATCAATTGTCTTTCTTTTGGCTCAGACTTTTGGAATTCTAGCTAATAACTCTTCTCCTAATCCTAGTTTGTGAGAATTTTTTCATTTTCTTCCAGGAGCTTTTTTTTTTTTTATTAAGATTTTTAAGTAATCTCTATAGTTTGGGGAGCTCAAACTCACAACCCCAAGATCAAGAGTCGCGTGCTCTAGCAACTGAGCCAGGCAAGCACCCCTCTTCTAGAAGTTTTATATTTTAGCTCCTACATCTAGGTTTATGGTCCATTTCAAAGTGATTTTTCTATCCAGTATAAGGGTCTAGATTTATTTGTTTCACATGTGCATATCTGGTTGTTCCATCAGTGTTTGTTGGAAAAGCTGTCTTTCCTCTATTGAATTATTTTGGCACCTTCATCAAAAGTCACCTGACCATAGATGTAAGGGTTTATTTCTGGACTTATAAGTCAATCCCATAAATCTGTATAAGTCTGTCGTTATTGCTAGTACCACACTGTCTTGATTACCATAGCTTTAGGGGAGGGTTTTGTTTTTGTTTTTTAAGATTTATTTATTTTAGAGAGAGGACATGCACAAGTGTGCAAGTGTATGCGGGAGGAGGAGAGGGAGAGAGAGAATCTTAAGAAAGACTCCATGCTGGGTGGAGCCCAGTGAGAGGCTTGGGTCTCACGACCCTGAGATCAGGACCTGAGCCAAAGCCAAGAGTTGGATGCTTCACCAACTGTACCATCCAGGTGTCCCCAGTAACTTTTGAAACTGTTTAGTGTAAATCTTTTAACTGGGTTCTTTTTTTTTTTTTTCCCCTCCCAAAAGTATTTTGGCTATCCTGGGTCCTTTGCATTTTCATGTGATTTTTTTTTTTTTAGGATCAGCCTGTCAATTTCTGTCCACTACCTGCACCCCTCCCCCTGAAGAACTGGGATTTTGATAGGGATTGTGTTGACTTTACAAAGTTGGTTAGATTTGCTGTCTTAACAGTGGTGAGTCTACTGATGTGTAAAAGATGTATCATTCTTTCTGTTGATGGCATCTGGTTTTTCCTTTTTTCATTGTTGTGAATGGTGTTGCTGTGATCATTCTTGGATGTGTCTGCTGGCTTCTCTGGAGATGGGAGTCCATACCTGAGAGTAGAATTGCTTGGGTGCAGGGCATGTGCCTCTTCAGCTTTACCAGGCAATGGCAAATTGTTTTCTAGCATAGCTGTGCCAGCATGTGCTCGTAGCAGCTGTGGGATGGTGTGAGTCTGTGCTGTTGAGCATCCTAACAACATTTGGTATGAGCAGACTTTCTGTTTTAATCTTTCCAATTTAGGAAGTAATAAAATCATATTGTATTGTGGGTTTAATTTGCAGTTCTCTGATTATAATAAGATTGAGCCTCTTTTCACACTTTTATTGGCCGTTGGGGTTTCCTTCTCTGTAAAGTGGCTTTTGTTGATTCTTTCTGCACATTTTTTTCTATCATGTTGTTTGTATTTTTATGTTATGTTTGTATTTTTCTTATTTTTAGGATTTTTTCCCCATGTATTCTTTCTTTTTTTTTTTAATTTTTAAAAATTTATTTATGATAGTCACAGAGAGAGAGAGAGAGAGAGAGAGAGAGAGAGAGAGGCAGAGACACAGGCAGAAGGAGAAGCAGGCTCCATGCACTGGGAGCCCGACGTGGGATTCGATCCCGGGTCTCCAGGATCGCGCCCTGGGCCAAAGGCAGGCGCCGAACCGCTGCGCCACCCAGGGATCCCTCCCCATGTATTCTCAATAGTAATTATCCTCTGATTAATTAGTCTGCTTGCTTCATTCAGCCCATCTTCCTTTCTTAGTACGTGGCCATAGGCTATGTTTTACTTCATTTTGTTTGGCTATTCAAATACACACACACACACACACACACACACACACACACACACATGTTCTAGAAATTGCCTAGTGTCCTTGTAGGATGTTACTAATTGTAAACAAATGAAAAACACCCTTTTTAGTACTTTTCCAGCAGTGCTGATCCTTTCCGTAGCAAGTATTTCAGGCAGAGTAATTTATCAGTCAACTATTGAGGAAGTGTCTGCCACAGTGCTTCTCCACCTTGGCTGCACATTAGAATCCCTTGGGAGCTTTTAAAAAAAGTCCTGGATCTGGGCTGTGCCCAGACCAGCTTGATCATAATAGCTTGATCATAATCTCTGGGAGTGGGATCCAGGTGGCATTATTTTTAAAAGCGCCCCAGATGATTCTGAAGCTGAGAACCTGGGGGCTGTAGGTTCCTTAGTCCATTTGGAGGATGCTGCAGGTTGTGGGTCTCATGAACCCAGTGTATCCTGGGTTCTAGTGCAGCTGTCACTTGGAGCCTTTGTCAAAAATGCCTATTCTCTGGTACCTTGGCTGAAGGTTTTGACCAGTACGTTTGACATGGAGCAAGGAATCTATTTTTTTTAATATATATATTTTTTTATCCATGAGAGACACGCACAGAGAGGCAGAGACATAGGTAGAGGGAGAAGCAGGCTCCCCGCGGGGAGCCTGATGCAGACTCAATCCCAGGACCCCAGGATCATGACCTGAGCTGAAGGCAGATGCTCATCCACTGAGCCACCCAGGTGCCCACCTCTGTTTTCTAAAATGTAGTCTCTATGCCCAGCACGGAGCCCAACACAAGGCTCAGACTCAAGACTCAGATCTCCAACCCTGAGATCAAGAGTTGGAGACACTTAACCGACTGAACCACCTAGGTGCCCAGGGAATCCATAATTTCCACACACACACACCCTAGCAGGCCTGATGTTAATTTTGGAAACTGCACCAAAGCTTTAAAAAACTGGCATCTTCAAATTAGTGATTTAAAGGGGGGATTTCAATGTGGGCCATAATTATGACTTTAACTGTGCACTTAAAAAATTCCGCTTCCTGTTCTCTTGAGTAAAATTGATGTTCTGTGATACCAGCTTGGGAGAAAAATCAGTACGCAGATGTTGGGAAGCCCCAGCTGTGTTTAATTTGAAGTCTTCTGTTTGAATTCTGGCTTCCCACCTCACCACTGGGCAGTAACTCCTCTCTGAGGGGCTCTGAGTAGGAACTCAGGAGACGTCACATCCCTAGGAACCAAGGGCTGTGTATTGTAAACAGTCACTAGGATTCAGAGTTGTTTGCTTTTTCCAAGTCCTGAAATCTCATGGGGCAATTGTTTAAGTTGGAGCTCACATAAAGGGCATATGAAGAACACAAAGCAAGGCATCAGGAAGTGGACTTCTATGAATGTCCAAATGCCACGTTTGGTGTCAACACCATTGTTTTAACAGCTTACATCCCCCTCACCTTTCGGCCCCACCCCCCACTAACATTTGGGCTGTAAGACAATGTTTCACAATCAGAAACGCTGTTTACCTTTAGGCTGTAATACTGAGAAGACCCTTGATGAATGTAACAAGTTGGAAACTAGGTAACAGTTCCAAGCTGAAAACCTGTATCAGGCCACCTCTCCATCTGATACACATTATTTCCATTCTCTGCGCTGGGAAATGCATATTAAAGGACTCCTTCTAAAGGTCCAAGTGTCTTTTGTTTTTAAGTGATGTATTTGTACCTGAAGGTCAAGCATTGGAATGATAGAGTCTGGCGAGTTATTTAGTTCCTTGTGCTGACTTTTGAATTTGTAAAGATATCAGGGGCATTAAGCTTTGTTCTTCAAAGAAGAAATAGGTTTTTTGTTTCTGCTCATAAAAGAGGATTTAATCTGGGGTGTCTGGGGCTATGTTGTGTGGCTGTAGTCTTGCATTAAGAGTTTGTTTAGAATGTGTCAGGGCTCCTGGGTGGCTCAGTTGGTTGAGGGTCTGATTCATGATTTTGGCTCAGGTTGTGATCTCAGGGTGATCGGATTGAGCCCCAATTCACGTCGGGCTCCGTGCTAAGTGTGAGCCTGCTTGGGATTCTCTCTTCTTCTCCCTCTGCCCCTCCTGGCTCGCGCTCTCTCTCTCTCTCTCTCTCTCTCTCGCTCTCGCTCTCGCTCTCTCGGTGTGTTTAAAAAAAAAAAGGCAAGCTGAACATGTTGCTGGCACTTTGGCGTGAGTGATACAGGCATAGGGATTGAGTGAATCCCTGCAAAGCCAAAGTGTTCCCAATATTGCATATCATAGTTGCAGAGAAACATGTGCTCCTTGAAGCTTGTCCGGTTTCCTTTTAGAGGAAAATTTTAAAGTGAAGATAAATAATAGATGCTATGGGGATAAAAGGTACAGCATAGGGAATATAATCAGTGCTATTGTGATAATGTTTTATGGTGACAGATGGTAGCCACACTTATGAGCATAGCGTTACATAGAGAGTTGTCTAGTGGCTATGTTGTCCACCTGAAACTGATGTTACATTGTGTGTCAACTGTACTTAAAAACCCAAATGTTAGTTTAAGAAATCCTGGAGATGTGCTTATGGGGTCATTTCATAGAAAAGGATGTTTAAGAGTCAAGACCATCCTGATATAAACCAGAGCAAGCCATGCTGAAAAGTACTTGGAACAAAGGTGGAATCATCATTGGGTGTATAAGCAAAGACTCTTCTGGATAAGATTCCTCAGTCCTGTGGCTTCCTTGGGGGGAGGTGATGGTTTCTTTCCATAAGAGGCTCTGTAGTGAGCAGACTGGCCCCCCCCCTTGTCAAGAGGACAGTGGTTTTGCTTCTCATTATGTCTCCAGTGTCTTGCATGAGGCTTGGCACATGGTAAACACCTGCGCTAGTTTGTAGAAATGAATTTTCCAGGCCTGGAGCATGGCAACCAAGTCCGACACGACAGAGTGAATTTCCTTTTCACTTCTCTTTTTTTAGTGTTCAAAGCTTCTTTCGGACACAAGCGTTATTCAGTTCTACCCAAGCAAATTTGTCCTTATCACCGACATACTCGATACATTTGGTAAGTACTAGTCCTATTCATCTTCCAATCTAGGAAATACATTTGTTTTGCCAGACATTGGGTGGTAGTGTTGTTGCTTTAATTTCTGTTGTGGTTCAAGTAATTGAGTGAAACACAAGGGAAACCAAGCCACCCCGCTGCTCCCCAGTCAGTAACAAGGGTGCTGTTTTTGAGAGAATCTTAAATTATGTGTTTTCTAAGCTTCTGATAGGCTAGTGAAGCAAGCGAGTGAAGTTGGGATGGGGTGGGAGGGATGGGGGAGGAAGCACACATCCTGTCTAAACCAGCTCCCATCCCTTGCCATGTCACAGTGTCTGGAACTCACTTTGTCAGAACTGAACTCAGCTTCCCTTCCCAGCACCCCTAGTGGGTTTCTGTCCTAGGGAATGGCAGCACCCTGCGCCCAAGCTAGAAATATGAGAGTCATCTCCCCTGTACCCTGTGTCTGGTCTGCCAATCCACTCTTTGGTCTCCTAGGTCTCTCTCCACTTTGTCCATTTTTATCAGTCTTCCCTGGGAACACCTGAGCCCAAGCCAACAGTCCTCTCGTGCTTGGACTGACAAGGCAACTCTCGTGCGGCTTCTTGCAGCATTATCCTGGGATCACAACCTGAGCCGAAGGCAGATGCTCAACCCCTGAGCCATGCAGGCATCCCCTGAGTTCTCTCTGTAGTCAAAGACCTGTTTTATTTCTCTTGTACTTGGCTCACAGGGGAAATTTTGCTTTCTGTGAAAATTACAAATGTGTGTACATTTGACCTGGCAACTTCACCTCTGGGAACTCATCCCATTGGTGATAGCAGAACCCTGGAAACAACCCAAGTGGCCATCAGTAGGGGACCAGTTAAATTAATGATGGTCTATTGGTACCCTGGAGCAGAGGAAGCCCATAAGAACGAGTGAGGACATGCTCCACGTTCCAGTGTGGAGAGATCTCCAGGGTATCTATGTTGTCACGTGAAAGAGTCAAGACGCAGAACAGCCATGGAGTATGTTCTGTTTTGTGTAAGAAAGGAGAGATTAGGATACTGGTTCACATTCACTTTGGTTTGCCTGAAGAACAATTAGAAGGAATTTGTCCAAGAAATTGAATGGAAGCAGGAGCCCGCAGAGGCCGGCAGGGGCAGTGGGGTGGATAGGGATGCGCCAGAGAGAAACTTCCCTCCGTTACCGAAGCCTTTTTTTGAATTTTGAATCAGGGGGATGTTTTTCTTTTTTAAAACCAAACATTCAAATGAGGTACCAGCTTTCAACACCATTCTCCTTCCTCCACTTCCAGACAGTGCTCCCAGTGGTGCTCTAGTTAGGATCTGGTAGCGAATAACATTCCTCAGGATCAGGAGGCAGCCTCTGGCTGCAGGTGCTCCAGGAGACTCTGTTGTGCTCTGTGCGGAACAGAATGCACATTTTTCACCTTTTACAAAAGGAGTGGGGATCTGCCTCACTTGGGTGGAAGGTCAGAGCGCTGAGATCCTTCCCACATGCAGGGTCGTAACACTGCTCTGTAGGCAGGTTGCTTGATGGTGTGCGGGCAGGTGCTTAATGGTTGATGTGACTAACCCAGGTTGCTGGGCAGGGATGTGGGATGTGGCTCTGAGCTTGTGCATAGGTGAAGGTGCATCCTGGAGCTCTTCCAGAAGCACCGAGCACAGAGCTGGCCTTTGTCCCATGCCTGTGTCTCCTGTTCTTGAGTCATGTACACCTGAGCCTTGGTTTCTTCCCCTGTAAAATGGGCATTATAGATCCTGCCTCTGGGGGTGTTTGGAGGGAATTAATTAAGAGAATGCATAGGAAGCATATCCTGTTTTTCCTTTCCCAAGAGCTTGCTGGCGGGATCAGTGTAAGTGACTTTGAACAGTCTCTGGTACAAAGTTAAGTGTTCAGAAAATGTTAATGGCTGCTACTGCCATTACTTACTTACTTTAGTGTTTTTGATTCATAAGATGGCAAGTTAGGAAAGGCAGTAAATCTAGGATTGGGTGTTACTTTTCAAGACCATTGTCTATTACTGTAACAAAGGAAAACAAAATTCACCAAACTCGTTTGGCCAAAGATGATTTTGTAGTTCAAGGCCTCTTAGCATATGAACGTAAAATATAAAAATTGCTTATGGTTTTAGAGGGGTAGTGGGCTTCTTATGGAGGAAGTAAAGGTGTTTTGTGCTTTTCAGTCTGGTCCATGGACCATAGCAGGTGAGAGGTTACACGGCTGCCCAGCATGGCTTGCTGTGTGATGGCCCAAGGTAAAACTGTATACCGTCCCAGTACCTTGTTCTGTGGTCATCAGAGAGGAGGCCCGTCATGGCACCAGGTGTGGGTGCTGTGGGAGCCCTTGGCTGCAGGTAAAGGAAAGCACTTCCTACCAGGGGGAAAAAGGCAAGTGGCTCTGAAAACTGAAGTTTGTTCTCTTGAGGCTTCCTGGAAACTTCTCAGTTGAACTGATGGTATAGAGCAGGGGTTTTCATCCTTGGCTGCACACCTGGGGAGCTTTAAGAACAATTCCAGGTGCGCCTGGATAGCTCAGTGGTTGAGCCTCTGCCTTTGGCTCAGGTCGTGATCCCGGGGCCCTGGGATCGAGTCCTGCATCAGGCTCCCCACAGGGAGCCTGCTTCTCCTTCTGCCTATATCTCCGCCTATCTCTCTGTGTCTTTCATGAATAAATAAATAAAATCTTAAAAAACACAAAAAAAACCCCCAAACACTCCCAGTGGTCAAGCTGCACCCTAGATCAATTCTGTCAGAACCTCTAGGGACAGACACAGACACCAGCCTATTTTCAGGTGCCCCCCAGGTGCTTTGAGTGTTTAGCTGAGGTTAGGGACCAGTGTGGTTCAGAGGGAGGAGGGAGGCTTGTTACTATTTTTAGGGATTCCCGATTCCCAAACCCACGGCAAATTTTAGCTCAGAGACCCATGGTGCTTGCCTAAATCCATGGTTCTCACACTTGGGTGTATGTAAGAATTCCCTAGCAAGGTTATTCAAAATTCATATTGCTAGTCCTCCCCCTACAAAATACTATTTTTCGCTAGCTCTGAGGTGGGCACCAGCAATGTGCCTTTTCAACAAGTATCTTTATGTAATTGTAACGTAAGTAGTCCATACTGGGAGAGGCATCTGGATGGCTCCTCTTCTGTTGGATGGCTTCCTGCCCTTTGTCCTAGCCTTGTGTCATTTCTTGGTGAAGTCATTTGACTCCATGTTCTTAGAACTTCCTGTCTCTTTTCCCATGTGTGATTCTTTGCTTCCCTGAATGATGGGGTCATGGGGAGGGGGGGAAAATAACACGAGCTCAGGGAAATACTTTTGACATTAAAGGTAATTTGGGGAGGCTCCAGGAAAGGAATAGAACTATAATTTCTATCCCTTCAATGTTGATAGCGTTTTCCACAGTACCACAGACAGAATAAAGCTTTTAGTGCTAGATGAAGGGGTGGCATGTGGATCAAATCTACCCTGCCCACTTGTTTCTTTCTTTTTTTTTTTTTTTTTAAGATTTTATTTATTTATTCATGAGAGACACACAGAGAGAGAGGGGCACAGACACAGGCAGAGGGAGAAGCAGGCTCCATGCAGGGAGCCCGACATGGGACTCCATCCCAGGTCTCCAGGATCACGCCCTGGGCCAAAGGTGGCGCTAAACCGCTGAGCTACCAGGGATGCCCCTGCCCACTTGTTTTTTGTAAATAAAGTTTTATTATTATTGGAACACAACCGGCCACCTCCATTTGTTTATACATTGTCTATGATTGCTTTTCAGCTACAGCAGCAATTTTAATAGTTGCAGCAGTGACCTATGACCCACATCACCTGAAATATGTTTGTTTATGCATCTAATAAATACTGAGCATCCATGGTATGCCAGGCACTGATCTTAGTACCGAGGATATATCTGTGAACAGAACAGACACAAGTTTCTACCCTTTTAGCACTTGCTCGTTGAATCTCAAATTTTGATGCTTCAGGCAGATCATATACCTGGGTGAAGCAGGCAGTTGCTGAGATGCAGCGTGGTGGAGATGGGGACAAACTGGGTGCTACATATGCCATTTGGAGTGGCGGTTACTGATCTGTCATAGCTCATTTTTGTCCTGTAGGGAGATGGGCCATTTTTGGCATATCATTTGCGAAGAAGCAGGAAACCTGGTCTTTCACATGAATGAAAGTTTTTCCCTCTTGGCAACTAATTAAAAAAAAAATGTTAAAGCATTTCATGAGCCTTGGTGTTGTGGGCCAAACAAAATGGATCCCTGGCTGGTTTCCACGCACAGCTGCCCATTTGCAGCCTCTGACTTAGAAGCATAACGTGACTGTTCAGTGTTAAGTGAATGGAGGTACCTGTGGTCCCTTTGGCTGTAAGCTTCCCTCCCTAAGGGGAGAAGGATGACTTTCTTGCGTCGCAGAAAGAACAAGTCTCATTTTATTAAAAACATAAACAAAAGAAACGTTGCTTAAAATTTGTCCCACTGGGTGGCAGCATACTATCGTAAGTTAAAGTGCTCTGGGAAATGCCATCTCCGTCCCTAATTAACAAACGTTTATTTAACGTTTGCTCCTGAAGAGAGTGATGCTAACGCCATATGGCCTTTTGTCCCCAGGAAAGCTCGTGTATGAGCGCATCTTCTCCATGTGTGTGGATAACCGCAGCGTCTTACCAGGTAATGTCACAGCTGTTCTACTGGTTTCACTCTGCCCCTGGAGTTGTGCTTAGAAGGCTTCCATCAAGTCAGGGTTTATGGAGACTCGGTATAAGATTTGTTTTGTTTTTCGTGTGTTAAAGGTAGAAGAAACAGCTTTGCAGATTTCTGATCGTCTCCGTTTTCTAAAAACATTAGATGGTTTTTAAATGGCCTGGCTAAGAATTTGGGCAAGTAATTTGAATCCACGAAAATGAAGATACTACAACTAGATTCAGCTGAACTTTTATACCAACCTAAATTCCTCCACCTGCTTGACATTTCTTCCTTTATATCTTTCCTGAGAAGCCAATTGCAGAAACTGACTCCGTATTAAAGAACAATGTCAAATAAATCAATAACAGATACTTTGAATTTACAATCTGTGCATAAGTGATGTGTGCATTAAATTTATTGCCAATGCATTTAAAATTCTCAGGGGGTTATTATGTAACAACTTGTTTAGTGAATCTCTGTTGTCATGTAAATGATGATTTATCTGGCAACATGGAACTCTCAGCAGCCGCTTTTCTTACCTCTCACCCCTCCTTTCAGATTCCTAGACTTGCTGTAAGGAAACATTTTTTTATCTATACAAGTTACAACAATGAGCTTGCTCCAGCTGCTCCGGTTCTCAGCTAGATGATGGCATCAGCGACACTAACCCATAATTGACCTGTTCGCATATTCATTCTTTCCTTCATCTATGTATCTGTTATTTATTTACTATTTTAAGATTTATTTATTTGAGAGAGAGACAGATAGTGAGAAAGAGCATGAGTGGGGAGGAGAGGGAGAAGCAGGCTCCCTGCTGGGCAAGGAGCCCAATGTGGGACTCGATCCCAGGACCCTTGGATCATGACCTGAGCTGAAGGCAGACAATTAACCAACTGAGCCACCCAGGTGCCCCTGTATATCTTATTTTATTTTATTTATTTTATTTTTAATTTAATTTTATTTTATTATTTTTTTATATCTGTTATTTTAAAAATGACTTGATATAGCTATTTCTCAGAAAGAGACAGAACTCCTTATACCTTTAGGGCTCGGAGAGTCATCTTGTATCAGATGAGCAAACCCATGGGGAAGAGCCAAAGACTTGCCCATGTCCTGCCCAGCTAGTGGGAGCCTTGCTTTTGTGCTGGATCTGTGCTGTCCAACATGGTGGCCACTGGTCATGGGGGGGCACTTGAGATCTGGCCAGTCCAAACTGAGGTGTGGTGTGTGTATTAAAAATACACTAGAGTTCAGAGACTTAATACAAACAAAAGACCATGAAATATCTCACCAATGATTTTTAAAATCGATCACATGTTGAAATGACATTTTGGATGAATTAAGTTAAATGATGCATTTTATTAAAATTTGTTTTATCCCTTTGAACATGGCTCACATCATATTCTTATTGGATGGTGCTGTTCTAGACCCTCCCCTGCACCACATCACATGTGTGATGTTTTTAACAGTCCCTCCTGTGTTCTAAGGCATCTCAAGATTGGGAAGCAGTGGGATGCCTGTGTGTCTCAGTGGTTGAGCATCTGTCTTTGGCTCAGGGCGTGATCCTGGGGTCCTGGGATCAAGTCCTGCATCAGGGTCCCCACACGGACCCTGCTTCTCCCTCTTTCTCTCTGTGTCTCTCATGAATAAATAAATAAAATCTAAAAAAAAAAAAAAGATTGGGAAGCAGTGAGTCTGGAGGGGTAGGCAGGGCTAGCTTCGGAGCTTGAGTGCAAAGGCCTTCTCTCTCAGCTTTAAGGATTTGGGAATAGATGTAGGTACACTTAGTACTAAACTTGCCAACTTGTATGCCATATCAGCAGCAGTAAATGCTTGCCTCTAAGCAAAATTAAACCCAAATAGATGTTTTTTGTGGCTACAATAATATATTTTTTTAAAGATTTTACTTTTTAGTAATTTCTGTATCCAATGTAGGTCTTGAACTCACAACCCCAAGATCAAGAGTTGCATACTATACTGACTGAGCCAGCCAGCTGCCCCTACAACAGCATTCCCCCCATCCAAATATTTATTTATTTTAGAGAGGGACAGAAGGAGGGGCAGAGAGGGAGAGAGAAAGAATATCTCAAGCATGGAGCCTGACTTGGGGTTTGATCTCACAACCCTGAGATTATGCCCGGAGCTGAAATCAAGAGTCAGGTGCCTAATCAACTGAGCCACCCAGGCGCCCCACAACAGCATTTTCCCCCCAAAGATTTATTTATTTGAGAGAGAGTGAGTGAGCACAGGGAGTTGGGGGGGGGGGCGGAGAGGAAGAGGGGGAGAGAGAATCTCAAGCAGACGCCCTGCTGAGCATAGAGCCTGACTTGAAACTTGATCTCGGGACCCTGAGATCATGACCTGAGCTAAAATCATGAGTTGGACGCCTATCCAGCTAAGCCACTCAGGCGCCCCTCCAACAGTATTTTTTAAAATGCTTTTTGATACACAGTCTACTCCTTCCTACTATTGTACACCTAACCACATAATATATTACCTGTCTAACCCCCCCAGAGTCCTTTGAATTTGCATTTACAATAATTTTCCTTCCTCCTAATTTTCACTAAGTATACAAACAATATTTTAGAGCCAATTAAGGAAAAATTACTAACAACCTCCTACCTAAACTATAGAAGTTCAAGATAGTAGACTATTTTCATACTCATTTCTAGTCCTTGTCTAAATTTGTTAATTAGCACTTTTATCACTAAAACCCTTCCTTCCTCAATACTTTTTTTTTCCCTCGAGCGATGCAAATCAGGCTTCTGTTTTTCTTGAAAATAATGTAATTTTTTTCTTCTTTCAGTGAAAATCTTCCTCTGCATGTAGTGTTCTTTGGTTCTAAGAACATGAGAGGGAAAAGGGGAAATTTCTCTAAAAAATGTCAGTGATTTTGGGGATGTCTCTTAGCAATATTTATCAAGAAAGCTTTTGAAATCTACTGTGTGGAATTCTGCCTAAAGAGATTATGTACAGAGAGAAATCTGGTGGCAGGTGTGCTCATTCTTTCCAGTTGAATCAAGTTTTGACTGGTGACTGAAATTTTTGTGCCCTTCTGACTGGTGACTGAAATTTTTGTGCCCTTCACCTTCAGGAATTTTAACTAAGGCATACCTATTTTATGAGTTTAGAAGGAAGGATACTGGTGTCCTTTTGGGTCACGGAATGTACATATCCCTGTAGGTGATGTTTTCCCCCTACCGTTTCTTAATCCAGCATATGCGTGGAGAGACCATCCACCCTACATGATAAAGTAACTTTATTTCCATCATGGGATAGATATCTTGGGTTTATCATGTTGCGGTTGTTGTCAGCATTCCCATCTCCAGTTTTTCCCCATGGCTGATGTTGGCTGCATCTGGATAAGCACGTCCCTAGCTGACCTGGCCTTTCACGTGCATGCTAAGATGACATCCCTATAAGCACCGTTATGTAAAGAGACCTCTCACTCCTTGGGTAGCCAACTTGGCAAAGGAAAGAGAACTAGACTCCTTGGTCTCCCTCCTCCTAAAATATCCACAGAAGTTCAAGGTTGACAAAAGAACCAGTGTAAAAGAAAAATAGGTGGGAATAGAAAGAAGCATCTCAGCTCTTTGTTATATTGAAGTCTGTGAATTAATTTCCACATTCTGAATTGATTCTCCATGTAAGCAGCCCAAGTGCTAAAGTATAAATCATGTCACATTAGGCCCTTCCTCTGCTGAGAACCCTTCAGGGAGTTACTGTTGCACTAGGAAAACTTCAATCTCCTTACCGAGGCTGCAGCCTTGTATGGTTTGGCATACAGTGCCTGCTTCTATCCTGCCTGCCTGCCCCATTGGCTTGCTTTTTTCTTCTTTGACCATCTGGAGGTCATAACTACCTCAGGACCTTTGCACGTGATGTTTCTTCTTCCTGGAATACATTTCCTCTACATCTAAACATGGCAGACTTCTTTTTGCACTTCAGGGCTCTGCTCGAATGTCACCTCTGCCAGAGTCTTCTCTGACCATCCTGTGTAATGACATTGTACCCTCAAGTCACTGTCTAGCCTAATGCTTAGTTTTATATCTTTCATAGTATTGGCTATTACTAGATATTACCTGATTTGTTTGCTTGCTTGCTTATTCTTTTCACTGTTTATTATGTTTTTCTCTCCACTGGAATATAAGCTTCATGAGGACAGGGTCTGTCTTGTGTATTGTTAACTCTTGAGAGCCTAGAATATTACTTTTAGTTACGACATTTGTGTTGAGCAAATGAAGTATAAAAATGTAAGATTTGGGATGACTGGGTGGCTCAGTAGTTCAGTGTCTACCTTTGGCCCAGGGCGTGATCTTGGAGTCCTGGGATCGAGTCCCACATCAGGCTTCCTGCATGGAGCCTGCCTCTCTCTCTGTATCTCTCATGAATAAATAAAAATAAAATCTTAAAAAAAAGAATGTAAGATTTACTTTGCTACAAGAATTTAAATAATTTTCATTTTTTTAAGTTCTAAACCCAAAGTGGGGCTTCAACCCATGACCCCAAGATGAAGAGTTGTGTGAACCAGCCAGCACCCCACTTTGCTACAGGATTTTATTTTTTATTTTTTTAAAAATTTATTTATTCATGAGAGACCCAGAGAGAGAGAGAGAGAGGCAGAGACACAGGCAAAGGGAGAAGTAGGCTCCATGCAGGGAGCCCAATATGGGACTTGATCCCTGGACTCCAGGATCATGCCCTGGGACAAAGGCAGGTGCTAAACTGCTGAGCCACCCAGGGATCTCTTGCTATAGGATTTTAAAGTCCTACCTAACATAGTTTTCTCTTAAATTATCTCTTAAGCTAGAAGGAAAGCCTGAAGCCTTTGTACTGGCATGTGCAGATGATCATATAGCTTACAGGTGATGTGGAACCCGGGACAGCTGACAGCTTGCATTGCTGTACCCCCGGGATCTCCCAGCGTCCAGCCATGGGCTTCAGTAGACAAGGCACTTGCCAGGGCTGGTGGCTTATACCTTATGGTGATGCTGGCTCACTTCTGAATCTCCTGTCCCTCATCTGTAAAGTGAGGGATTTTATTGACCTCAGAGACTTATTTTTTGCTTTTGGGTTTCAGGTCCCATGATGCAGTCATATGAAGGGAAATTAATCCCACCCATCCTTTTTCCACAAAGCATGATTGACAAATGAATTTAAGAATAACCCTTTTCCTGTCTGGATCTCTTGGAACTTGGGGGGAAAAAGTTACTTTTAAGTGCATGGGTTCAGGGCAGGAAAGGGGAAATCATAATTCCCTTCCCTTTGGAACTGGCAAGTGAATGGTTCTTGAATGAATGAAGCATTCTATAGCATCCAAAAATAAGGTAAATACTTGAGATTGCAATTCCAAAATATCTGCAGTTGTGATTAGTGACGGTTCTCTGCCAGGGAGTACCCGGAGGTTTATCTTTTTGCTGATTCCATCGGAGTTTTGATCACCTTAATTGTGTGCCATCAAGTTGCAGAAAGCAGGATTGGGGATGAAAAATGACTCTGTGCACAAGATGAGGACTGCAAGCTAGGGTTTGTTTGTGATCTTCTAAAATGACTAACTTCTCCCTTTTTGATTTTTTTTTTTTAATTGTAAGCAAACTGTGCCACATGTGGGACTTGAACTCCTGACTCTATGATCAAGAGTTGCATGCTCTACTGACTGAGCCAGCCAGCAACTCCCCCTTTTTAACTGAATCCTAAAAGTATAAAGCACATCCGGTGGTGGGGATCTAATATGTGGAAATCATTTAGAAGAAATCATTTCTATGCAAGAGTTCCACAGTGGCCTTCTTGGTGATGAGTTTGGGTGTTTTTTTGTTTGTTTTTAATTTATTCATAGGAGACAGAGAGAGAGAGAGGCTCTTGTGGGGAGCCTGATGTGGGACTCCCCATCCCAGGACTTAGGTTCACTCCCTTAGCCGAAGGCAGACACTCAACCACTGAGCCACCCAGATGCCCTGGGCGGAGTGGGTTGGGTTGGGGTGGGTTGATTGTTGTTTTCATTGTTCCATACTCTCTTCGATTCTTTATTAAGATACATGTCATAAAAAGTTTGGGACTGATAGGGTAGCCAGCCCAGGGTCAGGGATCATGACTTCTGTCGTGTTGCTCTCATGGTTCAAGCTGGTGATGGAGGCTCCAGCATTGCATTGGCATTCCAGCCAGAAGGAAGGAAGGAAGGAAGGAAGGAAGGAAGGAAGGAAGGAAGGAAGGAAGGAAGGAAGGAAGGAAGGAGGAAGGAGGGAAGGAGTGGAGGTGTTCCCTTAGGTATTTCTCAGAAGTTGCATTTCTGCTTATATCTAGGGGCCAGAACTTGGTGGCATGGCCACACCTGGCTGTGATGACCAGATAGCCAGAAGAAAAGGGACAGGTCCATGACTGAAGAAAGAGAACAGAGAATGGGGGAAGCTGGTGGTGTTGCCAGCAGATGACTCAAGTTTTGGAGGAAGGGTTGAGCTGGCAGCTTGACTGGCAGGTTTTTCACCTCAGGGCTTTGATTTACTAGTCTGGCCCAGGGGATATTTAGAGCACAAGCTTGGATCACATATCCTGTTATACTTGGAGGTTTCTTTTCTTTCTTTCTTTTTTTTTTAAAGGTTATTATTTATTTATTTATTTATTTATTTATTTATTTATTTATTTATTTATTATTTATTTATTATGACACAGAGAGAGGCAGATACACAGAGGGAGAAGTAGGCTCCTCACAAGGAGTCCAATGCGGGACTCAATCCCCAGACCCAGGATCACACCCTGAGCTGAAGGCAGACGCTCAACCACTGAGCCACCCAGATGTCCCTACTTGCAGGTTTCTAAAGCATCTGGAATTCCCAACTCTATTGTGTAGTTACTGGTGGGTATAGCAAGACTCTGGGTTGTGTTAGAGGCAGGAGCTAAGAATGAAGGTATTGGAGCCAGGCCACCTGGGTTGAATTGCAGCTCTGATATTTGCTTGCTCTGTGCCCTAACCATTTCTGCACCTTGATCTCTGCATCTGGCAAAGAGTAAATAAAAGTTTGTATGGTGGGGTGCCTGGGTGGCTCAGTTTAGTGTCTCCCTTCAGCTCAGGTCATGATCTTAGGGTCCTGGGATCGAGCCCTGCATCGGGCTCCCTGTTCAGTGGGGAATCTGTTTCTCCTTCTCCCTCTGCCTCTATCACTGTCACCAATTGTTTCTTAATAATATTAATATTGATATTACTTGGAAGGAAAGAACCAGAAGAACTGGGTAGGCCACCCCTTCTTCATTGTAATGTTCTATCTCAGGACTCATAGCAGCTGTAACAGATCTGAAGAATTAGCTCGGTCTCTCTGTCTCTCTCTTGCATGTGCTCTTTCTCTAATAAATAAAATCTTGAAAAACAAAAAAATTAGGGCACCTGGGTGGCTCAGTTGATTAAATGTCTGCCTTTGGCTCAGTTCATGATCTTGCGGTCCTGGGATCGAGCCCTGCATTGGGCTCCCTGCTCATTAGGGAGTCTGCTTCTCCCTTTCCTTCTGCTTATACTCTCTCTCTCAAGTGAATAAAGTCTTTAAAGAAAAGAAAGTGTATGATGGAGGGATGTTGTAGGGATGAGGTGTCCTGATGTCTGAGTGGCATTTGGAAAGCCTCATATGTGGGCTATCACTGTCACCAATTGTTTCCTAATAATAATAATATTTGGAAGGAAAGAGCTAGAAGAACTGGACAGGCTACCCCTTCTTCTCCATTGTACCGTTCTCAGGACTGTAGCAGCTGTAACAGATTCGAAGAATTATCAGGACTGATGGGTCTTGTTTTTGTATTGCAGATCACTTCTCTCCAGAGAATGTAAATGACACGGCCAAAGAAACATGCTTAAATTGGTTTTTCAAGATTGCTTCCATCAGGGAACTCATTCCAAGATTGTATCCTTTTTTTTGGGGGGGGGGGTGTCTAATGATTTTAGAGATAGGCTGAAAGAGTTGTACCATTAATAGAAGCCATGTGATGGGATGCCCTGAAATTCCTGTTGAAAGTTTGGTCCCGTTACGGTTGCTAGCCTGGAAATCCAGGGCCAGCCACATTGTCGAAGCCCATTGGACTCCTCCTTCCCCAAACAGTGTCCTGTTTTCTTACTTTGAATATGATGCCATGTACCAGGCTTTTGTTTCCTAGAGGAACATTCCCACATTAATTCTCTCAATTAAAATGCTTCATCTTTATGTTTTCTCTGGTTCCCAAAACTTGAAAGGAATAGGGTCAGGCTTCTCTGCACAGATGCCAGTTTTGAAGAACAGAGAGTTTGACTTATACACAAATGAATCTTGGTTATCTTAAAGTTTATTCTTTCCCCATGAAGCATGGATTGGAAATGCTCAAAACACACTTTAAACTTGAGCACACTACCGTGAATCAGCATGTAATTTTTTTCCGAAGTGTATTTTAAATAAGTATGAAACTTTGAAAGCCAACAATGGAAACCACAAGCTGTTAGGCAAGGTAATTCTCTGGGCTGGTGAGAGACTGTGGCTCCCTGTCCTGAAGTCATGCTTGGTTCTGCTCTTGAGTGGTCTAGTCTTTTTGCCACAGGGAATAGGCTGTCTGGAAAATGTCTTCCTTAACGGAATATTTTTGTAGTTACGTGGAAGCATCTATCCTGAAGTGTAACAAGTTCCTCTCTAAAACGTAAGGTTCTTCTTAAATGTCTAGAACCATAACATTTCCAGAAAAATTTCTCTAACGCACATGCTAATGGTAATATAATAGCGGCTGTCCTTCACTGAGTACTTACTGTGTAGCAGAGCTGGTGCTAAGCACCTTCCATACATTTTCTCATCTGATCTAAATGGAAACCTGATAATGTAGAACTCATTATAATTTCTATCTTATGGAGAAGAAAACTCAAGCTACTAGAAGTTGGTTGAGTGGTTCATGGATGAGTCCTGGCTCTGCCTTCAGGAGCTGTGTGGTCTTGGCAAGTTATTCAGCATCTCTGATCCTCAGTCTCCTCCTCTGTGAATGAGGCCAAAGAGGTCCGTGAGGGTTTGTTGAGAGCAGTTCCTGACACATAGTGGGCCCACGCTCAGTGTTTGCTGATGCTGAAGATGATGGGCCTTTGCCCCTGAGCCCCATGCTACTACTTTGGGTTACCTTGGGCCTTGTTTCGAGCGTCACTTCCAGGGCTCAGGGAAACCAGATCTGTGTTCTGTATGGCCAACAAAACATTAGGTCATATCAAATAGCACATAGGTAATAAATTCTCTGAAGCCAGGGACCAACTCACAGTGCTCCCTAGTGAAGGAGTTTTATTGGTTTTAGAATGTGTCCCAAATGTGATTTGGATCGAAAGGTACCTGGGGTAGTTTTTAGGGCTAACATTGGTGCTAAATTATTTTGCCTCCCCATTTGGGGAGGATAATGCTGAGGCAGAGTCCCATGTTGCAGAAGAAATAAATCAGTCACAATTCTCATTGATGGGGGATCACTCATGTCAGCCTGAGGTGCCAGGAGTTGGGTGCTAGGAAGGGGGATGGCAGGAGACAGTCTGTGCCAGAGGAATACAGCCCCAGCAAGAAGATCAAGGAGTGGATCAGAGGATGGAAAATAATTGGGAGACAGAAGCTGTTAAATTAATAAAATAAATGTGACCTCAAACAGGCAAAAAAGGAAAGGTCAGACTCTAGCACTGGGCAAATGGTAAAGATGACAGAAGCCATTCAGTGAATGAATTGCGTCCAGAGAGAGAGAGACGATTGTTACATTGCCTTAGAAAATGCAAACTTTGGCCTTGGTTTGTCTCTGAAACTTGATTTTCTGCCCTCCCACCCCCCACATTGAGGAAGTGTAGCTTTATCTTTATTTTAAAAATAAGAACAGACAGTTCTCATATGGAGTATAATGCTGCCCTCTTTTTATTTCCCACAGGGGGATTTCAGAATGTCTGCCCCGGTTGACTTGTATGATTCGCGGAATTGGAGACCCACTGGTGTCAGTGTACGCCAGGGCCTATCTGTGCCGGGTAGGCCACGTCGGGTCCCCACTTGCTCACAGATGGGGCTGCTTTCTCTCTCTTCAGGTCTTCATGTAGGCTTCTCCCTCCCCAGCACCTTGCAAATCACTACAAGAACGACTTCATTCGCTGCTAATTTTAGAACACAGCTCTTCCACGGAAAGCACAACTGTAGGATTTCTTCTAAAAATTAATTTTAAAGTAGACCCACTTACCATAACTCTAATTAGGGGGCGTTTGAGGTCATCTTCTTACAAATGAACTGGTTTTCAGAATTAATTGTTTCCTCCAGTTCTTGCTGGGCGGGAGGCTCCTGAGGCCTCTCGGCTGATAGGTTGCTTTTCATTGACTTGAAATCTGCTTTCCCTTTGTCTTGGATTGGATTGTTTTATTAGTTTCTCTGTCCTTCCACTGAAGAATTGGCATAGGGTGCGAGTTGGTGGGGGTGGTCTGTCCCTTGTGACAGGCATCAGGGTCTGTGTGGCCCAGCCATGGAAGGCTACAGACCTCTTTTTGCACCTGCTCTGATGTAAATCATCTAGCACTTTTCTCTCTTAAAGTACCGTGAAGCTTCTACATCAGATATTTTCATTTATGACAAATGCAACCCATGGAGAGTTTCTGGTTATTCATCTTCAACCTCTGCGGGGGCTTTGCCCACTGTCAGCTTGCCCCAAGACTTCCTTGCTAGTCCTATCAGCATTCTTCACCTAGAGGGAAGGCTAAATTGCCCCTGTTTCGTAGGATCCTGATGAATTGCAGACTTCTTTGAGGACGAAGCTATGGAGCCTCCCCTGGCCCTTGCCAGTGATCATAAGTATTTGTAAATCAGAAGCAAGAACTAGTAGCCAGCCTTTGACTGGCTTTTACATGACATCTGGCAAGTGGCGAGAAGCCCTATGGTCTCAGGTGTCACAAAGAAATCACAGTGCCCTCAGAGTGAATAGCAAACATCCTTATGAAGGACACTTTCTATAGGTTTGTTCCCTGATACCAGGAAAGAAAAAAAAGCTTTGGACTTGAGGGCAACCTGCTCCCTATTGGTAACAGAGGCAAAAATGTTTATACGCTGCCCTCTGCTTGAAACTTGGGATGGATTTTTTTATACAGGAATGTCAGGTATGTTTCCTAGAGCTTCAGCTTTGGGGAATCATATTGAAGCTTGAATATTTCTCCTGAGTGCATGTTTGCTGAGGGCCTACTGGGTGCAGAAAGCAGTTGGGTCCCATGGAGGATATGCAAGAATGTTCATTTGCATATTTGCTCCCCTGCCTTTTCCCTCATCGAACAGAGCAAATAATTCAAACCTATGAGTCACATAATAGAGTAATAAAGACAGAGTCACAGTGTGTATCAATGAAGATGATTCTGGTCATTAAAGAGAAGTTTAAAAGGTGGAAATACGTGTTCTTTGCAAACCTGTTCAGGTGTAAAGTTTAAGCAAGTTGCACAGGTTAGGGAAATGATCATGTTTCTGGCATATAAAATTGCACATGGCAATTTTAAAATTTGGTGACAATGAATTCATCCCAGGAAGACTGGTGATAAAATGCAGTCTATCTGTGGAAATAATTTTTTGGTCAACCCAGACTTTGCATCAGTTCCCCAGGCTGCAAACTTACTAAGTCTTTTGAAGTAAAAGAATAAGAGACAGTCTGGGCATTACTAAGGATCCTTTCAGTCACACACAGCAAAACCCAGTTCATACTATTTTAAGCAAAAAGGGTTTATTGGTTCATGTGTCTGAAGAATCTAGGGGTAGTGTAAGCATGGCTAGATCCAGGGTCTTCAGAATGTTGTCAAGGATTGTCCTCTCGGGATCCCTGGGTGGCGCAGCGGTTTGGCGCCTGCCTTTGGCCCAGGGCGCGATCCTGGAGACCCGGGATCGAATCCCATATCAGGCTCCCGGTGCATGGAGCCTGCTTCTCCCTCTGCCTGTGTCTCTGCCTCTCTCTCTCTCTCTGTGACTATCATAAATTTAAAAAAAAAAAAAAAAGAATTGTCCTCTCCTTCGTCACTCAGCTCTCCTTTCTCTGAGTTGACTTCATTCTGTGGCTTACTCAGCTGCTCCTGGCTTCCATCCTCCTAACTTAACCCCAGTGGAAAGAGTACCTTAGACGTGCCAGCCAGAGTCTCAGGGCTCTCAGTGGACCACCTTGGGCCACTTGTCCATCAATAGACTGGCCACGGGATGAAATATGTCTCCTGAATAGGAGTGTGCCCCACCCCTGGACGTCAGGGTGGGGTGGATCCAGCTCCTCCACAAATCTCATGGTCTGAAAGGGAGGTTTGCTTCCCCCCAAAACAAATCCTACTTGCTGATACCAGCAATGGGAAATGCATGCCAGGCAGGCTGAAACAGCAGATGGAAATCATGAACCACTACCCTTACTACTCTGGGTAGGAATCTTTTAGACCCAAGCAGATTTCCAAGCTGCTCATTTGTCTTGATGGAAAGAAATAAACAAAACACAGAAAAGCAGTGAGTGGGCAGGGTGTGGGGGGAGCTCGAAGCTGTTTATTAAAGGAAAGTATGATTAACTCCTCTGCTAAGTCACGGCCTCTTCAGCACATCAGCATTGCTTGTCCACTGGGCCTTCCTTTGCTGTTGCCTAACAGATAATTATTGCCTGTTCTACGATATGATTAAGTGGAAGGAAAGACAATAGAACACAGTAGAACTGCATCTGACGTTCGTTGTTAGTTTTTTTTTTTTTTTTTTTTAATCTACCACTTGTCCTTGAAAGCATCCTCAACAGCCATGGAGTTGTCCTTGGAATTTAGCGCCCTAATGGATCTCGCATAATTCTTCTCAAAGGAATTCTTCACAGTCTGTAAAAAACATCATTATCATTAATCTTCATGACCTTGAGTAGGGGGGGGTGAGTGGCAGGAATCTGACCCCATTTGAAGAAACCTGGTCCCAGAGCACCTTCTCTTACAAAGTTGTTTTTGTGTGAAGGCAACAATTTGGAATTGAGGTATATATCTCAGGAACTCAGTTTAAGGAACATTATGATGCTTTGGTTTTGTTGTGAACGCATGAAACATGAACTCCCCTCCAAAGTGCATACCTTCACTTTTCCATCCAGCCCCAGGGCTCTGGCTGTCTTCTCTATGATTAGCACATTTTTTTTTAGCTGGAATGTTACAGTCTTGTTTTTTAAACAATGAATGCAGAAGCCAGTGGGTTATGGCATTGTTACACTTCATGCTTGTCTTATATAAAATTGCTTAAAATACATTAAAAACTTGTCTGTTTCCATGACTGCCCAGCAAAGAAGGAGTCTGTATATTTTAACAATGCAACAGTGAAGTCCCAGCTGGCTCTCTAACGTACCAGTCTTTTTTTTTTGCTTCATTTAATAAAAGTGCAGCCACATGTGTGTGTATCATTTTTTTTTTGAGAGCAAGAGAATACTGTATACACAATCTTGAGAGAGAGTACATTCTTCCTTTGTGCCATATTGATTTGTTCTCTTGGTCCTCTGTTCAGAAATACATTCATTACCTTTGGGAAATTGTGAAGATGATTACTGCAAATGTTGCCTTTTTTCATTAAAAATAGCTTCTGTGGTTTTTCTTATAAAAGCATCCACGCTTACTGGATAAGAAAAACAGATAAGAATTAAAATTAACTTGGATTTTCTCTGTGCCTATATTTACTTCCACGTATGTTTTTAATCTATAAAAATGGCATCCTAGTGTATGTATTATTTGCAACCTGTTTTTCCATGGTCAAGGTAGTTTCTTTTGTTTGGTTCCAGGTGGGAATGGAAGTGGCTCCACATCTCAAAGAAAGCCTGAATAAGAACTTTTTTGATTTCCTCCTCACATTCAAACAGGTAAGAGAACATGGTCAGAACTGCTAATTGATGTAGCAGTTACATGATCACGAATTCACAAAACCCAGTTGGATTTCCAAGCTGAGATTGCCTTAAAGCTCTCTAAATGTGTAAACCCTCGAAAATGATACTTGAATCTGTTACAGACAATTAAAATGTGTTGATTGTACTGAACAAGCAGAGAGAATTAATATGCATGTGTTAACAGGAAATGTCTCTAGTCGCCCTTCTTCCTTGCATCTGCTGGCTCCATTTTTATCAGGTTATTTCTTTGCATAGCACACGTCCCAAAACAGCTTGGCTTGGTGACATAGGAAACTTTCTGTGTGTTTTTTTTTTCTAGTTGAAAAAAACAAAACAAACAAACAAAAAAAAAACAAAACCTGAGAAACCAGGCTATTTCTCTGGGGGCCATCCAAATGCTTACGAGTATGCGCAGCCTGTGAGTTACATGCTCTCCATTTATTATTATTCCCTTCCTCTTCTAAGTGTTTATTTGGTCTCCTGTAGATTCATGGGGATACAGTCCAGAACCAGCTGGTGGTCCAGGGAGTGGAGCTTCCATCCTACCTGCCCTTGTACTCGCCTGCTATGGACTGGATCTTCCAGTGCATTTCCTACCACGCCCCAGAGGTAACTGCCAGGTGGCATCAGTGTGAAATTCCCACAGAGGAGGGATGCTGGGGTTCCCCTCTCTTCTATATTGTGTTGTAGTGACCTCTACAGCAGTGAGCTCGGTCATGTAAACAGGGTCTCTGTGTAACAGCTACAGCAACTCTGATGCTAGTCAGCCGTTCCATAGGGCTCACTGTGGCGGCTGGTCCTGCACACAATGCTTCTGGATTGTCTTGTTTCACGCCTCTGGGAGCGAGGCTCAGTGAGGCCAGATAGAAATCTCTGAAAGGTCATGTAGCTTAAGGGTGGTGGTGACTAGATGCAAACTGCCTTGTGGCTTCAGGGCCAGTGGGTTTCGTCACCTCTTCACTAACCTTCATGACCCCCTCTTGTGTTTATGGTAATCTAATAAGTTAGTAGAGCAAGTAATAGTTTCCCCATTTTACAGAGGGAAGGTGAAACTCAGATGTGTGATTGTGTTAATAAGGGGTTTTTTGGCCTAATTGAAGCATTATAGGAATTAAAGTATGACTGGAATCATAGCAGAAATAATTTTTCTTACCCCAGACTGAGAAGTAGAACACCAGTTCCAGTTGGCATAATAGCTGTGATAGATGAAGCTTCTTCAACAGATGGCTCAGAATTTATCCTTTGGAGAGGAGAGAAAGGGGTTTTGCTATGAAACAGGGATGCTTAGTGCAGAATAAAATTCAAGTACACCCGCCTTTTCCCAGAAGCTGCAATCTATTAAACCCTAAAGAAGGAGGAAAAAGGGCATGACTTTGACCAAGCATTTCCACTTTTAAGAATATTGCATAGAAATAATTGGACAAGTGTGTAAAGATGCACATGCACACACATACATACAGATGTGTGTTGGTTTGGGTGGGTACAGCATCGGAAACAGCCTCATCAGCCATCACAAGGGGATTGGGAAGATTATAGAATCCATACAGATTCAGTGGGATGTTATGGGGCCAATCTAAAATAATGGAGGACCGTGATGAAGATATGTACATACCTACATAAGGATCACAATAATTGGTAAATCAAAAAAAGGATGTTACACACCTTACTGTGTATGTCTTAAGTGGTTGTGTTGCCTCTTGGTCAGGAGTGGGCACTGGAATCAGAGTGCCTGGGTCTGAACCCTAGCTCTGTTGCTTACAGCTTTTGGGACAGAGGAACAGCCACATCACTAGTCCACTCTGAGCCTTTTTTTCTTCTTCTGTGAAATGGGAACATGGGAGCATGAATTTTTTTTTTTTTTTGCATGGATCAAATATAACAGTCCATTTGCATTGCTTGGTGGAGTGCCTCACGTAGTAATGGAGTATTTGTTATATTGTCAGGATCACAAACATTTTTAGATCTGTGTGCGAGAACTGGGGAGGAGGTATGTCAAAATGTCACTGGAAGGGGAAGTTTTTGTATTGTCTTACTTTTCTTGGCTTACCTGTGGTTTCTAACTTTTCGGGCAAGTGTAATGAATTCCTTACTTCTGAATTTTCCCAAATCCTAAAGTATGAGGGGGAAAAATAGAGGCATCTTATATTTTGGGTGGCTTTTTTTTTTTTTAACCATTAAGTTGATTTAAAATCAAGTCCATATGAATGGAAGATTGTAAGTGTGCAGATCATTCTCTGTGATCTTCAGGAGCCTCAGCAACCAAACGGTGCTGCAGACTGCTGGGAAGAGTCCGAGGCTGAGTGTAGGAAGAAAGCTGTCCTATCTGTTTAGCCGAATGACAGAAACATATAAGCAGGATTGATGTGTTTGAAAATGAGAACACTTACTTTTTTTTCTCCTTACTTTAATGAAAGGCTAAATCGGATTAAAACAAAAGGTACATGCCATACGGCATTCTTCCTTTTATTTTAAGCACCAGTAATCTCAGAGGATGGCAGAAGCTGGGAATAGAGCTTTCCCAGGGAGTCAAACTCTAGGAAATCATTACTGCACCAGAAGAAGTGATTAAAAAAATTAGGTCACCTGAATAATAATAAACTCTGATTCTGGGGGCACTTAAATAAGGAACTTGCAGCATCTCATTAAAAAAAATGTTAATCATTTTCAAAATGCAGAAGAATCAATGTCCATGTGGAAGGTGGTATTGGAGATGCATGTGACTGATGCCTAAAAACCTTCCTAGTGGCTGGGATGTGTCACCTGGGGAGGTAGGCCTCACCTCCAAAGCAGGGGATTGTCAGTTTGGCTGTGGCCCTTGGTAATATACAGGACAGGCAAGTAGGATATTGGCAAAGGAGAAATACCTTCAGCTATGAATATTTGCGCTATGAAATTTCAGGTTGAAATCAAAATCCCAAATAAAAAAATCAGGGAGTGATTTATTCAGAAAGGCTTTTTTGTTGTTGTTTGAAGACCAGATCCCGCCCCCCCCCCCCGCCCCCCCGCCTGCGCAATCTTAGAACTAAAATTATAAGTGGAAACCGGATTTATGCCCTCCACTTCAGGCACATTCTGTACAGAAAAAAAGAAACCATTTCATAAGATCTGGTTTTGGGGCAGTGAGAACAAATCCTTTGGTAAGCTTCTCAGCATTTTCTGCAGCTTTTTGTTTGTTGGGATGGTGTGGGAGGTGTAGAAGGAAAAAAAGGCCTGGTCCCTGACATGAGTGGTAAGTCTTGCCTGACAGGGAATCCCACATGGTCTTTTATAGGCCGTGAGGTACAGGCTGTAAATGTTGGGTGAGCGAAGGGGAAAGTGCGCCGGGGCAGGCAGTTGTGCAGACATGGGTTCAGACTATGGCTGTGTTGCCTTGGGCCACTTGATGTCTTTTACCAGATGTAAAATGGGGCTAAGGGTAGGATCTTCCTTGAAGGGCTGTCACGAAGTGACCGTGATACTACACATCTGTGCATGGCCGAGGGACAGGGGTACCAGGCAAAGGGGGTGGCTGCCAACCTTCTGTTTGGTCTTCATGGGACTCACTGAAGCAGACAGGGGTAAGGGCCTGGAAAGCCAGGAACAAGCAGGGGGTGGGTGGGGTGAGTAAACGAACGGCTGAGGGAAGGGACTGTACAAACAGAGGCAGGCAAGAGGCATAATACGGAGACCAGCATTATTGGAGAAGAGTGAGAAATTAGGCTGCCTGGGTGCGGACCTGGGTACAGAGGTTGTTGAACGTGACATGGCAGCAAGCAGGCAGTCTTGAAGATTTTTCATCAGGAGAATGATTTGAAACAAGCAGTGCTTGAAGATCAAACTGGCAGAAGCAGAAGGGACAGATCAGAAAAAGGAGGGTGGGTGGCCATGGAAAAAAAGGAGACAAAGGATAGGATGGAGCTTCCTAATCGGAAAACATCTGTTAATAAAAATATGTATTCTTTGGAAAAAAAATTTGGAGAAGATAGAAAAGCGAAAAGGAGAAAAACAGCCACCTAATATCCTGCCTGGTTAACGTTTTGGTACATTTCTGTATTAATATTTCTCTGTCCACTCTGGCTTGTGCTCTTTACTTTTGTCCTGTAGATGAGAATTTTTGTATGTGTTACTTTTATGGTGTTTTTCCCTCAATTAATGTTATAACGAGTCCCTTTTTTTTTTTAAGATTTTATTTATTTATTCATGAGAGACAGAGAGAGAGAGAGGCAGAGACACAGGCAGAGGGAGAAGCAGGCTCCATGCAGGGAGCCCGATGTGGGACTCCAGGATCACACCCTGGCCTGAAGGCGGCGCTGAACCGTTGAGCCACCGGGCTGCCCAGGAGTCCCTTTTGTTAAGAAAGTGCTCTGACCCTCAGTCCGGCCAGGAAGGAAGTGTTCAGAGTTGGGTTTGCTGGATGTGAGGACTAGAGGAGGGAGGTGAGTTAGGGACACTGAGCCCTTAACGAGATCTCCCGTTTCTGAGACTCCCTGGGTGCCAAGCCCTGTGTGAGTTTCTTCACTTGGGCCGCCTTACTTCATCTCAGCTTCCCTAGGCTAGGTATGTTACTATCCCCATTTTACAGATGAGGCACCCGAGGCTCACAACTTGCTAAGGTCACACAAGTAGAACTGAAGCCTTGTAGCCATGTTGCTGGTAACAGTGAACTCAGCAGATCTGTTTTCTCAGCTCCTAAACTCTTCCTTTCTCAATAACTCCTGTTAACAGCTACACTTCAGGAGGGACTTAAAAGTCCTAACGAATGGACTCATGGGACTGTTTCTAATGGGCATACAATAAGTTGCACTTTAAATATTCTAAAATGTGATGAGGCTGGTCATGCCAATCTAAGACTAGCCTTGGCCGTTGCCAGATCCCTCTGAAACGTATCATTTTTGTTCTTTAGAATTAGGAAAAAAGTTCCCAATGAAAGAGAAATAATATGAAATGCTAAAAATTTTCTCCTCTAATGCCTGGGGTATAGGATTTTTTTTTATTCACATTGAAATATTTTCTTTGAGACTTGTACATATTCAAATCTGGACCGAGGAAAATGGCATAAGCTCAATTTATGATTTTGCTCACCCTTTGAGTTTGCTTCATTTAGAAAAATAAGAAGGAAACTATGATACACATATCATTTAATTCTCTCTCTCTCTCTCTCTTTTTTTTTCCTGTGAAGCAGTACTTGTAAACACTGATTGGAAGATTATGTAGTAAAAGCAGGAATACAAATCTAGGCACATTCTGAACTGCATGTGAGTCAATCTCAGTTTAGAAAGCAGAAGTGCGGTGTCAGCCCAACTTCTTTTTCTTTTCCTATACTCTGGGAGTACGTAAATAACCCTCATCTGGAGATAGCCTTAAAAATCCAGTAGTTAGGGCAGCCGGGGTGGCTCAGTGGTTTAGTGCTGCCTTCAGCCCAGGGCGTGATCCTGGAGATCCAGGATCGAGTCCCACGTCAGGGTCCCTGCGTGGAGCCTGCTTCTCCCTCTGTCTGTGTCTCTGCCTCTCTCTGTCTCCCTCTGTCTCTCATGAATAAATAAATAAAATATTTTTTAAAAAAATCCAGTAGTTAAATACAATGGCGGTTATACAAATCCATCTATATTAGTGAAATGTCACAAAGATGTACTCTTCCCCTGCAATAAGGTGTGAATGGAAAACCTGGTAAAATATTCTATAATTATACCAGTGTCACTTCCTGGCTTTGATAATGCACTGTAGTTAGACAAGATATCACCACTGGGGGGAGCTGGGTGACGAGTATCCAGGACCTCCTCTATTATTTTTACAGTTTTTTATGAGTCTGTAATTGGTTCAAAAAAAAAAAAACTTAAAAATCTATCCATTAGGAGCAATCTGAACAGTAATGTTATGTGCAAGGTAGGGATTCATCAGCCGTTAAGAAGAAAGAGGCAGGGGTGTGTGTGTGTGTGTGTGTGTGTGTGTGTGTGTGTACGTACTAACATGGAAAGAAAGAGGCCCATGCTAGATTCTTGAGTGAAAAGGACAAATTGTGGCCCAATATGGATAAAACTGTCTTTTTGTAAGACAAAAACAAAAACAAAAAACAAAAAAAACCAAAACACCCAAACTGGACTTTTACAGCAAAAGCTATATATTCACAAGTTATAAATAAAGGTCTAAGAGGATAAACACCAAAGTGTTGACAGTAGGGATCCCTATGGAAACGGGAGTTTGGAGGGAGGGCATTCATGTTTTACTCACCATATGGTAGTAGTGTTTGAACTTTTTTCCATAATAAGCATTTCTTATTTTTATAGTTTTTTTATTATTTTCTTGAAGGTTCATTTACTTGAGAGGGGAGTAAGGAGGGGAGGGAAGGGCAGATAGAGAATCTCAAGAAGACTGTGCTGAGTGTGGACTGACGTGGGGCTCCATCCCATGACCCTGTGATCACGACATGAGCTGAACCAAGAGTTGGACTCTCAATTGAGCCACCGAGGTGCCCCTGTTTTTACAGTTTTCATAAAAAGCAGGTATATGACTAAATGAAATGTGGGGGCCATCCGAATCTCAACCTGCAAGTTCTGATGTGTGTGTACAAACTAATATGCTGAGCTGCACATTTTCATAGTTCATGGCAGCCAACGGGCTTGTTCGATCTCAGTCTGGTTTGAATTGTTCATCTTGTTCTTGCCAAAGATAATTGATCCTGTCACTTCTCAGAAAAAAAAAATTATAACTTCTAACATACGTGCCTGGGATCCATATCATTTAGCTCCCTGGACACTTGTGGGTATGTCCTATATTCCTATATGATGATGGAGGTTTTTTTTTTTTTTAAGGTTACATGTTTAGGTACTTCTTTAATGCATTCATCTCCTGTGAAAGAGAACTTTTTAAGCATTTGTCTCGATGGCCAGAATGTTTTGTCCATATGTTAGCATTTGCCCTAATTATCTTTTCAGAAGTGGTAGGCCAAGAGCTTTCATTTATTTGTGTGTGTATGTAAATGATAGAATAAGCCACATAAGGGCATGGTTTTCTGTTTGATTTTCTCACTGCCTTGTCCGCAGTGCCTAAGACAGCAGTTACTATCTGAAAGTTGCTCCAAAAGTAGGTATTAAATGAATGATTATTTGTGTGTGTTGGGCAGTGTCGGTGTGATAATCCTACAGGATACCTCTTTCTCAGTATTTTCCAGAAACCACTTGGATATCGGTCTTCAGAATCACTTTTCAAATATAAATATCCCATGAGTGGTTTAGGGAAGCCATTTGTGGTGTTGGCCATTTTGTCAGCTGGGATACTTCTGACTACAAGGAACCTAACCTAACTGGCCCTACAAAAATAATTCAGTGTCTTTTCTCACAAAACACTCGTAGGCTATGAGCCAGGCAGGTTCTGCCCATGTGTCTTCTGTCATCTCCAGGTAGCAAAGTGGCTGCAGCCATGCCAGGCATCACATCCAGACATGGCACCATCCGGAGGCAGAAAGACAAGGAATCTACAATTCCTTGAGTTCCTGTTTCAGAACAGGGGACCCTTTCCTCATAACTCCCATTCCAGCAGCTAGAAATGGCTCATGTGCCCATTGTCTAAATCCCCTGCTAGCAAAAGAAATGAGACCACTGCAATCGTTTGGAACTGTGTTAATTTGCTCAGGTTGGGTGTTGGTCCATTCTGGCTCTTATAACAAAATACTACAATTTGGGTGGCTTATCAATAACAAGTATTTATTTCCCGCAGTTTTGGAACTGAAGTGCAAGATCAAGATAATACCAGTTTTGGTGTCTGGTGAAGGCCTACTTCCTGTCCATAGATGGCTGTCTTTGCTATGTCTTCATGTGGCACAAGGGAGCTTTCTTGAGCTATTTTTATTTTTTTTAAAGATTTTATTTATTTGAGAGGGAGAGAGTGTGAGAGCCAGCACGAGCAGGAGGCAGAGGGAGAGGGAAAAGCAGAGCAGGGAGCCCAATCGATCCCAGGCCCCTGAGATCATGACCTGAGCCAAAGGCAGATGCTTAACTAACTGAGCTTTGCAGGCACCCCTGGGCCACTTTATTTTTATTTTTTTAAAGATTTTATTTATTTATTCATGAGAGACACACACAGAGAGAGGCAGAGACACAGGCAGAGAGAGAGGGAGAAGCAGGTTTCACACAGGAAGCCCAACATGGGACTCCATCCTGGGTTTCCAGGATCACGACCTGGACTGAAGGTGACACTAAACTGCTGAGCCACCCGGGCTGCTCCCTGGGCCACTTTAATAAGGATATTAATCCCTCTCATGAGAGCTCCACTCTCATGACCTAATCACCTCTTAAAATCATCCCCATTGGAGTGATGAGTTTGGGTGCAACAGCAGGTTGCCATAACAGACTGGATGACTTAACAACAGAAATTGATTTTTCTCAGTTATGGAGGCCAGAAGTCCAAGATCAGGGTGCTGACAGGGTTGGTTTCTGGGGAGACTTGCAGACCAATGTCTCCTCGCTGTGTCCTCACACGGTCTTCTCTCTGAGCATATGTGTTCCTGGTCTCTCTTCCTCTTATAAAGACCTCATTCCCATTGGATTAGGGCCCCACCACTTAGGACCTCATTTCTCAATTGCGTCTCTAACAACCCTATCTCCAAATGTGGTCACATTGGGCATTAGAGCTTGAACACACACATTTGGAGGGGACTTAGTTCAGTCCATCATAGGCCCAACCTGATGTTTGTGGGGCAGAGATAGAAATGCGAATGAAGTCGGGGTTCTGGGGTGCACCAGTACCTCCACATCAGCTTTCACCTTAATTATTCAGGCAACACCTAGGACACAAAAGGACAAGCTGGAAGGGGTATAGTTGCACTAAAGAAAAGGGGGAGGCAGACTCCTACAAATCCCATTTCCACCACTTACTAGGAAGTGGCTTAATGTATCTGAGCTTTGACTTTGTCTTCTGTGAAGTGGGGCTAACTTAGGCGGGCCTCCAAAGGCTGCTCTGAAGAGCTAACAAGAAAAGGCAAGAATAGCGCTTTGCCCGGTGTCTGGCGAGCACTCCATGTCTAGGCTGCTGTTACTAGCTCTTCAGTCCCAGGGTTGACCTTGTCTGTGCCATTCAAAACCTTCCCCAAACCACTGACCTCAAGGATACCTCTTCCATTGATTTTTGTAAAAAACAGAACAGAACAAAACAAAACAAAAAAATGCCCAGGAGCTCTTTTAGAAATACCTAATCGTCTTAAGATAGCTCTAAAGCCATTAATGGTATTCCAATGAGTAAAAATATTTACTTCCTTTCAGGGAAAACATATGCTTCAAAATTCATTGGGAGGAAATGTGATGAAGAGCGTAGCCTTTGATGCCAGATTGCCTGCGTCATGTCTGGCCTGTGGTGGCTTGCCGTGTCACCTTGGTCCAAGTACATCATTGCTCCGTGGCTCGGTTTCTCACCTGTGCAGTTGGAGAATAGAGACAGCCTGCCTCGTGGGTGGCTGTAGAGGTGAGATCACGAAGTGGATCTCACTGTGCCTGGTGGGCACTCGCAAATTCTCAGTGAAATGGGGAGAGATGTGAGGGTGTCGTGGGAGAGTTAAGGAGCAAAGTCACTTCCGTTCTCATTGGTGCCAGGAGCGCAGTAGGTACCTCACTGTCCTGTAGTAATAGTGCATGTGGGATGTACGACTTGCATCCTCTGCCGAAGGGTGAGGAAACCAGGAAGTCAGGTGACTGGCCAAAGGTCTCCTAGGTGGAGAGACTGAATTTGAACCCAGGTATGCCTGATGCTGGGCTTCGGCTCTTCTCTGTTATACTAAATACTGTAAAGGTGAATTCTGTCCCCTACACCTGCCCCTGACTCCCCATCTTCGAGAAATGTTTTAGATTCTCCAACCTGATGATTTTCATTGTAATTATTTTTAATTAGGCTCTGCTGACTGAGATGATGGAGAGATGCAAGAAACTAGGAAACAAGTAAGTATTTTATTTTTTTGACTTATTTTTATTTTTTATTTATTAAAACAATTTTTTTTTTTAATCAGGCACGGAGCTCAGTGTGGTGCTTGAACTCACAACCCTAAGATCAGGTGCCCAGTATTTTAAAATTCATAAAGCATGGGTTTGGAAGTGGAGCCGGTTGGGTTTTTGTTTGTTTGTTTTTGAACCTGGCATACTCACATGGACAAGAAGACCCAGCAGAGCGACAGGATGGCACAGAGATCAGGAAACCAGAGTCCAGTCTCCTGGCTTCAGATGCCTGGCTCCACTCTTTCTTAGCTTCGTGAATTGGGGTCACTTATTTGACCTCTCTGTGCCTCAGTCTTCTCTGTAAAGTGGGGTTTTTAAAATTTTAAAAAATTTTTTTCATAAAGTGGGTTTAATAACAGTTATTTCCTCATGGGGCTGTAGTAAGTGTTAGGGTCAAAATAAACTCCATCTTCCTGTCTTCCAGGCACAGGAGGCTTCCCCTCCGCTCTCCTTCTGTGGTAGGTGTTCCTAGGTCCTAGAACAGTGCTTTTTGTAAGAGATGGAGATATATATTTTATATATTTGCAGCTTGGATCAATATTATTACTTAATGTTTAGTTTTATCAGCACACCAACCTATCAAAGGCTCAGTTTATGTCTGTTTAAATGGAGTTGATTGCTTGCTGTCCAACAATCCAGCCAGCCATCTACCCATTCATGCAGTCAATTCAATGTTTATCAAGTTCCAAATATATATAAAACTTCATGTTGGTCTCTGGAGATTGCCTTTTTCCTCCAGCCTTTTATTTTATTTTAATTTTTTAGTTTATTTTTATTATTTTTTAAAAATATTTTATTTATTTATTCATGAGAGACAGAGAGAGAGAGAGAGAGAGAGAGAGAGAGAGAGAGGCAGAGACACAGGTAGAGGGAGAAGCAGACTCCATGCAGGGAGCCCGATGTGGGACTCGATCCTGGGTCTCCAGGATCACGCCCTGGCCTGAAGGCGGTGCTAAACTGCTGAGCCACCTGGGCTGCCCCCCTCCAGCCTTTAAAAAAATTTTTTCCAACCTTACCATTAAAGAGCTTTCATCCATCCTTCCCAGAAACATACATACTTAAAGTGACTTTGTTAAGGGGAAGCTCTGCTTACGGGGAGCATGTGTGTCTTATAGTGCCTTGCTGTTGAATTCTGTGATGTCAGCTTTCCGGGCCGAGTTCATCGCCACAAGGTCCATGGATTTCATTGGCATGATTAAAGAGTGTGATGAGTCGGGTTTCCCCAAGGTAGGTTCTTGACCAAATGCTCAGTGGAAGAACAGATAGGTGCTGCTTACCTGATAGCTCTCAAGGGAGATAGTCCTTTGTTGGGGGCAGCTTGGGCCAACAGGAAAAATAGGCTCTGTTTCTGAAGAGCATGATGGAAGATGAGTTTGTGATTGGGATTGTTAGACATGTGTCATTGCTGCCAGCAAGTCCTAAATCTGTCGAATTGGCTCATTGCAAAGCATTTAGGAAAGACTCCGTCTCCCATCTTTAAAAATATATCTTCACTTGTTATTTATGAAACTCTCTGCCCAGCAGAATGTTAGGGCCCACGAATCAGAGCAGAACTTTGTTATGAGAAGCTTGGTTTGACTTGCATGGAGGCCGGAGGTAGAACTTCAGAAAGGTCATTGGAAGATTAGCCCTGAGACAAGCTCAGTGTTAACAGTCTTTTCCTCTAAGCCTTGAGGTACTCTGATTTAAAATCCCCAGGATTGTAATGGTTCGCTCTTTCTCTTAGCATCTTCTTTTTCGCTCATTGGGGTTAAACTTAGCCTTGGCTGACCCTCCTGAGGGTGATCGACTCCAGATTCTCAATGAAGCTTGGAAAGTCATCACTAAATTGAAGAATCCACAGGTAGGTGACCAGTCAGACCTTAAGTCGACAGACTCCCTTTAGTCCAAGTATGCAGTATGTCCTTACCTTCAAAAAATTATCTTTTGACTAACCATACATCTGGGTTTCTTTTCTTCTTCTTTTTTTTTTTTAAATTTTATTTATTTATTCATGTGAAACACACAGAGAGAGGCAGAGACAAAGGTAGACTGAGAAGCAGGCTCCTTGCAGGGAGCCTGATGTGGGGCTCCATCCCAGGAGATTGGGATCATGCCCTAAGCTGAAGGCAGGTGCCCACCACTGAGCCACCCAGATAGTCTTTTTTTTCCTTTTTTAAAGAAATAATACTTTTTAAATTGTGTTTTGTTAACCTATAGTGGAGAACTGATAGCTCTAAAGATTTGTTTCTTTGGTTATTATATCCTAATTATGTCTAATTCTTGAGACCTCAGTGTGCACTAAAAGTGTAAAATGACAAATATTTGAAATCTCGAAAGACCTCTGATTTTGCAAACAGCATCCAAAGTGCAGCTGTCTATTGTATTTGGATTTGAAAATATCAACTTAGTAGGATATTCCTAAGTGGAAGATCAGCAGTCAAGCCTGTAATTAGCTTTGTCGCTTGAACTGTTGTCCCCTGAACAGAGATATCTGGGGCCTCTTTCCTCTCCTCAGGTCAGGGAGTCTTAGAAAAATGGACCAACTGGTATTAGGTGCTGAATGCATGTAGTGATAGCCATAGTCTTGGAGGTTTGGGTTTCAGGTCTCACCATCCTTGTAGGTAACACACCAGCAAATTTTGTGGCTGCCACTTGGGTAAATGCCTGTCTTTGGCTGAAGGACCAGCTGGGCAGACTTCATCACACCTCACACTCTTCCTCTTTTGCTAGCAACATGTCTTAGTTCGGCTGCTATAACAGAACACCGTACACTAGGTGGCCTACAGACAGCAGAAATACATCTCTTGTAGTTAGTCTACAAGTCTGATTTCAGGGTGATAGCATGGTCAAATTGTGGTGAAGGGCCCTCTTCTGGGTTGCAGAAGGCTGGCTTTTCTTCTTCCCTCGGCAGAGAGAGGGTGAGTGGGATCTCTGGGGTCCCTTTTATCAGGGCATTTATCCCATTCATGAGGGCTCCACTCTCGTGACCCTATCACTTCCCAAAGGCTCACCTCCTAATGCCATCACACTGTGGGGCTAGGATTTTTAACATAGGGATTTTGGACACAAACATCTCGAAATTCAGCAAATAACGGAATATGGGTATGTAACGTTTGACACAATCATTTACCAAAGAAGGAAATACTAGAGTGAGTTCAGTGATAAACCCCTTAGTTATCACCACATTTGCAATAGTATATTGAGAATATCTGGCCTGATGTAGAAAAATCAGGAACTCATTTAGCAAATCACATACCTGAGTTAAGTTTAGCAAAACCCTCGCTAAACTTAAGCTGTCAAAATCCTGTTTAACCAAACTCTGACCGGCTAACTAAACAGCTTTTTGGGGATATGTAAATCCAAAGCCTCCTGGCCTGTGGTGCCTCTGTGTGCAACCTTCAAAGGCCTCAAAGGGCCACATTAATTGTTTTCTTCAGTCTCTAACTTCACACAGCCTTCTCAGCTTGCCAGACTGTCACATGTTCCTGGCTTGTCTTGTGTGAATGAGATAACTATTTTCTTCCCTCCCCATTTCTTCTTTCTTTTCCTTAAAGTGTAGGAACAGGAGAGATGCACTGGCAGACTGTATTTTTCCTCTAGCACTTTTTACCCCCACCCAAGTGATTTCCAGGGTAGGTGGCCATACTAGATGCTCCCTGCCATTTCCGTGACCAGCTTATAGTCTCTCTTTGGGCCCTTCCCCAGCTACTTGAATCTAACACATAATTTCTTACCTAAGATCTTCAGTGCTTTCTTAACCTTTTTACAATGTATATGTCATCCCTCTATCCGAAAAATGGTTTATTTTTCTAAAGTAGGAGGCCTTTTTTTTTTTTCCTCAGAAAATGCAAAAATCACATTGAATTCTGGTGTTCAGCTGGATCCACCCTCAGTTTCTCTACTGAGATGTGGCCCTGACTTGTGACTTTTATCTCTACTGCCTTTCGATTGTTCTCAGATTTCTATCTTGGCCCAAGTAGCAATTCTGAAATGAGAGTCTAATTGGTTTCAAGCAACTTCTGTATTTCGATAACTCGCTTCTGAGGGTAAAATATATCAGTGGGCTAGACTTTTCTGTGGAAGAACCAACCAGTCTTGAAATTCCTATCACTTACCTCTTTTAATTGTCAGAGCCCTTGAAGGGATTTGTACCTGATGAGCTTTCACCATAGGGTCAACCGTGGTCTTATTGTAAAGACATTTTTGTTTTTTCTCTGTAGGACTACATTAACTGTGCTGAAGTGTGGGTGGAGTACACCTGCAAGCATTTCACGGTATGTGTGGCCTGCAGTATTGTTTTTGGAAGAGTTATGTTTTTATTCATGTTTATGATAATGTATAAGGCTGAGTGAGGCATTTAGCATTTTACAATGGTAATTGTCCTTAATTTATAAAAATCACAACTTTTTTTTTTTTTAAAGACTGTGTTTATTTATTCATGAGAGACAGAGAGAGAGAGAGGCAGAGACACAGGCAGAGGGAGAAGCAGGCTCCCCAGGGGGAGCATGATGTGGGACTCGATCCCAGGACCCAGGGATCACATCCTGAGCCAAAGACAGACGCTCAACTGCTGAGCCACTCAGGCATCCCAGAGTCACATCTTTTATGTTATAGAGTAGTGGAGTGTTAATAGGTACACTACAACAAAAGTATTCCACGCTTACATGTAAATTGGGGAAATGGTTCATTACACCAAGTGAAGTAGTTTTTTTTCACCATAGGATACCTTAGGTGCTCATATGCTAAAGCACGTTGTGACTCTCCCTGGGGGTCCAGTCAGTAGCACTTCGTACACATATTTGACTTGTGTATAATTTCTTTCTAAGCAAAGGTACTTCTTTTCCTGTGCCCAGACTAGAACCTCAGTTTGGGAAGTATAGTAGGATTTGAACCTAGTTCTGCCAGCTGCTAATGTCTTTGCTATCCTATTGTCAGAATGTTTATTTTCATCAGGTTTTAAAAAGTGAAGTATATAGCATACATGCAGAAAAATGCATATATTGTAAGTTTGCTGCCTAATGAGTCTTGAGGAAGTACACCTGTGTGATCATGGTCCAGATCAAAAAGTAGGGAATAACTCCCCCAAGTGCCCTGAATCCTGCTCCCAGTCACAGTCCCCAACCTTCGGAAGTTGAAGGCAGCCACCATCCTGGCCTTTAACTCGGTAGATTGGCTTTAGTCTCATTTTAAGCATTATGTAAGTGCTAATCTGTAGATTTTGTTTCTTTGGTCCAATTTTAGTTTTATGCTTTGTTTTGGAAATTTCAAACATACAAAATCCCTTGAACTCATCACCCAGAAGTGATTAACTCATGACAAATCTTGTTTCATTTATATCTTTACCACTTCTCACCACCCCTGAGTTATTCTGAAAGCAAACCACAAACATGGTGTCTTCACTTGCCAGTTCCCAGCACATATATGTAAAGTGTAAGATTCCCTTTTCTGAAACCAAGCCCTAATAGCTTATTCTAACTAAAAAAAAAAAAAATTAATACTGTTTTTAATATCATTAAAAATCAGTGTTCAGATTTCCCCAGTCATCTTGAAACTTTTTTTTTTAGAGTTTATTGTTCAATCATGATTAAAATAAAGTCTATACATTGCAGTAGACTTCTTAGAGTTCTTTTAAACTATAAATTCTCTCCCTCCACTCTCCATCTGTGATTTATTCGTTGAAGAAATTGGGTCATTTGTCCTGTAGAGTTTCCCAGTCTTGACTGGCTAGTTGCATCTGCTGATGGTGCTCTTCTGTTGTTAGTTCTGCCAATAGCAGTTAGTTCTGGAGACTTAATCAGCTTCAGATTCAATTTCTTGGCACCGTGGGTGGTAGTTGAGCACTTCTCCTGGAAAGATGATGGTATGTGGCTGTCTCTCTATAACATGGGCAGCCACCAAAGTTCATTGCATCTCACAGTTTCTTAGGGGCTGCAAAATGACAATATTTGAAATTATAATCAACTCTTCTTTGTTCATTATCTAGGATACTTGTAGAAAGAGAAAATTTCATCTTGGCTGTTTGGTTACCCTGCAGGACAGTTTGCAAAGAAAAGGCAGGATTGCTGCTGGATTTTTTTCTTTTCCTTTCCTAGTTTTAGAATAAGGATTGGATTCCTTAGGATCCCCAAAGGTGACCAGTGAGGAGCAGTTGTTGGTATCTTTAGGAACGCGTGGATTTAAATATACTTGAATTACATTATTCTTACTGATGCTCATTTGTCCCTTCTTTGCACAGTGGATGCCTTTTCAGGCTGGCTCCTGAGTTCTTCTGACATGTTCACCATACTGTTTGCCTTCCTTGCTTTCTGTTATAAGATGTTGCAGGCTCCCTGGCATATTTCTTTTTTTTTTTTTTAATATCCCTGGCATATTTCTAATTCCAGATTCAGCCTCAGCTGTTTCTCCAAGGAGCTCTGGTTCCTCTCAGTACCATTGTCAGATATTTTATTTTTTTAAGCTGCATGACCCTGGCTAGGTCACTTAACTTCTCTGAGCCTCCACATCCTCATCTGTAAAATGGGGATAAACCTGTCCCTGCCAGGGAGTTTAATGAGCATCAAGCAAGAAAGTGAACATGATGGCAACTATTTAGGTAACACATATTTGTGATTCAAAGTATTTGAATCACAAATACCAGGCACTTTACCTGTCGACTATGCAACCTCATAGAGACCCTGCCAGGAGGCTTCACTATTCCTGTTATAAGGACCGAGGGTCAGCCTACCTTTTCTGTGGAGAGCCAATAGTAAATGTTTGATGCTTTGTGGACCACATGATCTCTGCCATAAGTATCCGACTCTGTCATTGTAGCATGAAAACAGCCACAGACAATATATAAGTGAGGACAGCTGTGTATTTGAATGAACTTGATGCACACTGAAATTTGCATCTCATATAATTTTTGTCATGAAATATTACTATCCTTTTGGTTTGAACATAGAAATTGTTTTTAGCTCATGGGCTATGTAAAAACAGGCACAGGGCTAGATTTGGACTGTGGCTGGCTGACCTCCAATACAGACAACGACAGAAGCACAGGTGGACCTCGAAGACACTCAGCTTGTAGGGGCTGAGTCTCTGCACTTCCCACAGTGCCTTGCTGCTCCTGCCAGTGCTTGGGGAGCGGCCAGGGACAGGCAGGGAGAAAGTGGCATGGCTGATTTTACCAGCACTCAGAGAAGGCAGGGACAGCCCAGAACCTTTTTTTAAAAAGATTTCTTTAAAAAAAAAAAAATTTTTTTAAGATTTATTTATTCATGAGAGACACACAGAGAGAGGCAGAGACATAGGCAGAGGGAGAAGCAGGCTCCCTGTAGGGAGCTTGATGCAGAACTTGAACCCAGGACCCTGGGATCACACCCTGAGCCAAAGGCAGGCGCTCAACCACTGAGCCACCCAGAGTCCCCGAGAATAATAGTTTAGTTCTGACCTGGTACAGAAGTAGTTACTTTTCAGGGCTGTGAAAGAAGTGAGATTTCTCCTTTTAAGTTATTTCCAGCAGACGATTTGAAACTATTTCCTGGAAGATATGTGATATATTCTGAAAATATTAGTCCTTTCCCCCAGAAAAGTAGTCAGTGACTGCCTTTCAGTGTCTTAATACAGATTTATTTTCCATACTTAGAAACGAGAGGTGAATACCGTTCTGGCTGATGTCATCAAGCACATGACTCCAGATCGTGCCTTTGAAGACTCCTACCCTCAGGTAACAGATTTGCTTTTCTCATTTCCACAGTTAGGAATTTGATTGTGTTGAATCACATAGGCATGTTGCATGAGTCAGGCTGTAGGGTCAGATAATCCTGGGTTTAATCCTAGCTCTACCATATTTTCGCCATATGCCCTTTGCTCAGTTACTTAACCTTTTTATACGTCAGTTTTCTCACCTGTCAAATGTGGGTAATAGCCCTATGCTCAGACTGGTTGTGAGGATTGCATGAGATGTGATATGGGATGCCCTGACAGAGTTGATTGGCACCAGTAAGTAAAGGGCATATGTTTTCCGGTTAAACTAACTTTTTATTTGGAAATAAAGACAAGCTTATTGGAAAATTGAAAGAATAGCTCAGAGAACTTCCATTATTTTTTACTCAGATTCCCCAACTGTGACCATGTTCCATGTTGGCTTTATCATTATGTGTACACACACACATGCATACATGTGAGTGTCAAGTTGCATACGTCATGCTACTTTGCCTCTGAAGAATTCAGTGAGTATTTCCTAAGAATAAGGACATTCTCCATGTAACCACAGTTTGGTTATCGACTCCAGGGAATTTAACATTAACATTTTCTTATTGTGTACTCCACAGTCCGCATTGTAGTTTTGTCGGTGGATTCAGTAATGTCCTTGATGGCAGATTTTTCCCTCGTCCAATACAGAATCCAGCGAAGGTTCATTTACTGTCAAGTAACCTCAACCTAATTAAGATTTTATTTTTATTTTTTATTTAATAATATGATATTCTGGCACTTATTGCCTGTGATCAATTTCTAGCTTCACTTAGTATAAGAAAATTAATTACAGGTTCTTATAAGAAGGTTAGAATTCTAACATTTTGGTAAGAGTGTTTTCACCATTTGCTAATTAAAATACTTCATCATCATAATTTATTGAGTAGCCACTGACTACCTGACATTTTTCTAGGGGTGATGAAAACAACATATAGTCATGCACAGTAGGCTCTCGGTAAGCATCACTGAGTGGATAAAGCGTGTAGAGGAGATGGGTCATCCTTTGTGGATCTATAAGATTTTGGATGCAAATGAAGACTGAAAGGCATTAGAATTTTGGTTGAGGAACATTTAGTAAGACCTTGACTCCATTTAATTGAAGACTTTAAACATAATAATTCTAATGTAGTCCATTCCTAAGAGAGAAGGAATAATTACAGTATACCACTCTGTCATAGCTAGAAACAACTTATGAAAGATACCCCAAGGGTCAGCCTGCATTCCGGATAGCTGCCCATATGAGTTGTGAACCCCCTGGTCTGAAGTGATTTAAACAAATGGCTTAAACAGCAGTGTTTTTTTAGTATAAACAACAGTACCTGTCAGTAAATTTTCTCTTTTTGACAATTACCAGGGGCAGAGGTGTATATTTTTCTTAAGGAAAAGCACCTCCGTAGTTCTCCCTGTCAGTGGGACTGTGTTCATCTCAGGGGGAGGGGTGCTAGACATCATAACCTGACTATCTGGGGCCTACCTTACAGATTGTGCCACCTCGGGTAGCCATTGATGTGGCCTCTGACTCCACTAGCAGACTCCATTCATTGTCTCTCCGCAGGAGTCAAGAAACACAGGGTCCTTATAGGCTAGAATGGGGTTCTATGAAGTATGACCCACAGACTATATGTAATATAGCGCACCACTTGTTAGTGTGAATAAAGTTTTACTGGAACCAGCCACACCCATTTGCTTACATGCTCCCTGTGGCTGCTTTTGAGCTGCAGAACCCACACTGAGTAGTTATGATTCTGTGGCCCTTTAAAGAAGTTATTTTGGGATGTCTGGGTGGCTCAGTCATTGAGCATCTGCCTTTGGCTTAGGGTGTGATCCCAGGGTCCTGGGACCGAAACCCACATCAGGCTCTCCGCAGGGGGCCTGCTTTTCCTTCTGTGTCTCTGCCTCTCTCTCTCTCTCTCTCTCTCTCTCTCTCTATGTCTCTCATGAATAAATAAATAAAATAAAATAAATAAATAAGGAAGTTATTTCCCCACCCACCCACTTGAATATTCATAGTTGATTTTTAATAGCTTTCCAAGGAGAGACACTATACCTCTATAAGCACTTTACATGAACTATCCCATTTAACTCTCAAGGTGAGCAAGATATGGTTTTGCTCTCCATTTTATGGAAGAGGAGGCTGAGGAGTGGCTTCCCCAAGACCACAGAGTGAGATGATGGGCAAACTCAGCCAGAGACAAGCTCTAACCCACCCCCAGAAATCTCCTGCTCCTGAGTCATCCAGATGTCCCTTATTGTAATTGTAATTTCACATTATGAAAGAAGGTTCTCTTTTAAAACTATTCCAACCTTTGGAGCGCCTGGCTGGCACGGTCAGTAGAGCGTTTGACTCTGGATCTTAGGGTTGTGATGTTGATCCCTATGTTGGGTGTAGAGATCACTTAAAAATAAAATCTTAAAAAAAAATCCAAGTTTTATTTTAAAAAGATGTGTTTTCTGTTTGGATTTGCAGCTTCAGTCAATAATTAAGAAAGTGATCGCGCACTTCCATGATTTCTCCGTTCTTTTCTCGGTGGTAAGTAACATTCCTTAATTACCTTTGGAAATTTGTGTCTGAGCCAGAGGTCCGCTTAGTGTCCCAGTCATGTTTTCATGGTGTCCCAGGCTGAAAGAAATACTTAACAGTTCTTTTAGAAAGTAGTTAGGTTTTAACAACTTCAGTATTTATAGCATAACAATCAGTGTTTGAAAATTTAGTACCCAGTACCCATTTTCTGAGAGAAAAATGTTATCTTTCTTTCTTTCTTTTCTTTCTTTCACGAATGTGTGCCCCTCTTTGAGCACCACACAGCTTCTCAAACCCTAGAGTCTGACTGGACATCCTCTTCTTATGTCTTCTTCTATGTTGATTTTCATATGACACTTGCCTTCTATCACACATGCAATCTAATGTTGAAACTATGAAATACGTCGAGCTAATCATCTCGGTGTCAGGTGGAGTTGAAAATGTTTTTTATGTGTCTCGGAGATTTTAAAATATCCCACAATGCCCCCTTTAGGTCTGCTGCATTGCCCTGGGCAAGTACAGACGTAGGGGATTCTCTTCCCTGCCACCTCTTCCTCTTTAGGGTTCATATGCACTAATAGCACTGCATTTAGTTTTTGTTTATTTTAAAAATAGAACCTCTTATTTTTTTTTGGACATTTGCCATACTCCAAGCCCTGTGCTGGCAGTCCATGTGCATTGCCTTGTACCATTTTCACGACGTTGCTGGGAAGTTACAATCCCTGCTTGTGATAGATGGGCACATTTAGCAAATGTCGAGTCAGAATGTGGAGGTCACTCTGAACTCCTGGCTCTTCTTTCTCTAGTCAATACAATCATAAAAAAAGACAGAAGCTCACTTTGTGTTTGGTTACCTGGGAAAGCTTGCCTATATGGTTCCCAGAATGTTAACTGGCCCCAGACCTGGTAAGTGTTTTTTAACACTACTACCTGCCTCATCTGTGGCTAAGTCCTCAACTGATCTACCTGCTTCACAGAGATGAATGACTCTTTCTCTGCTTTGTTGTTGTTGTTTTAAAGATTGATTGATTGATTGATTGATTGATTTGATTGGGGTGTGGAGAGCATGAGCAGCGGGAGGGGCAAAGAGAGAGGGAGGTGCAGACTCCTCACTGAGTAGGAAGCCTGATGTGGGGCTTCATCCTAGAACCCTCAGATCATGTCCTGAACTGAAGGCAGATGCTAAACCTGGCTGAGTCACCCAGGCTCCCCTCTTTCTCTGCTTTAACCTTCAAAGAAAAAGAGACCCACAAATTCCTTCCAGTAACTTGTGCAGATCGCATGTAGACTGCTTTTTTAATTATTATTATTTTTAGGAAAAATTTTTGCCATTTCTGGACATGTTCCAAAAAGAGAGTGTGCGGGTGGAGGTTTGCAAATGCATCATGGAAGTTTTTATCAAGTAAGTGTAACATGGAATAACTGGGGAGCTTGGATTCCTGATGACCTTGTGAAACATTGCAAATGAGAATCACTTTGTGCATTCTGAGGCCTAATGATATGTATGTATTTAACATCTAAAATAACATGGAGAAAAAATAAAATAACATGGAGAGGAAATTCACATTAAAAGGAGAAGTCATGATAAAAGTTTGTAATTAGTGCTTAAGAAGACGAAGTCAGTATTAGCTGGAGCCTGGCCATCACCTACTGGTATTCTGATGTGTTTTTGGAAGGAGCAATCTGTTAATGAACTACTTAGAGAGTAGTGTTTTAAAAGATAAAAATAAAGTTATACTTGTCAAGGTCGCAGAGCCAGAAAGCTTTCCACCCTCAGTGTTTAGATTTGTCATCAGTTTTTGAATTGAGTTGCTTTCCTTTGGACTGAATCTGCATTTCCCCAAACCACCTACTGCTGGCGGTACTTGAAATAATTTTAGGTGGCGCGTGGAAGTGAGATTTTGATTTTAAAAGTTGTATATTTAAAGTATATTAGATAATATATAATTAGTTTAATTAGATAATATATAATTAGATAATATATAAAGTATATTAGATAATATATAATTAGTTTTCATGGGTCTTTTTTTTTAGGACAAAGTTAAATTTAAAAAAGTTAAAGTCGCCTTAAATATTAAATGTATAGATATGGTAAAATAAAATGTGTTAAGATGAAACTTGAATAACCCCAGTTTGGAAAAAGCAACATTAGATGTTGCTTGAATAATTTATGTTTTAAGCTTTCTTTGTGTTGTTCTTTCTAAAAGATTAATTCAATATGCTTGGAACGAATATACCTCCTTTACTTACATAAAGATTTGTTATAAGACCATATCCTTCTATATTATTTAAAAAGCCAAATTAATAATTTTGCCTGGCACTTAACACAATTGTAGAGAGGTTGTAGGCTGCTTTAGAAAGAAAAGAAAAAAAAAAAAGGTTTGCCTGGCTGAGGAAATGCAGCAGCTTTACCATGATTTTGAGGATTTACTGTGATTTTAGAAGTTATAATACATGCGGAAAAACATACTTGTTATTGAAAGAAGAATTAAGAGAAAAGCCAGAACATTGCCTATTACATGTTCAGTGCCAACTAATTTGCATTTTTCAAAGGTATGTGATAGAGAAGAAACTCAGTCTGCACCTTCAATGCTGTGAGTGGACATAGCTTTTACTGTTGTCTTTAAATGTCTTGTAGGCATCAGCAAGAGCCTACAAAGGATCCTGTCATTCTGAATGCCCTTTTGCACGTCTGCAAGACCATGCATGACTCTGTGAAGTAAGCCACGCTTCGGGCTGAAACATAACGTGGACTGGGTCTTAATACCACATAATAGTGCATTGGGGAATTACTGCTTTAAGCTGCCACTGTGGATAATATTATTTTATGGGGTCTATAAAAATTCTTGCTAATGAGGACATTCTAGTCCAGGAGAAGAGAGAGGCTGAGGGTAGTAACCTTCTGAGAATGAGATGGCAGATTTTTCTTTTTTGTAAAGATAGATTGATTTATTTGAAAAAGGGAGACCGAGTGGGGAGAGGGGGGAGCAGACTCCATGCTGAGCACAGAGCCTGATGTGAGGCTCCATCCCACAGCCCTGAGATCATGACCTGAGCCGAAACCAAGAGACCCTCAACCGACTATGCCAGCTAGGCACCCTGAGATGGCAGATGTTTTTACACAGGGATTTCTGTTGAGAGGAAAAGGTTGATTTCATCCAAGTGAACTCAAGCTCCATGTCTCCTGGAGATTTGAGAACAGCAGAAAGGATAATAATGAGTTCACTCATCCAGTATTATAGCCTTTAACATTTTTTTCTCATTATTAGCCAGTTATTTGAAATTCAAATGAAACGGCTTATATTCCTTACATGAGGGGCTCTAGGTGTTCAGTAGACTTGAGGCTCAGTCTTGTGCATTGGCCTTCTTACCTCTGGGTCAAAGGCCAAATTATCACTCATTTGCTTTCTAGGTTTTTTTTTTTTTTTTTTTTTGGTCCATGTTTCCATCTGATTGTATTTGAAGCAGTTCCTGCTTATTTGTGCCTGGAACTTTAGTCCCCAAAGAATCACAGCAGCTTGATTCACTGGAAAATGTTACAAGAATTGAGAAAACAGTTTTGGAACTTAACCATCAACAAGATGAATTTAATTTCTTTTCTCTTTTTTCTTGAATTTTGGAATCTTTATTTTCATGGATCTTATGTTGTCAACCTCATGACTAGTTATAAAAATAGAAATTTCAAGACTCTTCATAATACCGGGAACTGATAGACTTTTTTAGTTTTAGTTTGAAAAAATAGAAATAAAGGCACAAAACCTATCCAGAAAGGCACCTATATTAGTAGGCTCCTGGGTTTTAGCTTTGTAAAATAGAAAGTTAATTTCTCTCTTGCTAAAGGTGTGAGACCAGAAGGTTGAGGTAGGGTAGCCCTACTTTAGAGCACCATCCAGGTTCCTTCTGTCTCATTGCTTGGCCATCCCCCTGGGGTATTGTCCTTGTCTTCCTAGGGGAAGCTGGTTTGCCTCAAATATGTCCAAGTATAGCCTCTGGGCTTTGATGGACAGCAGCTTTGTTTCTGGGAGAAAACTTGGAGGGCTCCCCCTTACTTGTCCTCGTATCCCATTGGCCAGAAATGTCATATGGTTGTACCCAGCTACAACAGGGGCTAGGACACGGAGTCTCAAAGACTGAAAGGGACATTGCTTTGTTAGTGAATGATGTACAGTCTTTGGCAGTATTTACTTTCTCCTAGGACAAACCAACACACAAAAAACTTGGCTCCTGTTTTCTCTAGTCTCAAGTTATTTTTAAAGATAAATCTGGGGAGCGCCTGGGTAGCTCAGTAGATTAAGCATCCGACTCTTTGTTTTGGCTGAAGTCATGATCTCAGGGTCCTGGGATTGAGCCCTGAGTCAGGCTTCATGCTCAGCGTGGAGTCTGCTTGTCCCCCTCTCTCTCCCTCTGCTCCTTCCCATGTGCTCCCTCTCTCAAATAAATAAAATCTTTATAAAAAAATTAAAGATAAATTTGGGGAACTATTAATAGGCTTTCACATGTGTAATTGAAGCTTAAGGATGTTGACATTTTCGTATTTATATTTGTATTAATATTGCTATTAAATAGAGGCAATCGTGATCTGTAATTTACTTTTAAGATGCCTCCCCAAAATGAGCTGGGTTGATGGGTGGAGAGGGAAGCAGATAGTTATGTGATAAAGCAAAAACTGTAAAATGATGGTGGTAGGATCCTAGTGGTGGATATTGAGGTGTTCGTTGTAAAATTCAACTTCACTGCATGTGTGAAATCTTTTATCCCAAAATGTTGAACAAAATTTCTCTGAAATACAAAATTTGAAGTTGTTTTCCAGTTTCCAAAGAAAAGCAAGCTTCCTTCTCCTTTGCTATTAACAAATATGTCTTGAAAAACATTGTCTTTGAGAAGAGAAACACATTTAAATTATGTTCATTTAGATGATATATTTTCATCAGAAGAAACAGACTGTTGAGAGTGTTTTAAATCTGGAAAATGCAAAATGTTCTTACCTGTTAAATTGCTTACTTCTCATATATTTTTTAGAAACTTTCATTTATTACCTCAATGTTAATTATGTACAATTATTGATTTTAGTGCACTCACTCTTGAGGATGAGAAAAGATTGCTGGCATATTTGATTAATGGATTTATAAAAATGGTAAGTATTGGGGGGAGAAGTTTCAGGGCACTTGGAAATGTGATGTAATTGTTGGTCTTTAACTCCAGTGAAAGCAGTTAATGTTATGTTCCCTGGTGCTTTTCATTTTTATTAAGATAAGATGAAATTAGAAAGTATCTTACATTAGCCAGCACTCCCTTGGGGGCAAAGAGAGCCAAGACAAACTGGCCTAAGGAATAAAAAAAAGGGAGGGGGAGGGCTGGATGAGGGACTTACTGGCTCATGTGACACAAAGTCCAGGAATGGAGCTCCCTGAAGGAGCAGCTGGCCTGGGGACCTCCATGGTATCATCAGGTCCTGCCGGCTGTGCGCCTTTGGCTCAGGGTTCTGCTCTCCCCGTGTCCTCCCTGGCAGGCTCACTCCCCTGAATATTCTGGGTTCCCATGCCTTCCAGAGTTGCAGCCCAGCAGGAAGGGCTCCATCAGAAGTCCTGGGATTGAGTCTCTAGATTAATTTTTATCACCACCTCATCTCTAAACGACATGCTGCAGTGACGGGAAAGGAACACACTGACTGGTCAGGCCTGGGAGACGTTTGCCCATGTGCTGCTCATCAGATGATGATGGTGAAGAGGATATTTCGGTTTGGGGGAGACAAAATTGCTGCATAACAACTCACCCCAAAATGTAGCAGCTTTTTTATTTTATTTTATTTTATTTTATTTTATTTTATTTTATTTTATTTTATTTTATTTTATTTTATTTTATTTTATTTATTTTTGTAGCAGCTTTAAATAGCAGTGTTTTTATTCTTTTTTTTTTTTTTAAGATTTTATTTATTTATTTGAGAGAGCACAAGCAGGGTAAGAAGCAGAGGGGGAAGCAGGTGCTCTGCTGATCAGGGAACCCGATGCGGGGCTTGATCCTGGGACTCTGGGATCATGATCTGAGCCGAAGACAGATGCTCAGCTGACTGAGCCACCCAGGCGTCCCTTTAGTAATTCTTAACAATCCTTTGGGTTGGCTGTTTAGCCGGGGTGCTCCGTGTACCAGGATCTGGGCCATGGGATCCAGGAGAGCCTGACTTAACGCATCTGGGGTCTTGGTGCTGGCTGCTGGGGCATTTCTCACCAGCATGGACGCTTTCTGCTGTTCTACCATTATCCATCTTTTACGTGGTAAGGTGTGGACAGAAGCTGCAGGGCCTTTTAAGACCCAAATTCAGCAGTCCCACAGTGACCAGGGCCGCATCCTGCTGCATTCTGTTGATCAGAGCAGTCACTGCTTTGGAGAGGGGGGAGGTAGACTCCATCCCAGATGGGAAGAGTCCACAGGGACAGAGCGGGACACAGCGTGGGAGGGATTATTGCCACCTTCTCTGGGAACAACCTCACTGCACCATCCTAGCCAGAACCACCTTTCATTTTCTGTGCCCAGAGCTGAAACAGCAACTGCTGTCAGTATCTGTTTTAATACAAATGTCAAGACAAAAGCTGACCAAGATGAAAATAACTTAGATCATTATGAAAATGATCCTGAAAATGTGACTTGTTCAACAAGAGGGTTCAGTGTCATCATTGGCCTGACTCTGTAGGTAACATGATCCATTTTGATGCAAAATCAGAATTAACCTTTCAGTTGCCATGTTAGGAAATGAAACTTTTACCAGGTGACTCTCCTTGCCCTTGATTTATAAGCTGATCAGGTGGTATTTTATCCTTTTATGGCTTTGTCTGAAAGGCTCCGAGTTAGAATGGAAAAGAAAATGAGGAAATAAGATGTGAAACCTGATAGCTATAATGGAAATAGCAATGTTAAGCCTCCTCTGAGCAAAAATGTTTGCTGTAACAGTAAGGTTTGTCCTACTAACCAGCTGTTCATAAATTTGAAGAAATTGGAGAAGAGGGGATTTTTACTGATGGAGAAACTTCCACCTATGGCTCCTGCAGGCACCAGTAAGTTGCTGAGGTTGGACTCTGCAACAGAAAGCAGAAAGGTGTGGCTCTTATTAGGGAAATCCTTCTGACAAATGGCTCCCAATAACCAAATTTACGTCCTGTGAAAAGGCCACAGCTGACACACAAAATTCCATTATTTCCTTTCCAGTGGTTTCCTTCTAGCCTGGGAAATCCGATTTACATTCTGAGATTCTGTTCTATACCCTTTGGTCTTTTTATGTTCTACTCCAGTGCTCATGTCATAAAGATGAGGTAGTAATGGTAATATTTCAGTTCTGTGCTGAAGTCATGTAAAGTCTAATTGGAGCATATTACAGCGTGTGCGCATGTGTGTATGCTTGTATACCCTTGGCATTTCCACCCATGTATATCAGTGGGATTTTTGGCGACTTGTCATCACAGCACTTTCCCTACCCTACAAACCTCAGGGAAACTCTGTAATGGTGTGTGCTCACAGGTGCCTAGAGATAACATTCTCTGCATCTTATTTTTCCTTCTAGGTTTCCTTTGGCCGTGACTTTGAACAACAGCTAAGTTTTTATGTTGAGGCTAGGTCAATGTTTTGCAACCTGGAACCTGTTCTTGTGCAATTGATTCACGTAAGGATTGTCATTTATTTGTTTCTTTTCTCAATAAATATTTAGTTCCAGGCATGGAGTTTAATCTGGGATTCTTGTAGCCCTGTAACACTCATATTCTTTAGGGTATAAAAAGGTGGTTTCTCAAAGATGAATCAAATCTGCAGCTTTGCTTAAGTCTTTGGATTTTTTTTTTTACCTCTTTTTCTCTGATATTAGCATATTCTCATTCCTGAATGCCAGCAGCTAAGTGGGTTGCACTGATTAGTCCTAGAAATATTAACCTATGGCTCTTCTAGCTTAACCAGAGTCCCAACATTGTTGGATCTTGGTAGCTTTTCATGGTGCCCCCAGGCCAAAAGAAAGAAGTAACATTTCAGTTCATTAAGAAGGTAGACTGAAAGAACTTAAGTATTTATGCCTTCACAACTGGCTAGCTCTTAGAAGTAGCGTATGTGGATCAAGAGAAAAATACATATTTTTATTCTTAAATAATCCTAATTACTAATAAGTGTGTGTACCTGTTGGGCACTGCACCACTTCTCAAACCTTAGCATCAGATTGGCATTACTACCCTCATATCCTGTTCTACATTGATTTTTCTTTCCTCACATTGATTTTTTTTTGCACACTACTTGCTTTTTATCAGAGCAGCTACTGAAAACCCAGTTTCACAAAGATAGTACATCGCTGGGAGAAACAGGATGCAATCTGGTGTTGAATCCATGAGCTCCCTCATGCCAGTGCTTTCCATGGTGTTCAACAATTGAACATTGCTTTGTTCCCCTCAGAAAATTGTGCCCCCATGAGTTTGCTACAGCCTTCGAGGATGTCACGGTACACAGTTTGGGAACCCTAGGTCCGAACTTCTCATATTTGTGGAAAGATTACCCAAGGCTCTTTAATTGCTTTGTGTAAATTCAAGGAGAGAGCAGCCTTTTCATATATTTGTTTGCTGGTTAGCAGGTTTTGTGGCATTACTGAATTTAAGGTAGAGACCTCCTCTAATTCAGGGGGAGGTAGAAACCTCTCCTTTAATTTGAGGGGAAGTAGAGACCCCCTCTCTAATTTTGGGGGAGGTAGAGATCCCCTTTCTAATTCGGTGGAGATAACAGTGCCTAGCTTGTAGGGTTGTGGGGATAAAGTGAGCTGATGAATGTCCAGCTCTTAGAGCAGCGCCTGTATGCTGTGTGATATGGTAGCTATTATTTCTGTTCCTTTGGTTCATGTTAGTATTGCATAGCTGAATTGTGGGGTCTGCTCTCAGGTTTGGAGGTTTCTCTTAGGATCCCTAAGATCTCAAGCTTAGTATGTGGGGTTCCGGGAAATCAAGTGAACCTTGGCTATTCATTAAACCAGAAAATGGCCATTCACAATGCCAGTTGATAGGCATGACTAACTCAGTGAGTGCCTTTTGTTCTTTCCCATTGGAGATGTTTCCTCAAGGCTGAGACTGAATCAGGCCTGATGACCCCATGGCATTTCAGGGTTCGGTGCTAACCAGTCTTGGCCCTACATAGCTCATTCTTACTGACTTCTCTATGGAAGAAATTAATCTGAGGCAGCCATCATTTCATAATTACTGGTTTTGTTTTGTTTTAATTAATAATTTCAGAGTGTAAACCGGTTGGCAATGGAAACAAGAAAAGTAATGAAAGGAAATCATTCCAGAAAGACGGCTGCCTTTGTCCGGGTATGTTCTAGAGATAAGACTCCCAGACTTTGAACTCCAGTTGAGTTGCTTCATTTGCAAGTTTCTAAAGTTGATTTTCCCAGAAAAAGACAAAGATGTCCTCAGGGTGTTCAGTATTGATTTTCCAGATTAGTTTTTCCTTGAGTATCTATGGACTAATCACTTAATATTTTCAAAAGAAATGATGATCTCCATGTTGTGGAGAGGAGGTTGGGAGGTGGATTGCAGTTTTTTGCCAGCCGAATTATCTCTGGTTTGAGCCTGTAACTGGAAGGTCTTTTTATCAAAGCAATACATATCTGTGTTTTTTAAAAATTTTTTAAAGATTTTATTTATTTGAGAGATATATATATAGAGAGAGTGAGAGCATGAGCATGAGAGGTGGTAAAGAGGGAGAGGGAGAAGCAGACTCCCCACTGAGCAGAGGGAGCCTAATGTGGGGCTCGATCCCAGGACCCTGAGATCATGACCTGAGCCAAAGGCACATGCTTAGCCCACTGAGCCACCCAGGCGTCCCCATATCTGTGTTCTAAAAAAATGGAATCAGACCAAAAAGAGGACAGTGAAAAATAAGCATTCCATCCCTGCTCTGACCTCATACATCTTTTCTCAGAGCCGACCACCTCAAAACCTTTTTGAGCAATTTCTTTTTCTAATTACTCCCATATTTTTAAGTAATTGGTTTAAGAGCCGGCTTCTCAGTCAATGTCAGGTGTTACCTATTTACTTCTTGGGATGACAGATGAGGATTTATTTTTCTTACATCCTTAAGCTCCTTATTTGCCCATCCCCCTCCTCCCAAAGAGACCTCTGGAGTATGATGCAGAGGGAAGAGGAGAAAATTGGGACTCAGAATGAGGAGATTCGTTAATTTAAGAGTTTTTTGCTTGAAAATCTGTGATAGATGAAAGCAGGAGGACAGTCTGCCATGATGATACTGCTTACATCACCCACTGTGTTTCTTCCTATCCTTCTAGGCCTGTGTTGCCTACTGCTTCATCACCATCCCCTCCCTGGTGAGCATTTTCACACGACTCAACCTCTACCTGCATTCTGGTCAGGTTGCCTTGGCCAACCAGTGCCTCTCCCAAGGTAAGCCTATCATTCTCTCCTCTAAGCATTTCCCGGCTACTTAGGAAAGCCGACTCAGCTCTGTGTGTGTGTGTGTATGTGTATGGAGAGAGAGACAGAGACAGAGAGAGAGAGATTCTTCTAAGAAGGAAAAAAAGAACTGATTGAGCAATGATGAATTTTTAAATCTGTTTCTTTAGCAGGAAGCCCACATTTATAGAGTGAGGCAGAGTAGAGTGTGAAGCTGTGTTCCTGTAAGGACCTTTCTGAAACCTGTCTCAGACAGGCCAGGGAAGGCAGCTTGACATCCCAGGATGAGTGTGCCTAGAGAATTTTACAAGTTAGGATTGCTTCATTGCAGCAGATTGCTGTGTATTTTTTTGTTGATGTTTGTTTGTTTGAAAGCCCAGAGACCTACAAATAGAAGCTAATAAGTATAGAAAGAATACTCTCAATAGCTTGCTGTTAGTGATAAAAATTCTGCTCAAGACTCATTTCTCTACGAGGTGCAGGAGCCACATGGTTCATTTGGGAGGTAATCCCCGAGGGTGTCAGTCAAGCCATGGGCGGGGAGCTGAGACAGGGAAGGAAGCCAACAAAAGATGTGCTACTGGGCAGGTTACTGCTGTGGGCAGCTGAGGTATATTCTCAAGAGGGACCTCTGGGAGGGGGTGTCAAATGGCCTCCGCGCTGCCCCACCCAAGGGGCAGGGAAAATGGGTTCTTGACTCTGTATTCCATCTGCCATTGGCTGAGGGCTGTTTCTAGATCACCAACTCTCTGGCTCCCTCGCCTGCTCTGCCCTGGAGCCAAGAGAAAGCCCTCAGGCAGAGTGCTGGAGTCACAGGTATTTGCTACAGGCTGTGCTTGTCACCTTCTGGGACAGCATGTGTCAAAGGCATGCATGCAGAGCCTCAGCATCAAGGGAGCCACCCAGCAGGCCATCACACAGAGAGGACAAGATCCTGGCACCATTGATGGAGCATTTGTATGTGGCGAGCCTTTTGCACATATTGTCTCATTTTATCTTCCAACAGCCGCATGAGGTGGTCCTGTGGTTGGTGCCTCCTTTCCCAGAACCCGAGGCAGGGAGGGGCTCAGTTGCCAACACTCAGCCCCTGATCTGTCTGACTCAAGGCCATGCTCTTTGCTGCTGTGATAGAGCATTTGCAGGGCAAACGGTTGGGAAGCCTAAGTGACTAACTTGGAGGTTTCTGTGGCACCGTATGAGGGGGCTGATGTTTCCGATGGTGGTCTGACCTCCACTCCCATCCCCCACCTGACCTCACAGTTCATAACGCCAAGATTAACCATCCACCACTTGCTGCCATTGCTTTGGATGGGTTCTCTGGGCTGGTTGGAGAGTGGTCCTTGGCATGGCAGTTTGGGTACGTTGATCCGGATCTTCATTTACCTGGGGCAGCTCCGGGCACTGAGGTCTTCCAACATGATTGCTACCCATGAGCCTTTTCAAACTCTGCTTAGTTTTGCTTTTGACTCCTGGGGACTCCAGCGGCTCCCCACTGCATCTGGAATTACATCAAACACCTTGCCTGTGAGTCCTCAGGCTGTCTGGTGCCTGCCTTCCTTTTGTCTTCATCCTACGCCACACTTAAGCCACACTGGCTTGAACATATAAAGCTGTGTTCTAACCCAGAGTCTTTGTACTTGCCATTTCCTCTTTCTAAAATGATCTTCTCCCAGATACTTGGTTGAGTTTTTGTTTTTGTTTTTGTTTCACTTACCAGGCAGGTGATGAAAACCAAGCCTCGGTTAGTTGTTGGGGTAGCCCTTGCTGTCCACTCTAGCTAGAAGCACTGCTTTAGCTGAATGCACCTTCCTCGTCTATCATGCTCTGTACTATCCTCCTTGTGATCATTATACTTTTGATCTGTTTTCTTACTGTGTGTATTTCTTATCCACTCCCCCCACTTGCTGTTGTTGTGTGTTGGTAAACATGGAACTTTGTCCTGGTACCTGCTTTGGTAGGGATGATGGGTGAGCAAGAAACGAGGTAAAACAAAAATGTACAGCCACCACCAAAAACCTGTTGTTATGTAAAATTAAGATTAGATTGGATTAATTAGCTGAGATTGATGTAAGACACTTAAAATCTTTTTTTTAAAGATCGTTTGTTGTTTTTTTAAAAAAGATTTTATTTATTTATTTGACAGAACACAAGCAGGGGCGGGCAAGAAAGGGAGAAGCAGGCTCCCTGCCAAGCAGGGAGTCCAACATGGGGCTTGATCCTAGGACACTGGGATCATGACCTGAGCCAAAGGCAGACACTTAACCAGTTGAGCCACCTAGGCACTTACTATAAACTGTTCCCTCTTAAAGAGTTCAGGAATAGTAGACTTAATTTTGGAACCCTTGAGTTTGGCATAATTTAGAATATTAGGAACAGATTGTGAGCTGCTGGTATTAGTGCCCTGAACTTTAAAAGTGGAGGCTCTAGAAGCCTAGATCTTTCTTCTCCCGACTTAGAAACTAAGGACCATGATCTAAAATATTGTAGATCCCAGGCAAGCTTATTATGATTGGATCCCATATGGGATATCATGCTATTTTTGTTTTTAAAGGTAAAACAAAAAAATCTTAAGCTAAATAAAGGCTCCCCATCCTCAAAGATTTGCTGCTCCAAGAACTATTCAATGAGAGCCATGGGTGGCTTTTGCTCTATTGTGCCACCTGTAGTGGCCTCAGTCCACACCGGGAGATAAGCAGTGTCAGAAGAGCCTGGTACACGCTGTATGGGTGGTTAGTGCCCTGGACTCCTCATCAGCCTCACCCCGCACTTCAGGCCACTGTAGGAGGGGCAGGAATGTGGCGTCCACTTCATGTTTAATAATTTATCTGCTGATTTTTACTCCAGTCTCTAAATGCTATGGCACTGAACCTTAAAAGCCTATTATTGTTGATCTGAAAGCCACATGCAGCAGTTGCTGGCCAAAATAAATAATACATTCAATTACTGAGCAGGGGAAGGCTACATATAAATTAAATGAAGCTTGTGGAAATGGGCTGCTTTTGTTCATCTCCATTACACACCCCACCTCTCAGCTGGTTCTAAAACAGTCCTCTTCCCCCGATTCATTTTCTGGTCTCTCCGATCCAGCCTCAGTTGTACCTACTTTATTGGGCAGTGGCTTTGCCAGGACTGGGTCCAGCCTGACCTTAAACCCCGTTGAACTGCGTGTGGGATGCTGACGAAAGGCTTTTTTACAGGGGAGGCCTGGTTCTAGTCCTTTGGACATACTGGTGTAGCACATGGAGTGGATTGTGGGGGGCCTGGGGGTGGAGGGTGGGTGTTGTTCCAAAGCCACCTATTGCCCCCAGTAGTTAGGAGAAACAGAGTTGTGCTTCTCACCTGGAGATGCCTGTCTTTCTTTTCTTTCAGCCACTTCACTAGATAAGTTCTTGCTTTTATTTGTGAGTGGTTCTTTCTAGAACATTATTACTAGGCCACAGCAAGAACAGAATCTTTTGCCCTTTCTTTTTTTGTCTTAGTTCCTTTATCTTTCCAGCTTTTAATCTGAGAAAGGAGGGTGTTGTACAGTGAAGTGATGTTGAAGTTGGGTCTTAGCAGGAGAACATATATTTATTGGGAGGAGTGGGGAGTGAAGGAATCCTTGGCATTTCAGGTGGGGTAAGGGGCTTGAACAAAGACATGGATGGGAGTTGTGAAAGCCTGGGTGTATCTGGCCAGCATCAGGGTACTGAGATGCATCCCTCACTGATACTGACTTTCAGGTCCCCTGGTCCCGACTCTGCCACTTATAAGCTGGATGCCCTCAGGTTGGCCCTTTTGTCCCTCAGTGTCTTCATCTGTCAAGTGGAGAGCTCAGCTGCGGCACCTGTCTGTTGCAGGTTAAATGAGAGTTGAGAGCTTGGCTTGCTAGCACAGTAGCTGCTCAGTAAATATTAACCTCATCTAATTGCCTCGGGCTCAGCAGTTTAGCGCCTGCATTCAGCCCAGGGCATGATGCTGGAGACCCAAGATCGAGTCCCACATCAAGCTCCCTGCATGGAGCCTGCTTCTCCCTCTGCCTGTGTCTCTGCCTCTCTCTCTCTCTCTCTGTGTCTTTCATGAATAAATAAATACAAATCCTAAAAAAAAATTGCCTCTCAAAAGACAGAAGTATGCTGTGGAGTTCTACATAAAATGACAGCTCTGTGGTTTCAGGATTCTGAAAGCAAACTTCTCATATGCAAAACCTTGAGAAATCCACAGGAAAGCCAATAGTTCTTTTAAGATGAACCCTGCTGAATTATCCTGGAGAACAGACCAATCAGGATCTGCTGTGCCTCCAAAGACGAAATGATAGAGACTACAATTCAAGCAAAGTAGTTTCATTGTTTTCATTAATAATAATGCTTTCTGTTATGATTAATAGTGCTTTCCAGAATTTTCTCCCCCTCTTAAATTTTATTTTCTTTTATTTTTTAAACATCTTTATCCTTCAGAGCTTAGCTTACAAGCCACTTTTTTTTTTTTTTTTAAAGATTTTATTTACTCATGAGAGACCCAGAGAGGCAGAGAGAGAAGCAGGCTCCCTATGGGAGCCTGATGCAAGACTCCATCCCAGGATTCTGGGATCGGACGTGAGCCGAAGGCAGATGCTCAACTACTGAGCCACCTAGGTGCCCCTATAAGCTACTTCTTAAGGAATACCGTCCGTGGCCTCTCAACCCCCAGAGTTAGGTCGCATTATTCTATATAATGTGTGATCCTGACACCTGGCATGTCCTTCACTGGAGGGACTGCTATTTAACAAGTAAATATGTAAATAATTGTCTGCTTTTCTCCCCTATAAGAGTAATGGCTCCATGAAATCTTACCTATCATGTTTGATGTTGTATTCCTGGCTCCTGGCACATTGCCTACCACATAGGTGCTCAAGAAATCTTGAGTGAATGTGCGGTAATCATACGATAATGATGGTTGATATTCTTAATAATATTGATACATATAAATGGTATGATGCCTTCCATGGTATGGATGTAACTCCGAAGGAACTC